AATAAAAGGCATTCAGAGCCAAAAAGCAGTTTAAAGTCGCAACCAAACTAAAAACCAGTTAAGATTCAAGTTTATCCTGCAGCTAGCAAAAATTATGTAAAATCTAAAACCAGCTAAAAGGCAAAAACTAAATGACAAACAGCGCACACTCCCAATACCAAAGTTTAAATTTCAAATTCGGAACTCTGAATTCGGAATTTGGGTTTCCGAATTCGAAATTAATAAACCACCAATTGCAATCGCTGCGCGTGTCACAAATTAATGCACACTTTATGTACCCGCTGCATAATTTCATATTTGCTGTTGTTGCCGTTGTCTGAGCAGGAAGTCAATGGATAATGATGAAACGCCGCTGATCGATTAATGGCGAGCAATTAGCCAACTATGGATGTAAATTAAGTGAAATCTTTTGCCTAAATTGCGCCAGGCCTAGGCGACAAAAAGCAAACGTCGTAGGATGGGGAAAAAGGGCTTAGCATATGATGAACAACTTTGGAGTATTTTGATGTCTGCCAGTGCATTTTCTGGTTGTGTTTATTGCTCAGGTAGTGCATAAATTAGGCTAGTGTCTCTGAAGGGGAACTGCGCTGACCGACATTGATGGAATGTGGGACGACAGCTGAGTTCGGCCTCCCGAACTATGTTGGTGTAGGGTTGGGGGCTGTTATGCAATGGCTGCTGCTGCAAACTTGATTTTAACAGTTTCACGATGTGGCGGCAGCGCTTCTTTGGCTTTCAAATCGAAATCCGAAAATGTTAACAACAACAACAACAACAAAAACAAAAACGACAATAACAACAGCCGAAATCATTAACAGTTAACAGTTTGTCTGCAAATCAATGCGGCAGCGAGCCGCAGCCACAAAACCAGTTTAGGACAAGCAACAGCCACGAAACGCATGCGTCTCTGGAATTGGGTCAGCAAGTACGAGCCAAAGAAATGAAGCGAAATAACCAAACGGCCATCAGACCCAGACCCAAGGCATGCCCATACCAGAGAAAAAAAAACAAAAAGCAGGTGTACAGACAGGTGAGGTGAATGAAAGTCGTCGTTGGCTACGCCTCTGTTTTAGGCATGCTCGGGATCGGATCTATGTTTCCGATCGGCCAATTAGACCCTAAGACTGTTCACTCAATTACAGCTTGATTTACATTGTTTTTCTTACTAATTTTTTTTCTTTTTTATATTATTCAATTTGCAGAATGATCAGCCTCGTCTCTGCATTCCTTAAATACTTTTTGGCATTCGCTCGGCTCGTCGCGTCTCGCTAATCCCATTTGCCAGTGAAAGTGTCCAGCGCGAAAACCAAAAATGAAGACATGGTAACAAAGACAAAGATTTACGATATGGCTACATCATATATATATGACAGATATTGCTGCTGCTGCTGTTGCTGTTACCATTTAGCCAGAGTATTTTTTTCTTTCACTATTTATACTTTTTGCATTCACTAGCAAATTAATGTACCTCGTTTTCGGCCATTTATCTTGGCCACAAATTAAAAAAGAATGTTGAATCTCCGAGTCGCAATTTAAATACTCTTGCAAATAGTTGTACCAAAGCTTTGTTTGTATATGAGAGATTTGTGATTAAGCCACTCTGAGTATGTTGAGGATTTGGAATATGAAATACTCGTTTATATAGTTTTTAAGTAGTCCTAAAGAGAGGAATCTATAATTCTTATGTGTTGGATGGCTGGATGGAGGATGGATGCTAATGAAGCTCTATTGACTATGAGGTCCATTGATAAAATATTATTCTGAACAGAAATATTAATTTGAATAGAAACATATCTCGTTAAAAAAGAATGAAAAGTTAATGAAGTCAGACATGAAATTTTGTAACTAATATGAATATAAAATTTAAGAATTAACTATAAATTGTAAGGTGTTAAATGGCCATGAAGTTTATTGCGAACTATTTTGGTCTAATATTCTTTTATTTTTTTTACGAAGAAATGTGAACTGGCTAACATTTAAAGAAACCTATGTTTCGACAAGATTTTGTTAGCTCTTGAGCAACCCATTCTTATTCATATATATGCATATAAAGCAATAAAATATTTACATAGCATAGAGCCAAATGGGAAAATTAAATTAAAAACAGCTCTAAAAACGTGCAACTCGCATTGGTTTCACTTTCGCGAGCAATCGAGATTCGAATTTGGGTCCAGCCAGCGCCAAAAGCCGATTGCCAAACTGAGATTCAGACAAAAGAAGCTCTCGGCTTAACGACGTTTATTTTTTATTTTTATGTTGTTGTTTTTGTTGTTGTGACATGCTCTATGGCTTTATAGCTCATCTATTTGCATATCGTGTGCATGGATTATACTGATCAAACAGTTCAAACTGCTTATCAAATTCGCACGCAGCCGTTAAACTCGCGGCACAAATTTCTCGCGTTCGCAATGAAAGTGAAAATTGAAACTTAAACTCTTGCTCGAGCTCATGCTCGGGCTCGGCCAGAGTTCATCAAATTTGTTAACTCGTGTAATTTCGAAAATAAAACATATCGAGAAACATAGTCAGGCAAACGCGGCGATCATGATAACGGCAAATGCAAGTCAATCCGTTAGTTAAAGTTTTCGTGTTGCGCATTCATAGATGAACAGTTATTTGCACCGTGTACAAACAGATGTGTCTGTGTGTGTTTATGCTTATGTATGCAGATATTCATGTATTGGACTCTCAATACAATTTTGGGCTAAAAACAATGCCAACTTGGAGAGGCGGTAGCGACTGCGACGCTGACGTCGCTGCTAGGCAAATGAAATGAAGATGAAAGTCAAGTGAGTTTCACATATATATACATACATCTAAATATATATATATGTATATGTGTATATATAACTGTTGTTGCTGTTGCTATTGAAGACTATTGTTGGCGGTTTTTTATTTTTGGTTTTTGGCTAGTATTATCGCTGCTGTAGCTGGCTGCGTCGCTGCTGCTGCGACGTGCGCTTTCTATTTGCGTTTTGTTTATTGTTTACCTATGATAGAGTTAGATGAGCGTATCACTGTCTCAGGTATGCGTGTGTGTGCTAAGCGTAAAACCAATTGGCGTTGAATGAATTTTTATTTGGTTTAACCAAATTTCAAGCAGTAAAAATGCATAAATAATCCAACAACATCGCCTGCATACAAAGTTGGCTTTGCACATTATTTTTTTCACTTTTCTATTAATTTATATAGAGTCATTTAAAATATTACTGTTTCGTTCATCAAGTTAGACTCGCACTGGGTTAAAGGAGTTAACTAAAATGTAATTTGGTTGGGCATATGACCTTTAGATACCACTTAACCGATCTGAGACCTCAGCTAGCAGTAAAAATGCATAAATAATTCAAAAATGTCGCCTGCATACAAAGTTAACTCTGCACATAATTTTTTTTACTTTTCTTTTAATTTATAGAGTCATTTAATTATTATTATTAAAAATTATTTCTTTATTTATCAAGTTAGACTTGCACTGGGTTAAAGGAGTTAATTAAAATTTAATTATTTTAGGCTATTGACCTTTAGATGCTACTAAACCGATCAAGACCCCGAAACTACACACAAACACAATCATGGACACGGTCAGTTCGATTCACATACAAGCGCACACTCTTGTAAATATATATATGTATGTATATATATATATATATATATTCAAAAATAAATATTGCTAATTTATGCAAAGACCTTGAAAAAACGAACATTGTTAAACAAACTATTTACATCGCATTTTATAGCCCTAACAAAGCGCCGCATAAATGCATTGGACTGAGGACTATGAAAAGTGCACTGCTAAAGCCATTAAGCCAAACCTCAAGTTCTCATCCAGGGCCATACGCAGGCGAGCGAAAATTGCGTGCCATAAAACAATAAACTGACAATAGCAACAATTATGCACTAATTGTGCAGTGTTAAACATTGTTGTGCCTGCGCATATTCAAGGCAAGGCGCTCAATAAAGACAAGACGAAAAATCAAGTATACGACGAGGTGTCTAGTTTTTTAATAGTGAATTTTTAAATGAATTTTATTGATTTGTTTACTAACAAGAAACTGCTGTCTATGCCCATAAAGGTATATCGTCTTCTTTATTTTCATAAGGGTGTACGAAAATACAGCAACACGAATGAGCCTTTGCCATCTGCGCAGTTTGACATGCGCTTGTGCTTTGTGGTTTTAGAGCCACTGTGCCGTGCTTAGAGTTCGCAAACAGCTGTTAAACTTTTGCAGTAATAAGGCAGCGATAAACAATAATAAATAAATATATATGTACATACATATATAAAAGCAAAAGAAGTTGCATAACAACTATTTCAGTTGCCAGCGAAATAAGAAGAAAAGAGAAAAGATCAAGGCATGAAATGAATGACAAGATTAGAAAATATAGGAAAAAATAAGTGCAAATGTATATAAATAAAAATGAAAAAATATTTCAACTTGCACACAAAAATAACAAGTCTAAAAAAGTGCAACATAAACACAATAAATAAATGAGTACGAAGGCTTCCGGCAAACAAAATCAGTAAAAGAGGCGGTGGCAGAGACGCAGGCAGAGCTAGCGGCGGCGCCCATCGCTGCATGCACAACAACAGCAACAGCGGCAACAACAACGACAACGACGACAACAACTTCAATGTCTGGCAACTGTTGTCGACGGCCTTTTGCTTTATGCTTCTTCACGCTGCCTGCACAAAAGCAATGGCCAAAAACGAAGCCACAGCCAGAGCCAGAGCCAAAGCCAAAGCCACCGCCAAGCAACAATTTCACTTTCATTTTCTTTTGGCTTTGCAGCAGCGAAATGAAAAGCGAACCAAAGGCAACAGCAAAAAGAAAAAGAAAGAAAGAAAAAAGCCGAAGTCACGCAGCCGCATTAGCGGCAAACACTCTGCGCGCATGCGCAATGCACTCTTGTTAAATGCCCGCTAAACGGGTTGGGGGCCACTGGCAAGTGTGGAACCACTGGGTGTTGCAGTTGATGTCATTGCCGCCACTTTTTCTACTCACCAGCAGGCTGAGGTAATCCTGGTTAATGCCGAAACTTAATCCATGAAAGCTACGAGCCAACTGCTCATTGTGCGTTGCTCTGTATTTCCTTGCGTGTCCTGGCGTGTCACCTGCCACCAGTTGGCTGCTCTGCCGGCTGTGCAGGCTGTGGTTCAGGAATAGGCGACAGATCAACTTGTGCGCTTGTTGACGACGCGAACCGCACGCGACGCGACCGGAAGTACTTAAGCAGGCCATTTTGTATATATCGTTATATTTTGTTTGGTTTTGTTTTGATTTTGGTTGATTTGGGTTTTCTATTTGTCGGCTGAAAACAAGTGGCTGGCGTTGAGTGAACTAAAGCCCTTGCAATCGCAATGGCAAGCTTACAAAACTTGATGAAACGTAAACAAAATAGTTGTTAAACGTAAAACAGCATTATTACAGGCTTATGTTTCGATTCGCAAAGATACGACACAGTTACAGTTACTCAGATGAATATACAAATATAGTGACAGACATACACACGCGGTTTATGCGAACTTCGACGGGACGAAATTGTTGAGGAGACGGGCAAAGCGCGTTGCTTGCGTCCAACTGCAGCAGCTTCAGCGAAGTGTTCCGCGTTTTACCGCTGTCTGCGCACGTAGCTTGCTACGCCTGCGCGATCGTCGCTTTGAGCGTGGTGAGTTTCTGTGTTGAAATACGAAAGTCTGCCGAACAGTAGGCCCGATCGCATTGGTTTTGAACTTGACGGTGGATTTAAGATTCGGCGGCAGATGAAAACTGCATGTCTGTCAAGCGGTTTGAGATGCACTGTGTTCAACCTTGGATGAATGTCTTCACTTTAGTTCCATGCGTCAAATGCCTGTTAAGACGCCTGTTGCGTGATTATCAACAGCATGTTTTTACGTGTGCTCTAGTACCCAAAAAGCTTTTCATATAGCTCTCCTTGAAGCTGATGAAAGTGTTTATCCTGCTTTTCATTTAACACATTTATATATTTCGATGCCACACAATTTTTGTTTTGACGTAATAATGAAATAACAGCTGTGCAAGCCGCCGATTAGAGAACCCAGAGCTGACAACTTACGTTAGACTGCTAATCAGCTGTGTCACACGCTGATTGTATCGATAATATAAACATTTGGGTCGTTTCTTAAATTAAAAATGCAATATAACAGCTGCTCGCAATGACATAATAATTAACCTTTGCAAATAAAATATTTTTGTAAAGCAACTACATAATTGTTTTTCTTAATCTACGGAAATTATACAAATTAGATATTGAGAGTATCGATACAGATGCGATATATCGTCTTGAAATTTCGATGACTCCCATCACTACATTTACATAAATCTATTTGTACAATTTCAGCTTAGCCATGTCTCGTAATTTGTTTTTATCAATTACCAACTTTGTCAATCATTTGGAACGGCTGTTTTTGCCACACGGCGGTCCCCCACCCGCCTTGGCCTATTTAGTGCATCAACCTAACTGCCCAACGAACAGAACGTCACAGAATTTCAGTCTGAGAGATCTCATTGGTGATGGCATGCTATGGGCTGTCCCAAAGCACAGGCGTAGTGTGGAAAAACGTTTAAATCGCAAATTTGGTTATCCCGAGTATGTGTGGAAGCCTTTGAAGCAGAAGAGAAATCTGCGTTCCTGCCAGCACTGTGGTCACGATCATGAATTGGGCGTTCTATGCCGTAAGTCTTATTGCTCTTTTAACACAGCTGTAGTTATGTAAATTTTGTTTTTTTTTTTTTTTTTGACAGCTCACTGCTACGACAAGGTGCGACAGGAAACGCAGCTTATGCAGGATAAAATACAAGCGCAGTTGGGTCTGGAGCCAGTCGAGCAAGAAGTGATAGTCTTGTATGAGGGCGAGACGGCTGACCAAGCGACGGATGTTGCTACCGGCAAACGCATAGTGGAAATGAAAAAACCACGTCCCATGTGGTTCACTAAGAATTTGTTACAAAAATCGACACAGCAATCCTCAGACACCAAAGAAGTTAAACCGTCCAACCTGGCTTAGGTTGCGCCTTACATCATCAATAAAATAACGCTGCGTTTAATTTGTTAACAAATAACTTGTTTATTTTGTGTAAACTGCAATGTCTGTGCCCGCTTAAGAAATCCATTGTTGAAATCATGAGCGCTCATTGGCTTCTTGCCTTCGACCCGCAGCTGTAGCACCTCCAGCTGGGTTCCTTGTGCACAACCGATTAGAAGCGATTTCCGAAGACGATGAAAATAGAAGGAGCCCGGAACTTGAATTGTAGACGCGGGCAATCGTAATTCATCGGCGGGCACAGGGGGCTTGAGCTCCAACAGCTGTACAGTTTTGCCCAGAAAGGAGGTAGTTAGATTTTTAAATCCATAAAGTGCACGATACCGTGCAAACAGCTCCATAGAAGTTTGCTGTGACCATCGAATCTCTGTGATTTGTGACGTAATCTTCGGTGCTGTATTAGATTCCGTTGATAAGAACTACTTGAATAAATGAGTATATATATTTTTACCATAAGTGGCAACGGCATCGTTTTGAGGATATGCGTTTAAAAGTCTGTCTTCCAAGTTATTCATCGTGTCGACAAGCAACTCGGAACCCAATTGGGACAAGGCAGCATGCAGTTCTGGCATATATATATCACTTCTAATAGGCATCTCCCGTTGGGCTAATATCTGAAAGCTGAACCACGTGAGTTAAACAAAACAGTATGTATCGGAGCAGGGGTTTTCCTTACGGGACCAATATCGAATTGATGTGGCGCTATCTTCATAATGGTAATACCAGTCTTAGCATCCCCTTGCATTATGGCATACATTATGGGCGCAGCACCGCGCCATCGGGGTAACAAGCTAGCATGAACATTGATAATGCCGCGGGATAGTGCATTTATAATATGTAATGGGATCAGGTGTCCAAACGACACTACCACACCCAGTTCGTAGGCGGCACATTGCTCCTCTGATATTGGCCATCGATATAGGGAAAGCTTTTGCTGTTCGGCGTAACTGCGCACACAGTTTGCGGGACTCTTAAAAGATGTTACTACGCTTACGTCAAAGTTGTTGAGGTGCAATTTCTTTAAACTTGGCAATGAAAAATTGTCAGTGCCAAAGAACAATATCTTGGGTTGCTGCGTGGTCCCCTTACACCGCCGACTAGTCACAATAAAGTTTGAAAATACTTTTCTCTTATATTTAAAGAAATTATTAACTAAGCTTTTGCCGCATAACAACATTATTACAGCTGTCGAGGGTCTTGCACTAACAGCCCTGTGCTTGTGCGATGCGATATTTCAATACATTACAGCCGAAAGTATTGATTTGATCGTGATATTTATTAATTTGTATTATTTAGATATGTAAAATTTGTCAAAGTAAACAAGATACTCCTAATGAAATAATATAAGGATGGCGAAAACTTTCATAATTCATTTTTATCAACGTTCTTATCTAATTAGAAAATAAATACGAACAGTCTGGCAGCACGTATTTCACAGCTCCGTGACTGCATCGAAATAAGATATCGATAGATAAATGCTTATTCGTCATTGCAATTGAGAAAATGAAAACAGCTAAGCTACGATAAAGATATATTGCTATATTTTAGAGATTACCTTCATACATTATAAAGAGCGTTTATTAACAGACTCACTATGGACACGACAAAAAGTGTAAAAAATTCATCAAATTCCTTAGCTAGTACCAGTTCAAATTCCAGTGACAAAATGAACTGCGCATTGCAAGTGGCATTGCAGACAATGAAAGAGCGCTGCATACAATTGCAACGACGTGTTTCCAACATGGAGGAGGAAAATCAACGCTTGCGTGAGGGTACTCAGGGCTCAGCAGCCGTCGCCAATAGCAATACTCTTGAGAACACAGATAGCAGTAATGATGTTCTATCGCTACGTTCGCAATTGCATGAATTACAGCGCCAAAAGGAACAGCTGGAGGATCAAATTAGCATGGTGTCTAATGAGAATCGCAGACTTTGGTCGCATCTATCAAAAATTTCCAAAGACCAGCAACACGAAATGAAAGACGATGAAGTAGCCATTCCTGCACATGCTCGAAGCACAGGGAAAGTTTCAATTGGTGCCAATCAGAACCTCATTCGTTCTAAGACATTTACTCAGCACTCGCCAAATCCACACCTACGTCAGAAGATGAAAACAGAGGTCAGTTTAGAGGAGATCCCACTGGACGAATTTGATGCTAGCGAGGTAGAATTGGGATATCCATGTGGACTGAATGTGGACGACCCTAGCACTGTCAATGAACTAGATACCAATGTCGATGCAAAGCAGTGTATGGAAGGCTTGCAGGATCTGCGCCGTGAAGCAATGAAGCAACAGCAAGAGCTTAATTCTGCCCTTTCACAGCTGGAGACTCGTATTGGTGAGTTGTCGATCTATACCAAATGCAGAATATGTAGTTTTATTCTTATCTAATCTAATTATGCCACAGCGGTGCATCCGTGTCCGGAGTGTGTTCGCAAGGCTGCCAACAAGCCGGAAATGGCTGATAAAAGCTTAGAGACTGAAGATCCCACAGAGCCCAAGCGATACAGCAACAATGAGCACACAATAAGCCAAGTGCTCGACACAACCAATGGGCATACAACAGCAGTGTTGCCCGCTCCCCGCCTAAACTTCATACAAGAAAAGCTTAAGGCTGATGCCATCGACAAAACGTGCCCCATGTGCGGCAAGTTGTACACTAGCCAAGTTTCATTCAAAGCGTTTCAGGAACATGTCGAAATGCACTTCATTGACGAGACGCTTGATGTGGATGCAAGCATGGAGCGACAGTTCGAGTTCGTTTCTCATGCAGTCGGTGATTTCTGACCCAACAAACTTATTTACTTTGCAACAGAGCTTTAACAGCAACAAATATAATTTGTTTCACTAGCAATGCATTGTTAATGTTATTGCAGTTAAGCAGCAGTTAGTAATTTGATAATGAAAATTGTATAGACTAAGAAAGCAAATTTCTAAAATTGAATGAAATAACGGTTTTAAGTTAAAATTGAATAATTTTCAAGCTTACAGACAGTTCTCTGTCAAAGTACAACATGAATGCACATCTAAATATGTGATTTTTATTGTTTTAAAAGTTATATACGACAGCTAATGTATTTGCTGATGATGATAAATAAGCATTATTTGCAAAAAATTAATTATAAATATTCCCGATGACAAACAAAAAAGTCTCAAATAATATAAGAACAGATACATTATGCATTACATTACTTAGTGTGTATTTATATTTATAATTTTAATTGTATTGTTATTCGCATTGTTATGTTCCCAGTAGAATAACAATATATCTACAACAAAGAGGTTATCATTCAATTCATAAATTCATATCCATGTTATATATTCTCTTCAATGTTTCATTGCCGTAAAAATAAAAGCCACCAGAATAGCTTTCATTGCTATGATCAGAAATGCCGGTGGATGTGCGACTTATCAATATGATATGGAGTTTCAATTAACTATATTCAAAGACTATACATAGATACTAAGTAAGACTCGGGAGTGCCTGACTAGGGAAAACCTACTCCCCTTCCTATATGTTTAAAAACAAAAAATACAATAGTCACAAATATTATATTCTTATGATGTCCAACTGTGTGAATATGAAAAAGTCGAATTGCCTACTTATATTTGAAACCAATTTTTTTTTTGAGTAGTGGGCGAGGTATTGCGATCTGTGCAATCGAGGCAATAAAATTGATTGTTACTAAAGGTCAAATAATGATCTAAAATAAATGTGAGCGGATCGATTATTATCGATAATAAGAAAGTGCAATATGATATTGACGAAACAAATAAACTAACAAATAATATATATGAACAACAAATAATATATATGTGCACATAATGTCACTCAACCACAATTAAATTGAATTGAAATCTGATTTTAATTCCGTTAACGGTTATGTACATTTTCTAATATTTGATACGTTTTTAACGTGCAGAAACAATGCTGAAACAAGAATGAAACATTCAATTAATTCCACTGTTGAATAAACAAAAAAAAAAGATAAAGAGAGTGGGCGAGGTAAATTTCCATGATATGAAAATATTTTTATAAGTCTTGAATGCGATTGAAGGGACAAACAATTGTTGATGCTATTGATGTTATCTGACCTTTGCGTGGAATGTTTTGACGAATCTGTCGTAAGAAGATCAATCTGGCTTAAGTGTGAAATCTTGTTTGATCTGCACACTTAAAATATAAGACTGCTGAAATATCTACAGAAGATGTTTGATGCCACGGCCAGAATGGACGTGCACAATAAATGTATGTAAATTTATATTAGTAACTAGAGAAAGTTATTTTTCATATATTCTAAGTGAGAGAATGCTAAAATTATTCTATGAATAAAATACACATAATATACAAATGCTAGTTTAATATCTACAAATCAAAGGTAAATTATAATGAAACCAAATCCAAATAATGATTATATATTTGACATACATACAATAGTTATATACACATGCATATGCTCTCACCCGATTTCTGAATTGAACGAAATGCCTGAAAGAACAGATAGTTCCGACACATCGAAGATTGAACACCCTGACTGATCTTGTATGCGCCGACAAATGTGCTAAGATATATTTGATATCACAAGTGTTTTTCTGTTGAAACAAATTTAGTTTCCAGATTTCTTTATATGAATTACTTTTCACATTAGCTGCATTCATCTGTGAGATACTACTAGAGACTATTTCTATGCTAGTCTCCTAATTTTGTGACGAATTTATTTTATTGTATGATAGAGAAGAGAGGGCAGTTAGACAGCTAATCGTTTGACATTTAACCAAGATTAGCCTATGATTTTAATTGTCATCAAATATAGAGAAGCTATACTAGTTACTCTTAATATAATCAAAACTTAACGTACACAAATATTTTCACTGAGCTTGCGCATTCAGTCTTTGCAGATCTTTACTGAGCTGCCCAATTACATATTGCTGGAAATAGCACTCAGCTAACGCATCGTGGTTTGTCTTTGCTCGGGTATAAAAGTTTCGTTGCGTTTCCAGAGCCGCTTCAGTTGTGCTTCAGCGGTAACCGCAGTAGCCAAGGGTGCAGTAGTTCCAAAAAGACAAGAGAGAAAACAACACAAATATAAAATATATTTTACAGAGAAAGAAAAACTAACATGGGGGTAAATCTGTTTCAGAAACTGTTCTTCTTGCTGCCACTCGCGTATCAATATTCGCCAAACGGTAATAGGTTGAAAGCCATGGCAAGGCTGTCGAAAAATGACGATTATAAATGAAATTATTTACATATATAAATGATTAGTTTTAACATTCATTCAATTTGGACATTGTGCGAAAAAAATTCCAATTTGTTGAAAAAGAGAAAAATGACAGGCCTCATGAATAAAAGTGAAAACTAATGAATACAGTTTTAGCCACTAGCATTCTCATAATAATTTTTTCTCATTTTTAGACGGAAGCTCTGAAAACACAGATTGGAATTATGATCAAAACGGTGCTGATTGGCAAGGAATATGTGCGACCGGCTTTCGTCAAACACCCATCAAGCTCTCTGTCGATAGTGTAAGTTAATCTGTCAATGTGTCAATTAATCAATTTATACCTGAAGAGTATTTAATAATTTTAGAAAGAGTTCAGAAAGTAAAAATAAGTTAGCCGGGTTTCCCCATTCAGACAGCAAAAGTTCGCTTCGTTTCACAGAGACTTGACTTTCCATGGCCTTAACGGATATATATAGATTATTGGATATGTGTTCTAGAAACTGTTTAAAATAAGACGGTTCACGCTTACTCTGTGAAAACATCTTAATTTATTCTAGGAAATAGATGAGCTCAATAGTAATTCATCAACAAACATATCTATATAATTCGTCTAAACACATATATCCAATTTTATAAAAATTATCAATCTGATACGCACCAAGTAGGCGTCGACAATTTTTGGTTCTTCTGTAGAGGTCAACAGACGTCGTATAGTTCTATGTGCCTGCGGTATACTTGAGTATAGTATTGATATATATTGATATATATATCATATGTATATATATTAGATCTTGACCTGTATAACGCACCGACGGACATTGCACCTCAATTTACTCTTGTCACATCGTGAACGACTCTGTAATATCCACACTCTAGCAACATTCTTACTTCATAATTAATAACACATAGTAATAAGAAATAAAGATCGGAAGGCCTTAAGCAAATGAGATTACATACAAAAGCTAGACTATGAGTGCAATATATTACAGCACATAATACATAAAACCTGTTGTTTCCGTCACAAGCGTAGACAGCTGATAATTTGATAAATGGGCACATTTCTAGAGCTTACTTCCGAATGATCCAATTTACTTCAAATTGTTCACAATTGGAAGCTAGTTTTCACTATTATCATTACCATATGTAAGATGGTATGGGCTGTACACAGTCTAAAGACTTCGTTTACTGCTTTCCCTTTTATATAGTCACTGATTGTGCCGCTGCCGCGAATGTATTTTGGCAATTACGACGTCAGACTGAATGAACCGCTGACATTGGTCAACAAAGGATACACGGGTAGGTTTAAATTAATATACTAATACTATATGCATACTATTCTATACATTATATACATATATAATGTGTATCTGATATAAATCATATTATTGATGCGATTTATCAAATTGCAGTCGATATGACTATACCAAACACAAGGAATGGTCAAAGGCCTTTTATCTCCGGCGGCCTGCTCAAAGGACAATATGTGGCCGAGGGGGTCCACTTCCATTGGGGGTCACCTGTGTCCCGTGGATCTGAGCATGTAATAAACAGAAAGCGATACGATGTCGAAATGCACATTGTGCATCGTAATACGCGCTATAACGATGTTACAGAAGCCCTAAATTATATCGATGGAGTCGCTGTGCTGGGCGTTATGTTTAAGATAGTCAGAGTGAGTTGCTGGTGAAAATATTTTCATGGAATCAAGTTATTAAAATCGCATCTGAAATTTTTAAGAATCCGAACAACAGGTATCCAGGCCTTAGGAAGCTATTCAGTGCTGTGCCAGCCATAGTCGAATATGGCTCTGAAGTGGAGCTGCCTGGCTCTATGACCCTGGGTCAGTTGCTGGGTGATTTGAATACGAGTGACTTCTACACCTATAAGGGTTCATTGACCACACCTGAATGCAACGAGGCTGTTACTTGGACAGTGTTTGCTCAGCCGCTGCCCATATCCCTATCAGATATATCTAAACTATGGATACTCCAGGACTCGAATGGAAATCTAATTCGTAATAATTATCGTACCCTGCAAGCGCGCAACTCTCGTCCAGTTTTCTATCGTACAAATAAGGACCTCAGTGATTATTATCTCGGATAATAAAATTCTAACCATTGTATTTATTTAAGTAAACTATTTATTTAAATCCTTCAAGAAAGTTTGTATATATAGATGGATCAGAGAATATATATTTTCAGATCAACAATATTGAATATAAAGCGGTCTAAAAATAAAAATAAATTGGACTTCTAAATATCCTACGATCACACAATATGCCAATATATGAAACTTAAATTATATTTTTTATTTAAAATATAACCTGATGATATTTATTTATTTCTTTTGCTTTAATTTTAATTTATTAATTCAATATTAAAAAGCTAAAAAATTAATTTGTGTATTTATACTAATGAGAACTTTGTGGGACAAAGCATTAAAATAAGATGACTCTAAAAATCGGGATAAAAGAGTCAAGCATGCATAAGAACCTTTTTGTGACTTATTCACTATCTGCATTTAAAGCTATCTATTTTCAAACTGCTATATAATCATTTACATTATTTCTTAACATTTTTTATATAGCCATATGTTGCAAAATAAAAATTTAAAATGCTTGGAATTTTGAATAAGATTTTTTCAGTAAAATATAAGAATAAAATTAATTCGGCAACTATCAAGTGTGATATATTTACAGCACAATACAATTTTTGATTTTTTATAGATTGTCCGTCAGGCTGACCGATCGGCTATACGTATATACGCAAAGCATTTCATTCCTATTAAAACAAGAGACTTAAAGTATGGAATAAAATAAAGTCAGTTGGATCACCTAATACCGTTATTATATACCATTATTATATACGAATGGTGGCGTAGAAAATCAGAGAATGTTGATTCTAAAATGAGTAGTTCATCTGTACGAGTATTATACAGTCAGTGTCGCCCGAGTAAAACGTTTTAGTAATGCTGCACATTTTAAAATTTTTCGCATTCTTAGAAATCCACAACTATCTTAAAATTATTTTACCCGAAGGTCGAGGCTGCCAAAGCTATAATAATTAAATATAATTATGTTGATAGTTGCATAGTTAGTTTTTACATGTAGACTTACTTCTTATAATCGTTTTTATCTGAAATATGTCAACAAAATATGAAGCTAATAGCCCGGAAGCATTCCCCAAGGTTTTCTTTAGTCTCTCACAAGATCTGTCGACAAACATTGTTGTCTTAAATAAAAATTCTTTTTGCTTTTTGTCTTTTAAATACTTCATTTAAATTTACATTTGGAGGCAATTAGGACGACGTTGCAGTCGGACGCAACTGACTCCTTAATATTCAAATGCCTTCAATAATTTAAAAACCCAAGTGCTAACTTAAATTTAAAAAATTATGTCCTGATATGGAAGACAACTTGAAGCCATATGCTATATATCATATACCCAATTGAGAAGCCTTCTGGTGATTGACGGGGTGAGTCCCGAAATAGCTATAAAGACAACCTGTAACTGATGCCTGTCAAATTCTTGTTGGGCTTGAAAGTGCGTAGTCTAACAAAGAAAACCATTTTTTGATCAAATTTAATATTAATATTTATTACAGTTTCCTTTAAGTTCGATTATAGCAGTTATACGATTATTCGATACAATTTTTAAAGTAGGACTTGTCTTTAGACTGCCTTGTTAAATAAGGGTCGTCCCTGGCACTCTTCGGGTTATTGGTCTCCGTCTGTATTTTCCCGATAACCGGTCACGACAAGAGATTCGATTTGTTGTAGTGCCAGTTTCGGAGCTCAGTCTATGTATATATTGGAGACTGAACACCTCTTGATTATCCCTGATATTTACTAGCGAAAACATTTGAAGGTCGTGGCATTCAGGTCAGTGATGAGTTATTTGTGTCGTTCGTCTCCTGCATCGTAGCGGACTGCTCATTGATTGTGTTGATACCATCGACCACAATTCTGATGGTATCAAGGTATTAGAGCTGTGAGCTGTGACCAATAGTGCACTGTGTCCACGTCCACGTGAAGAAAAAGCAACGCTGCCATTGTGGAAGGCCGTCATCTTTCCTGCATTCTCTAACGTTGTTCTTACATTCAAAGCTTAATACTAAACAATTCTGTGATGGACGCTATGCTGACATTAGTAGCGCGCTCGTTTACAATATGTACCAAACTATTCTATTATGGACGCTATGCTGACATTAGTAGAACGCTCGTTAACAATTTATTTCATGCTGCAGCAGTCGAAAACTGCTGAATTAGCTATCTTTATTTCCAAAGCGAAATTGCCAGTATTATATTTTGAAATCGTAAGGCGATTCTGTTTCGTGATAGTATGAAGGTTTCCCGTGTTAATTTGTACGCTTTTCGTGTTAGAAAAACTACCAATAGGAAGGATCCCGTCAACAAATACATGTCCTTTTTTTCCTTTAATGGAAGAAGTACAATTTTTTGTATATTTAAGACTGTCCTTCTGGACCATCCTTACTTTCATGTTCTGCTGCTGCCTCAAAGGGTATTTAGCCTGTCAACTGTGGTTTTCTATTGTCAGCCTTGAATTATTTCACTTTGAGGTATTGAGGCCGAAGGAATGGACCCATGACTTTGTGTAGTGGATTAGGTCGGTCGTGTTCTTGATTTTCTTGTCTAACTATAAGCACCTGGTCATCTATCTCAATTAGTATATTGTAGAATCTTTCCACTGTACGTCGTTCCATTTACAGGTGTTCCACTTGGAGGCTTAACACGTTAAGTCTTTCCAATTGGAGTGTTTCCAATTCATCCTTAATCCTAAATCCTAAGGCTTTTTGATTGCCAATTAATCGGTCGAAATTTATATTTTCATACATCATGACTTACTGAAGAATAAAATTCATTATGCTTTCCCGTGTAGAAGTCAAACTATCAGATCTTCTAACTTATTTTGGATTGAAACACAACAATAAATATGATCAAGAATATATAAAGAATCTATCTCTGACAGACTTAACTCCTTCACCTGGAAAATTTAGAACAAAAATCATCTCATCAGTGCTCAAGGAACAAACATTCCAAATTATATTAAGCAGCTCCCTATCACTCCCAAATACATTTAAGCAATCCTCAATCCACGATTTCCTGAACCCAAACGTATACCTTTAAATATGAAAGAATCCTACACTTTACAAAATAAAACATAATTTCTGAAAAATTGTGGATCACCTGGGATCCACTGTGATAGCTCCCGCACATACAATAAGTCTATCCGTCAGTTAGTCATCCATTAACTGTAAGTGACAATTTATATCCCAATTTGACAGCTCTGAAAATATAGAAATTCTAACAATCATACTTCCAATAACTATGGAGAATATTTAACAGCGCAGAGTTTCGACTATAGCTTTCTTATGAGAGCTACAGATGGAATTGGAACTCATGATGGAATTGAGAGAACTGAAGTCCCGATCACAGGTTACTAAGATTAAATAAGGCTTAAGGTAATGAAAATAATTAACGGAAAGAGGATTAGATTTAATATTTTTCCCCGTTCAATGAGGCGAAATAGCACTAATAAAAAGAAAGCAAAGACGACTTTACATGAAGAGCACGAGAACTTGACTTGAACGGACAAATCGGATTCCACGGGACATTTAAAAGAAGAGGATTCAGGTCCCCACATACTCAGATCACTTCGACTTTGCTTTGAGTTTGTCAACATTGCACCGCCTTAAACAAAATCCACTATCCCTAATGCCAGCGACACAGGCTATGACTTGATATTGGTACAAACAATCGTTTTTTCACACGTCCTTCAGGGGTAATATGGGGTAATATATTCATGGTTAATTGTTTGGTCATTTATCTTCTTATCTAGGACAACAAGTCTATCCACCTCTTTGTGTTTATAAAAGTATCGATTTCCACATGTCCATCAGCTACAGACATAATCCTTGAAATATATTTTCTTGTATGCCATATGCAATATCAGAATGATCGCAATTTAAGCCATTTAATCTCTCTCTCGATTTCAAAATCCAAAAGCTAAAATATACAAAATCTCTGCATTCATTACAGGAACATGCACAATAAATCTAAGGCAAATTTGTGAGGTAACAATATACTGAGAAGTAATACATATATCCAGATGTAACACGGGGCTAAATTATTTCAATATTATTTCGCAAGGAAGTAGTCAGTTATATAGGTATATCAATAGTACAGCCAACATTCCTGTTGACTTCCGGCCACTGCCAACAACTAATATTTTGGAAGTTAGGTTTGGCAGACTTTGTCAGGTTCCTGTATCTGTGTGTGCATATACTTAAGCACATAAGCAACTGGAAAATAGAATTACTCTAAAGATCTGTGGCTATTGAAAGAAAGTTGGTTTTCCTTAAGTCCACTGAAGCTGAACCTGACTTTACAGCTCACTTTGATTAGAAATATGTTTGATGCTCCCGGTTGTCAGTCACTTACCTTGTTTGGTCACTCAGGATCCACTGCAAATTGCAAAACACGTTGCAATTACTATGCAAATTTCCCACCTGGCCAGAACAACGTTCTTAACGAGGCTAAGCAGGCTCTGCAACTATAAAATGTTGTGGTCAAACTCAGAATTGTTGCAGTCCAGTTGCAAGCGCTACTTAGTGCACATGTCGCCAGCTAAAAACTAATATATTATTCCAGTAGAGTAACGTCAAATAAAATGCATAATTCAAGCCGTTGGGGATTAGGAGTCATGCTCCAGTTCCTGTTGTTGGCAGCCCTGGGCATTGCCCATTTGCAAGCCAAGATAAGTTCGTATGAGTGATCCCAATATAAATATTTTAAATTAGTTTGATTTCTTTCGACAAGCAGGGCTGTCTGAGGCTTATCTCAATGCTATCAGTGCGGATGATGCAGCCGAGCAGGCAAGTGGAAGTTATAACTATGACCAGCAAGGTAGAGATTGGGAAGGACTCTGCCAAGATGGCCAGCAGCAATCGCCAATTCCTTTGACATACAATGAGGTAGGTCAATAAACAAACAAAAAAAGAATAACAAGTTTTTTAAGCTTATGGCACGTCTTAATAGGCCATTGTAACCGGCATACCGCGTATTCATTTCTACAACTATGATCAGAATTTGGAGTCACCTTTAGTCCTGACAAATAATGGACACACAGGTGGGCAACAGATTCAACTGATAAGTTCCTAACAAAAAAAATTATTCACTCCAGCAAACATGGTATTGCCGCCCACGCAAAACGGACAACGTGCGTACATCAATGGAGGCTTATTGCCAGGATCCTTCGAAGCGCAAAGTGTGCACTTTCATTGGGGTTCCGCCAACTCCAAGGGCTCAGAACACTCTATCAATTTCCAGCGCTACGATGTTGAAATGCATATTGTCCATAAAAACATTCGATACGCTCATCAAACGGTTGCTGAAGCCAGCGCGTACTGGGATGGTCTCGCCGTTCTGGGGGTCATGTTTAGGGCTGTGGATAGGGCATTCTCGCAGAATACTGGACTTCTCAGGATCTTCAATCGATTGCCTCTAATTATTCCATACCAAGCAAACACCACAGTAGCTGGTCGCTTAACTGCGGGACAGTTGCTGGGCAACATTATTACTGGAGAGTTTTACTCCTATAATGGTCAGTATACGTATATTCAGAGAGTATTCCCACCTCTATTATAAATGTGCTTATATGAAACAGGCTCATTGACAACGCCCGACTGCGCCGAATCCGTGACTTGGACGGTCTTCAAGGATGTTGCCGAACTGCCTAGGCGACAGATCATGAAACTCTGGAACTTACAAGAATCGCGAATGCGTCCTCTGATAAACAACTACCGCGCTCTTCAGGATATTAATGATCGACCCATTTACTACAGAGCTCTACAATAGCCAAGTTTAAGTGTTCGACAACGAGATACTGTGAGCCTCAGCCAAACTGCTGTTGCAATTTGTTGCATTGTATCTACAAAGGCACAAAAATACACAGACACTCAATGGCTCAAATACACGAATACATATATGTACTTTAAAAATATACGAAATTTAAACTTAATCAAAATTTACCTCTGTCAGTTTAGAGTCGTATTCAATTTTCCTCAGGCTTGCACCATAATATTTAATGCCTCAACCAACATTTCATAACAAATGACCAGTAAGAATGTTGCAGTCAGTCTAAGCCGTACCAGTTTCAAGACTCGGGAAGATTAGATCCTTATAAAGTATGTAGTATTTATTTAAAATATGTAATGTTTTCCGGTTTGTCATATCCCTGATCTTTATAAACAGAGGGCATCAACGAGTAATGTATACTCTATACAAAAAATTTCAAGTCTCTAGCATCAATAGATGCGCCATAACTTACACAGGCAGACGGACGAACAGATGAAAGGGTATTGCAGTAAAGCAATATACTCGTTTATTAATTCCTTTATATACAGTTTATTAATTCCTTTCAAGTCCCAAACTCTTGTCGTTTGTAGTTGTCTCAGGCAACGCCCAAAAGTATGCAATTATTATATTTTCTTATAGGTTATTTTATCCACCCCAAGTTCATTAAACTTTCCAAAATATATTTAAAAAATCTTTCTGAAATTGTTTTCAATATTTACTTACTACACCACGCACACGACAGAAAATTAAACAATTGAGTTGTACAATTGGGTAATATCTGCTCAGACATTTTTCTATTTAGAATACATAGTAAATTTAGATGAAATGGACCGTGAATATGAGCTCCCATAACAGCAACTTGTTCAACGGCAAACGTTCCGACTCGATTTATGCACACATATCTTTATCTATTGATCGAGTCCTAATGGAGAAGAATATCTCTATGCTGAAACTGATCCCCGACCTTCACAATTTTTATTTCATTTTTAGCTGGGACAGTAAATCTGCAGACATATTCTTCAGCGTGCATAACAATCTTGTTGTATCAGATATCTCCTATATCTTATTTCCTATATATGGAATAGGATGGATATCCTTCGAGAGTTATGTATTTGACTCAACTCTATGATCATTGCCAAAGGGCACTTGAAGGAATTTGTGATCGCTGTATCAGAACATGCGTAGAAAGATGAATGTGCGATCGATTTTTCCTTTACATAAAAAAATTAGCACAAATGGGGCAAGGACAATTTCTGATGTTCGAAATGAAACACTTCGATTCATCTATAGATCCAAGAAGTAAAGATTTCAGTGAACCTGGCAGCGCCTTAAATTGAAGCAATTTGATTTCTTGTACGACAGTGCAACTATCCCCTTTCCTCTCCTTCATTACTGTACTTACGTGGCCGGTAGTAGGTACATATATGACTCTTCTGGATTGAACTGTAATCAACGTTTGGATTGCAGCGGAATGCAAGATAATTGAATTGCATAATCAAATCTGTTCGTTTTCACCGAGCCTTATTCCTCCGCAGACATTACTTTTGTTAATTAAAGCGCAGTCCTATTCATATTTAGGCATCCTCAAGCCTAGCTGATCAGTTTGCATGCTTCTTCCTATGCCCACTCTATTCTGCAATGTTCTACGAGGCAATATTTCGTAAATTATTGAATGAAAAACAAATAAACTTGTATTAGAACTATATGACAGCAATAAGGAGACTGAGGACAGACAGATTTTTACTAAGTCTAACCACATACACTCCCTTCACTCCGTGAACGATTCGCAGGAAACTAAACTAAAATAAGTAAGTAAGCTCTAGTTGGACGCCTGACAAGCAGTAAGGGCAACCAACGATTTTTACACCATGAACCCATTGAAAACGGGAAATCATTTTGTTATTTTTTCTAGTCTTCTATTCGAAGAATCGAATTGCGAATGAATTGATGTGTTTTCAAATCTAGGTTTCGACGGGGTTTTTTGTTTTTTTTTTTTTTTAATATGAAGTGGCGGTGTTGATAGATTTTCGAGTCTTCGCTTCCTAATGTACTTCTTTTATGCTAGATGTAAGCTATGGCAAATATAAAAAATGCAACTCCAACTAGTATTTTCATACTTGTTAGAGCTTAGTTAGTAAACATACAAACTCTTTTATATATTGCCTATATTTCAACTGAACCTACTTCTAAAGAATTCGGGGCAAATTGGAGCCGATATCAAAAATAAACCAAATTCAAAATTGTATAAAATATACAAAAAACTAAATACAAATTTGAAGAATATAGCTCTTATAATTCGTCCGAGATATAATTTAATAACTATATTTCGATCATGTTTTTAATCGATTAAAATAAAACGAGAATATTTATCGATTGCTTGAACTTGAGGGACAGACGGGCGGACAGAACTAAATCGACGCAGCTCATTATATTGATCACGAATATATAAACAAACATTAAGCCCTTATTTTCCATTTTCAATGGGATCAGGGCGTAACTATTAGGTTTTATAATATTTTTCCTAAGGACTGATAACCTCTCTCGCGCAGATCCTCGATAAGGAAGCTCATATTCATATACCATAGAATACGCAAAATGCACATCGCTGGGTCACTGAATCAAGTTATAATCATTATATAACAAGATATCGAAATCGAAATCAAATTCAATCTTTCTGAGCAAGAGACAGGCATAAGAAGTAAAAGCCCCATGCCGACTACGTTATAAATGTCTTTGTGTTAGGTGGGTCTGCACAGTTCCAGTTGCATCATAAATTATTTTACTTATCAATAACTTATAAGTAATCATAGTACTGAAACTGGCCTTAACGAGTTTTAAAGTACCTCATGTTAATTATATTTCATTTGCAAAAGACTCACTTAGATTTGAGTACATTTTATCACTAGTTGGAGCGGTTAAGCTGCAATGCTGACAGCTTCGCTTAAATACAAATTAATATGATAATTTATGAAGTTGTGGCTTGGATACTAATCTGGGACCTTAATCATGTTCTAAGGCTTGGCAAATGAAGAAAAGCTACGATCTATGAGGAACTTGCTTCAATTTGGTAGTGCTCAACTGGAATTGACTTTACACAAGGCAGCGCACTGCTGTTAAAGAAACTCAAACTCTTTGTACACAGATATTCATATAAAATAATAAATTAAATACTATGCTTGGGAAAACTATATTTCATTAACAAGGTATTTAACAAAGCTCCACATGTTTTAGCTCTACTTGCTATTGAATTACCAAAGTTACAAATTGTTTGCTGTAAGATCACAGCTCGTGATCTGTGTATTTATACTTATAGACAGTCAGATAAACATGCCTTGCCTAAATTTACGTATATATATAAATACTCGTAACTTAATATTTGGTTGAATGGGGTACATCATTTATGCAATTTCATATTGGCTACATCTGTCATAGCTCATGCAACGGCGCCGCTAGTGGACTTTCCTAGGGAAATTAAGCGTCGACTAATTTTAATTCTAGTCTCAGTTTCAAATCAAATCAATTACTCAGATAAGTGTATTTGCTTAAGCACAAGTCTTTATTATTTCAAATAAAATGAAAATTTGGACGGTATTTTAAATAGGAAATATACGAAACTCGTAATTTCATTATAGTAAACCGAATAGTGAATTTAAGTGGTATTCAAAATCAAAATATCGATGCTAATCGAGTTATCAAAAAAATAATAATAGCATCGAACTGCAGTTGGAAAACAGAAATATACATTGAAAATTTCAAATGCAACTTTTATGACTTACAGACGAATGTATAACATACGGTCAGACAGACATGAACGACTAATCTCGTCATCCTGATCAAGAATGTAAATACTTTATGGGGCACGCCTCCTGTTAGAAACATTTACGGTAAACCGGGCACTCTCGACTAAACCACGCTTTGCTGGATAAGCATTTTTTTTTTATAAAATTAAATTTAAAACAGAAGAGCACAAAACGTAATCATAGTAACAGAATTGAAGAAACGTTCCAAGATATTCTGATTGGGAAATCAGTGGCATGAAAGTGCTCCAAGCTAAGCACAACTAGCTATTTCCTGAACTTGATCTGAATGCATTAATTTCATTATGTCAACATAGGGTTATAATCAGTAGAATGAAGTAGAAGACATGAAATGTTGTACGAAGATAATCCCTGCTGCACATAAGTAAGCTTAAAGGACGAAAGAAACAATTTGAAGATGGAGTCAACATTGATCAAGCTTTGTATAAGACAACCTCGAAAACGATTGATTAATGATAGATGATCAGAAGTCAAGTGTCGAAGAAGTATTTACAGTGCAGTGTGTTGATAATATAATATAATTTTCAACAGAGTTCTTATCTTTAACGAGGCTCAAAGCACCGAAGACTCTGCAACTATAAAATGTTTTGGCCAAACGCAGACTTGTTGCAATCGTTACTTGGCACGCAGTACAGTAACATCGAAGAAATGAATAGCTCAAACCGTTTGGGTTCTGGACTCATGCTCCAGCTCCTAATGCTGACAGCCCTTGGCATTACTTCTTCGCAAGGTGAGATAATTGTCATCAGCTGATATGTTTTATTTAACTTGCGACCAGCAGGTCTGTCTGAGGAGTACCTCAAGGACATAAAGGCGGACCAAGTTGCCGAGCAGGCAAGTGGGAGTTATAACTATGACCAGCAAGGTAACGATTGGGAAGGAACCTGCCAAGATGGCCAGCAGCAATCGCCAGTTTCATTGACCAGCAGTGCGGTAGGTACACAACAAACTCTTGAACAAGTTGGAAAACTTACAGCCCACGGTATTCTTGACAGGCCATTGTAACCGCCATACCGCGTATATATTTCTACAACTACGATCAGAATTTGGAGTCACCTTTAATCCTGACAAATAATGGAAACACAGGTGGGCAACAGATTCAACTGATAAGTTCCTAACAAAAAAAATTATTCACTCCAGCAAACATGGTACTGCCGCCCACGCAAAACGGACAACGTGCGTACATCAATGGAGGCTTATTGCCAGGCACCTTCGAAGCGCAAAGTGTGCACTTTCATTGGGGTTCCGCTTCCAGCAAGGGTTCTGAGCATACTATCAACTCTGAGCGTTACGATGTTGAAATGCATATTGTCCATAAAAACATTCGCTATCAAACGGTTTCCGAAGCCAGCGCCTATGCGGATGGTCTAGCCGTTCTGGGAGTCATGTTTAGAGCTGTTAACAGAATATTCTCGCTACATAGTGGACTAATAAGGATCTTTAATCAATTACCCCAGATTGTTGAATACGAATCTAGTACCGAGGTAACTGGTCGCTTAACAGTACAGCAGCTGCTGGGCAATATTAAGACTGGAGAGTTTTACTCCTATAATGGTCAGTATACGTAAATTCAGAGAGTATTCCCACCTCTATTATAAATGTGCTTATATAAAACAGGCTCATTGACAACGCCCGACTGTGCCGAATCCGTGACTTGGACGGTCTTCAAGGATGTTGTCGACCTACCTGAACGACAGATCATGAAACTTTGGGAGTTGAAAGACTCACGCAGCCAACCCCTGACAAACAACTACCGTACTCTTCAGGATATTAATGATCGACCCGTTTACTACACAGCTCAATAATGAAAAACTAATAACCAACACCTACTAATATCAAAATAAATTTACTGGACATATGCAAAATTGAAAATCGTTACTTTTATTTTTGAGACACGGACACAGGTCAAAATGTATGCATTGATTGTATTTTAATTATATATCTAGTTGTGAATATATATATATATATATATTAAAATATATATATGCTGAAGAAAGCCAGAGAAAATACAGTTCGTGAACGAGGATAAACTCGTACTGCGAATTGAACATGGGAACATATATTTTAGTCTGAATTCATTAAGTACTGACTGGCCTGAAACATAGATTGTGGTTGTAGAAAACAGTTTGGAGTAGAGAAGATGCTTATTGACTTTAGACGACCAATATGTTTATTAATTGTTTGTTAATTCCATTAAGAAAGTTGAAAACTGTAGAAACTCGAGTTTTTTTAATATTTCTGTTAAGTTCAGTGCACTCTAATGATTCGATTAGTGATAAGAAATTATTTGTATTCTAAAGAGCTTTATTAAAATTGTAAGTTCATGGTTCACTTAAGTGAAAGAGTAGCTGAAAAATTAGCTTTCTAAAGAAGACTGTTGCTATTGAAAGAAAGTTGGTTTTCCTTAAGTCCACTGAAGCTGAACCAGACTTCAGCTCACTTTGATTAGAAATACGTTTGATGCACCAGGTTGTCAGTCACTTACCTTGTTTGGTCACTCAGGATCCACTGCAAATTGCAAAACACGTTGCAATTACTATGCAAATTTCCCACCTGGCCAGAACAACGTTCTTAACGAGGCTAAGCAGGCTCTGCAACTATAAACTGTTGTGGTCAAACTCTGAATTGTTGCAGTCCAGCTGCAAGCGCTACTTAGTGCACATATCGCCAGCTAAAAAATAATATATTATTCCAGTAGAGTAACATCAAATAAAATGCATAGTTCCAGCCTCTGTATTAAGAACTTAAAATAGTTTGATTGATTATTTTGTCAAAATTGAACATTTTATTTTGTAATTACATTTTCTATACACTTCAAATTACATTTTTGGCACATTTACAAATGAATTATGTATTGAGAAATTATGCAAAACTAAGTCATTTAAATTATGATCAACATGGAAGAGACTGGAATGTGGAAACCGGCAAACAACAATCGCCTATTTCATTGGCTAAACATCAAGTAAAAGGTTTGCCTTTAAGCTATCATTTACTAATTGCAGACCATTCATTAGGCTGTTAGATCCACTGCGCCAACATTGACCTTTCTTAACTATGGCAAGACAATTGCTAGTCCTTGGAAGCTTATCAATAATGGGCACACCTTAACAATGTTGATACCGCCAGCTGCTAATGGCAGCCAGCCTGCTCTTTGCGGTTGTAAGCTGGAAAGTGTTTATAAAGCTGTGCAACTTCATTTTCATTGGGGCGCCCCATTTAGCAAAGGATCGGAACATAAGATTGACTCTATACGCTACGATGCCGAGCTGCATATTGTTCATCAGAACAGCGCGTATGCACTCCAACAGGAAGCTCTTTCCTCGCCTGATGGCTTCGTGGTGTTGGGATTCATGTTGAAATTAGTGCCTGTAAGTTGTACCCAGTATTGGTTATTATTATCATTAATTATACATAATTAGAAACCCGCAATCAATCCGCGGGCCTTAAATAAAGTCTGTAGTCAGGCGAGTCAAGTCAAAAATTTTAAAACAACCTCAACTTTGAAAGGCGAATTTTCATTGAGGGATATTTTAGCTGGTATAGAAAGGCAAGAGTTTTTTACTTACAAAGGTCCGTATTCTTTGCACTTGGGTCAGTCAACACCCAAAAGTATGCATTAATTCTATTTACCTGTAGGGTCGCTTACCACACCACCATGCTCTGAAGTCGTCAACTGGTTTGTCTTCCCCAAGGCGATTGAAATTTCCAAAAGATATGTGAGCGAAAAAAATGTTTAAAAATAACTTCAATAATTAATAGCTACGCCCCAGTTAAGAAATCTGTGGTACCTGACAGATAACCGCGGCAAGCCCTTGATAAATAATTATCGAGAGGTACAGGACCTTCACGGGCGTAAAGTGTATTATAGAGAGAAAAGCAACCAAACAAAACAAGACACATTCGAATATACGTAACGATTGGTTAAATGCATATCGGTGCTTGCACTGGCAATTATCGATTACGAGGCATCGGAAAAGCGTTCAACTGGGATGACACTCAAATTTTAATCTAATAAAATTGAGCCAAATGGCAAACTATCAAATGTTTTTTATGTTTGAGTAGTCGTAAATAGTGGTACACATATATTGAGGCATATGCATGTTATATTATTGGCTTTGTATTAGTTAGTTAATATATATTGATATGAACACACATCTCATCTAGCAGAGCAAACATATCGTGTCATTCAACTATTAAATCGAAAACATGCAAATTGCAAACCATGACAAAGTCCGGCCGTATTTTATTAAATAGGAAAACGACGTGCACAAGCAGAAAAAATGAAACGTGAAGCTCCGGAGGCACGTGATAAATTGCCTATAGTATACTCCAAAAAGTATGCCGTGTGCTTTGCTGGTCTGGAAAAGTTACATCCTTTTGATGCAGCCAAGGGAAAGCATATACAACAGGTAAATTTATATGCTTATCGTACATGCGTTTGATATATCTGTGCATAGTTTAAAAAACTGTTTTGTACATTGTGCTTTCAGTTGCTCTGCGGTGAACTGTCGCTGGAATGCGGCGATTTCTACAATCCACTTGAGATTACCAAAGACGAACTACTGCGAGTGCACACGCCAAAGTATTTAAAGTCCCTCAAATGGAGTGCCAATGTCGCTGCCATTGCGGAGGTTCCGGTATTAATTTTTGCGCCCAATTTTGCAGTGCAAAGTGGATATCTGCGCCCAATGCGATACCAAACAGCTGGCTCAATCCTGGCTGGAAAACTGGCCTTGGAATATGGTTGGGCAATTAACTTAGGCGGCGGTTTCCATCATTGCTGCTCGTACAAAGGCGGCGGCTTTTGCCCCTATGCAGATATTACCTTGCTGCTTGTTCGCTTGTTTGATTTGGAGCCGTCGAGAGTACAAAACGCAATGATTATTGACTTGGATGCACACCAGGGCAATGGCCATGAACGGGACTTTAAGGACACAAAAACTGTATACATACTTGATATGTACAATGCCTACATCTATCCAAAGGATAACGAAGCCAAGCTTAGCATTCGCTGCGCTGTTGAATTGAAGCATCTAACAGAAGATGCCTACTACCTAAGGCAACTAAACCGATGCCTGATGCGAGCGCTTGCAGAATTTAAGCCAGATATTGTTGTATATAATGCCGGCACCGATATTCTCAAAGGTGATCCGCTAGGTAATTTAGCAATCACTCCAGACGGCGTTATAGAACGCGATCGCTTGGTCTTCAGTACATTTCGAGCATTGAATATACCAATTGTTATGTTGCTTAGTGGCGGCTACATGAAATCATCTAAGCACGTTATAGCAGATTCAATAGTCAATTTGCAACGACAGGGATGGTTAAAATAATTAATCTTTTTTCAGAAAAATATATACAACTGTTGGACACCGTTAGAACGATAACCCATTGGGGATAAACAATGAGCTGTGAGAGACAAGAAACTTTTACTTCAAATGTCTATTATATCCAAAGATTTAATCATTTTATATACTTAAAATAAGAATCCAAAAATTGATGTACTACATTCCATTTGCATTAAGAGCTGACTATTATATTGATCGGACTAATTAGGATCAATAATATTGTTTATTGCTATTTATTATTATATAAAGCAAACGGCGACACTTAATTGCTTATGTTATAAATACACACTAGTGTTGCTTATTACGTGTTTGAAGTACAAAAATGTATATAAATAAATATTTTTCTCGAATACTTAAAGTAAACAATTAGAATATCAGTAGTCTATAAGTAAAAGGTTTTGTCATGGGTATTACTTCATAGTTTTATTTCTATGATGCAATTGGTGTTTCTTAGTTTTGTCTTTTATAAGTTAACAATTGGAGCTTCCCGAATATCCTGCTCCTAACAAGCCGTTGGCATTGGCAGTCTAGAATTGCAATTCAAATAAGGTTAAAAAACTAGTTAATTTATACATTTTAATCGGGTTACTAAGTATGTTGAAGTGAGAATTGCATGCACAGATGAGAGTTCAGTTATGAAGGCGTTCTTGTTGTTTTTGCTGCGGGCCAACTTCAAAAACATCAATTAAATAATCTAAAAGTAACATAAAATAGTTCAAAAATTAAAAAGGATTTCACTGATAAACAACATACGAAAAAGTTTACTAAATGAGATATGACCCCATCCTTTGGACCCCCTAAGCCTGCTGAGATGAGTAATTAGAGGTGTAACGAAACTACAAAAACAAGGCAACTATACTAATAAACTTACGCCGCATTGCTAGCAGGCAGATCCTCAAAGAGTACTTCCCATCGTGAGCTGATAATATATATTAAACAGAACGAAATTATAAACACCACAATTCCAATGCTCAAAATTGTTATTTCGTGCACATTGGACGGACGTAGAAAGATGCGTGCGCTGAATTGCGACCAAGTTGATTCAGTCCATGTTGAATATTGACCTGACCGCCAATCGTAGTCTGGAATTCAAGAGATAGTCATTGGTTGGCAGCTTCGAAACGAGTTCAGCACTTACCTTCAATGAGAAATGCCGGACTTAATGCATGTGTATAGTTCTGCGTTGTACGGCGACACTCTCCAGTGTCATTCAGACCAGCAAAATAATACAGGGGCAATTGAGTGCAATTCTCTTTTGGCACACTCGGCTCTTGGTGCGAAAGCAGATAACCAAACAGGCGATACGTCCAGCCCGATGATTCTTGTGAGCCACCCAGCACACTTATGTATCTAGATGGATAATAAGTTTGTGTTTACTCTAAAGTGACGCTTATGTATTTATACTCACCTCATTGGCGGTAAAGGTACACCTGGAGGACTGTTCAGATATGAAGAAGCTTTGAAAAGTGGGCAATCCGAGGAGAGCAGAAAGCAGTAGAAGAATTCATCTGCCAGCAGCGGATTGGCCACTTGATTTCCTTGGTACTGTTTTCCCGTTAATGTCTCATAAAGCGCCATTGCCACTATAGACGACACATTGCGCACTTTCATTTGCAAAGAATTAACACTGATGTTTTTCATATCGTTCACATCAGCCAGCTTTGTGTAATCTTGGCTGGTGTTAGCATAGATAAAAGCAACATTATCGACATCGTCATATATTGAGTGATAGAATCTATTATTGGGCAGAGCGTTTAAGATTAGTGCCGGGAACTTTTCATCACGACGCAAAAAGGATTGAGCTGATGTGGGTGGTATATGATAACCCACGTTTGATTCGAAGTTCACATTAAACCCGTATCGGGATGATTTAGCATATCGGTTGAGCTGCTGCAGCAGTTGCTTAGCGAGCAGTGTAGAGGTTAGTGTGTGTAGCTTAATGTTGCCAATATCGTCGAGTGTACCAATGTCTAGCATAAACTCGATGTTGTCAAATGAAATAGGCGTTGTGCGTGTGGAGCGGGTCGGAAAAGCCAAGTTCTCCATATCGTAAACAAAGCGCTGAGAACCAATGTAGTCATAAGACTCGCCATTGAACGCCACAAAGAGCACATTGCGTTTTGGGTCAGTCAGTGTATTCTGCGAAGGTAATAGGATATGTAGCATATGCGCTACTTGGGTAAGAATAGCCAGGCTCTGCAACGAGTCCATCGCGCCCAATCCTGCAAGGGTGACTGTGAGTAATCAATGAAACTAATCGCTTGCTACACTTACCCAGTCCATCAAACATGCTCGTAGTGTCTAGGCGGCATGATACAATAATAAATTTCTCGTCGGTATTGATATCTACATTTTCAGTTGGACTGCGCGGATACAATGTTGCATACACATTCCGACCCTCCAAAGGATCGCAATATTTACTGCCGCCAAGATTATTTATAAAATTAGTCCGCCGCATGCACACTTCAGAGTTAACAGCTGCTGACATAAAAGACTTGATTTCCACAGCACATAAGCTGCGCAGAGCATGCGACTCGTAATCAAAGTCGTTAAATTTGATAAAACATTTCTCCAGTTTATCAATTTCTTCAGGATCGGCTATGTAGTAAATGGGAAATGGAAAGTCCTCGTGCAGTAGACCAGTGCCCCAACGATTCCAGGTATTGGTCACTTTTTTTGCATCACAGGTGGCTGTCTCTGTGCTGTTGTTTAATTTGAGACCACTGTACTGATTGGGACAGTTGAGTTCATGTGAAAATTGTTCTATTTTCGATCTATTTATTAGAAGCACAACAGATATTATTTTCGGGCCGGCTTCTTTAAGACGTAACAGGTTGGCCCTTGTAAACAAATGTGGTGGTATCATGGGAGCGTACGGCGGCGATGGAGGACTGGTAAGCAAAAATTCCAGGTCCGCATCAATATTTATCAGATGCAGTACGCCCACAGATCCCGAAAATGTTGCTGTAATGGAGGTCGGAAAGAAACATATATATGAGCAGTTTACCTTAAGCACCCCTATATTACTTACATGAGCATCCTGTCTGATGGGTACCGTTCAAGCGTCGGAAGCAGCTGGCGCCCAAAATGGGTTCGTACATTTTATCACGCGTACGTTCGCCAATAACTACGAATAATAAATGAATAGCAACAAAGCGGCTTAGGTGAGTCAGCACCAAGAATTTGTTTATGCATGGGGGCGTTCAGATGAGGAATTCTTACCACTGGCAGTACTTTGGAACATTAACAGCAGCCATATCGCAGCTGCTTTAATCTGCTGTGCCATTAATGAGATCTTTGCGGTTTTTGCGCCAATTGCCTGGCGGTATTATTGGTAATATACAAATGACAACAAGAAACCTAACATATGTACTAATATATTTAGGTCTGAATTGATACGCGTTACTTATCACAACTCTTGGTTTTCCATAATCAGAGTTGCACAGCATTAGTGGCATTCCTTGAAATAATTTATATAGGACTACTCAGACTATCGGCTTAATGCAAGCCGAAAAAAGTACTGTTTTTAATCGATTACAAATTTTTATATATCTAGCTACTTCTATATGTTAAGCTTTTCTTCCAACTAATATGACAAGTCCATGTAAATATGGTGTTTAATAAAAATTATGGCATTGTATATTGTCTTGTATTCTATTTCTATAATTATACCTTAACCCATCCCGAAGTACACAACTTTATCACTCTTTCATCCGTTGATTTTAAATATAGATTAATTATTTAAAGCATTTAAAGCTTCAATTATTCCATATCTGCAGTCGTTATTTGTTTAAATTTCCGTGAATCCATAAAATAATTGAAAACAAAAGAATTATAATTTTGAATCGCTGTTTAAATTTTACCAGACACGATAAATATAACGATTTCTTTTAACTTACTTTTTACTTAATTATGGCTAATGCTACACAATAAGTAAAAGCTTACTATCATACTAACATAATAGACGATTTCAATTAATACTAAAAGAGCGAATCTTCAGCTCGTATGTATTCTCCAATATCAGATTGATGAAAGCAAACAGTAGTCAGCGGATCAGCAGTTTTACATTCAGTGGTGGATCGCGCAAGAACTCCGAACCCTAGAGCCAAGTCATTCATGGAGTACACAACAACGCCCTGATACTGTCCAGCGTTTTCAGTTATTCTGCCCAAGCCTGATTTTGGTATGTGATTACCATAAAGAAACTGTTGCTCGAAGGAAGGTTTGACCCAAACCTTGTACTGTGCATATGGAGCCAAATAATAAAGCGCCGTTATATGGAACTTAAGTTTATTGGTCTTCGAGAACTTGCCAAAGCAGGTGCCCACGCATACAAGTTGCTTGTACCCGAAACACTCGCTTAGCTTTAATATGCGCTCAGAGACATAATAAATGCGATCTTTATGCTCGCGGAAGCAATATGTTCCATCCGGCCTATCAATAAGTTGTTGCACATTTGATCCAATACTGAAAAGGAATGGGATTTTTAATCATCTTAGTGACTTGTAGCTCACTAACTTACTATTTTGCAAGTTTCTCAAAGAGAATCTTTGTACGTTCATCAGTTAATCGCTTCATTACGTTTTATTATGAAAAGAAGCAAATAACGCGGCACAATGTAAGAAATGTGTTTTGCAACAATGTACTAAAAAATACCATGTAACTCACGTTTTATTTACTAGTGCTGGGTAAAGCCGCAATTTGACACCTAAAGCACTGATATATATCGATACATACATATCGTTAAGCGACATATTTACGAAAAAAGAAAAAATCGGTATTTGATGTAATTATTTAAAGATATGCACAAATTAATAAATTAAAAGACGTTGGTGTTGATTTAATTTTTAGATAAACGGAGTCCTATATATTTTTATTAATATGTAATGAATTGCAGGATATTGTGATTTTAATTCTTGCTTATATATATATAGGTATATAGGTAATATTAAAGGAAAATCGGATAGCTCTATAATATATTTTTCATAATAAGACATAGGCGTCTGTAGCGAAGTATAATTTTCACTTATCTTTTTAATAATAATAAATAATTTTATATTATAAATTGCTTTTTGACTGTTATGACTATTGAAATAAATTCACTTTCAATATATTTTTGTAATAACAAAACTAATCAAATTACACATTAAATACTTAAGCATATATTTTTAGTTGTAATATCATGCAAACTCTGATTTTTGTGAATAGTGTCGTTCCCTTAGCAAATTTTCCAGCTGATGTTCCTGATAGTAGACCACAAGCTGAGCTGCTGAAGCTTGCTTGAACAATTCATAGATAGTTGGCTTCAGATTGTAGAAGAATAGTAACTGTTGTCGCTGGTGGAAGTCGTTGATTAGAGAACCTACGACAGTTGCCGTTGTAAAGTCAGCGCTATAGACATGCGAGGCATCGACGACGACGGGCACATTCTGGCGCATGGAGTGTTTGTTAACCCAGTTTCTTACATATTCCACCGAAGGAAAGATTAAGCAGCGATCGGGTGTAATCATCAAATATTCGATGCCTGATTCGGTTAACAAGAGTTCGAAACTTAGCTTCGGTCGAGCCACATTGTACAATATAAAAATAACATTGACTCCAATTCCGATAAGAATTCCACACTCCAAAGGCATCACCAAACAAGCAACGAAGGTTCCAACACCAGGCACCAGATCAGTTTCTGAATGAGAAAAAAGCCATAGTTATTATAAATACATATATTGAAATTAAAAAAAAATGAGGAAATAAAAATTAATAGTCAGATACCTGAACCCCGCACAAAGATGCTTCACTTTCTGCGGAGGTTGTGTTAGGGTATGTAAGAACATAGACGTATATAAACATATTATTTTAAGCAACTTCTAGTCTTGGCCAGTAATATATTTATATGCAACGCCTCCTCCTATTACAATACCATTATATCCTTAATTCCTAATTTCAATGTGTTTGCTCAGAATATAAAAATACATAAAATGCTGCATAGAGAGAAGAGGAAAAACGAGCTGCTGGGGAAATACAAAAAAATTTTAAATACTGATTTCGAATCGCAAGTGTTCAAGCAAATTTTTTAGATGCGACATAATTAAAGAACATTTAAATTTATCACATCACTTGCGCAACAGCAGTAATTAACTTGTGGCACTACCTAATTATCGCCTCATTTGGCGAGAGAATTTCATACATTAAGGTTTCACTAAGACTAATGGAAAGCTTTACTGCAGAATAGCAAAAGGTTGTTAAGTTAAGGAATGCCAAGCTGCAAACACTTGAAAGATCTGTATCCCTAGTGATAAGCTAAGATCTGTGAAATAAATCAGAGATCCCTCGGAAATAAGCTAATGAACTTTTAAATGTTATACTTAGTTAACTTCTTCTTCCTTGTCTTCTTCTTTCTGGGTCTTAAACCAATTAGCATATAAACTCGTATACTTCATTAGTTTACTTACTTTTAGCACGCCAGATGGGCTTTAAGACCTTGATTTCGATCATAAAGACAACGGCGGAAATTATAATTGCAGCCAGTGTGGCCTTAGGAATAAAGTAGAAGTAGGGCGTTAGGAACAGCAGGGCGACAATGACTAATGTCCCTGAATAAACGTTGCTAAGTGGAGTGCGTACTCCACTGGCATTGTTGACAGCTCCCCGACTCAAGGCGCCGGTTCCTGGGAAGCCTTGCATGAAGGAATTCAGAATATTGGCTGTGCCGATAGCAATAAGCTCCTGTGAGGCGTCTGTAGGCTGGCCAAAGGCTGAAAATAATTGAAGTAATTTGACTTGGTATTTGTATTTGACTTGGACTGTTGACAAGGGACTCACCGAACGCCTTTGCAATCGCAATACTCTCCATGAGGGAGATCAAAGGAATCACTATTAGACCGGATCCAATGCTGTGCACCATATCAAAGAAGTCCTGTGGCTCGCCGTCAGTGGTCTCGTTCGCACTTAGGGATGTGGGTGGCCACTGAACACTGGGCAGGCCCGGGGGTATCTCGCCTACTATGCAAAAAGGCGTGCCATGCTGCTCGCTGTGCAGCAGATAACCCATGATGCAGCAGACGATGACCAGGATTGCATTGCGTGCCGTGCCCACAATCCAAAAAAGTTTGTTAGCAACACGTTGACAACGCGAGTGCTGCTCATCCAGTTCGGGTCCAATGCGGTAGGAGGACAGCATGCGTAACATTAACAGAACTACAATGCACGTGATTCCGAGAAGTGTATCTGTGGGACGCGAGTCTTGTATGTTCAGGAATACCTGCTTCCAGAGCTCCACAAAGGTATTGCCATTGGCTTTGATGCCCAGCACATTCTGAATTTGCGAGGAGAGAATAATCAACGAAACAGCTGAGGTAAAGCCTGAGGCAACCGGTCCAGAAACAAAGTCAATGAGAAAGCCCAACCCAAGAAGACCCATTGCCAATTCAAGAACACCGCACATAAGACAGAGCAATACGGATATCTGCCATGAGCCCTGCGCCACCTGGAACGTTAGCAGCGCAATGATTGCTGAAGGACCTAGCGGCACGTCCTTGCAACTGCCCAGAAAGATATACACAAAACATCCAGCAAAACTAGAGTACAATCCATACTGAAAAGAGCCAGAATTGTAAATTTAAGTCAGTTTGGGGCTCAGCTCCGCTCTTACCGCAACCGGAAGACCCGCAATGCCCGCATAAGCTAGCGCCTGCGGAATGACTGTTAGCCCAACGCTTATGCCGGCCACCAGATCACAAATAGCATCCTCGCTCGTATACATTGGAAGCCAGCGTAGGATGGGCAGACGCTTGTGAAGCGTCCTCTTATTGAACAGTTTCCTCCTGCAATTCGCGAAACAGCTTCTCGACCTGTCCAGAATGCTCCGATCTGCCCCAGGCACCTTTCTGCCATCTTTTGTCACTAAAACAAAGAATGTGACTGAGAAGCAAATTGGAATGGGTCTTCCATCTGATTAGATATCCGTCTCTAACATATATAAATGCTCGCATGATTATTTTAGAATAATAAAACGCTCTGCGGCGTTGACTATAATTCAGAAGAGCACGTACTAAGCGATCGCAACTTTAGTGAGTTGATTTACGTACTGTTATTATTGTACAGCAATTACTATTGTTCTTTATGGCCTTTTTTAACATGCACACGTTTCATTGTCAAGGGTAAATTGGGTGTATCTTTTGAGAACATCAGAAACTATTCTGACTTTACAGCGCATACCCATTTTACTGCGCTCTTATACGTAGCTATACAAAATATGAATATTACCACACATTACCTAGTATAACTGAAACGGACTTCCCACCTTACTCAATCATAAGGGATAAGACAAGCTATAGAACGCCCGATTCAGTATTTCACTAATTATAGACTAGTTAAGGGAGATAATTCTCAGACCTCTCAAATTAATAGTTTATCCAATTAGGTAGACATCGAATGCGAAGTGCGAGATATATTGGGTCGTTTCCTAATAACAACAACTCAACTAATACTTACTCCACATTCATTACTCAAATAAAAGCCTCTTTTTGGAGCAGTTTTTGACAAATTTCAATTTTATGGCGTCATTTTTTCGTTAAGCAAACAAAAGAGAATATAGTACTTCCTATAGCACTGCTTCTTGAGCTGGTTAGTCCTAGTCTTAGGCTTCATTTTAGAAGCAGTTATTTATTTTTAAGCTATTAATGATACAAAAATATATATTTTGACCGTTTCTAGTATAGATATTAGCACTCTCAGATATATATATATTGTGATAAACTGAGTTGAAAATAAATAAGTTTAGAACTTACGTACAAGCTCCTTGGACTCCGGAAATGCTCCCCCCAAGCTGCAGGCGCTGGCATTTTGCTCGGGAAGATTTAAGTTAATGGAGATGGTGGAGGACTTGAAGGCATCATTTAGATATACGTGATTCATAGCTGGATTAAACTTCATTTTAAAGAAATCAATAATACTAGAAAAGAAAGATAATTGTTTGATTTTTTTAGTCATTTCAATTAAGGGAACAGGAATTTCCTACTCCTAAAAAGCTTTAGCCAAAATTGAACATATATTTTATATGTTTAATATATTAATATATTTTACTAATATCAATAATGAAAGACAAAACTAATTATGACCCATGTAAAAATTCCATACCATATGGGTATCAACAAACTAAGATTAAACAGATTCCCAAACTGAGTCTATTAGTCTTACCGTCGGCCTATAGCATCGTTTGATTGGTAGCATTTGACAGATGTTTGCAGAAAGGTAGAATATTTTGATTTTTTTTTTTAAATCGTAAGTGAACCTACTTTTGACGTATGACAAAATATATATGAAATATATGATGTCTAAACTCCTTTGACGTTTTCCGTGAACAAATAGATATTCTCTTATATAGTTCTCGAGACCGAACCAGAACAGACTCTCCGATATAGCTACATCGACTCAACTCAGCTCGACCACCATAAGTATACAAATGCTGCAATTTTTTTTTTTTTAATATTTGTTAATGCTTAACGCGCTTTAGCCCAATGGCGGGCTATAAAATATACACTTTATATATTTTACTTATATGATTTTACTGTAACTTTCCATCTGACATATGATCTCATGAACCAAAAATGTTAGCCCTATTGTTGCTTTGTGCATAGACGACAAATATTTCACCAACTTACCTAGATTTTCAGTTTAGTTACAATTAACTCAGCCTCTATTGAAAATAAATATTTTGTTGTGCTCGCACCGGCAAGTCGACTTATAACATTTTTGTTTTTATACTTGTTTATTTAAAAAGCAAAAGGTATTTGAAAAAGGTTTATTGTTTATTTAATTGCCCATAATTGCGTATATTTGGCTTGGGCGATCGCCTCATTTGCATGCCAGGCAGACTTGGAGTCCAAAACTTTTACCGATACACAAATTTTGTATTTTATTTTCATTAATTTATGTACACTTTGTCATTATTGCAGATCACTGAAACTTACACAATACTTAAAATAAAAACAAAACTCAGTTTTAAAAGCAAACATAGTCAGATTTTACTCGAGCGGCCTAAGCCCACGAATTGAAGCGTTAAATATAAGACTGGGCGAGCGTAAGCAATTGTTTGCTTGCAACCAATAAAGCTTCAGAGCTTTTATTATATGCCAACAATGCCAACTGAAAGCTTTTGGGTTTGAGGAAATGTCACTGAACATAAAGTCGTACTACACTCAATTGCGGAATTGGAAGTGCGTGTGCTTTTTCTCTCACACTCTAAAGTTTAGAAGGCAAGAGAGCGGTTGAAATCGAATGTTGTTGGCATTGTGACTACACAAATTAATATGTGAGCCTCAAAGTACCAAATCATTTTATTTATAAATGCATTATTTATTATCTTGTACAGTGTCCAAAGCCCCACAGACTGGGTTGATCAACAACTTTTGACACACTTTCACCAACTGCCCGGCTAGCTCAGTCGGTAGAGCATGAGACTCTTAATCTCAGGGTCGTGGGTTCGAGCCCCACGTTGGGCGAAAGCAACTTTTTTACTTTTTCATTATTTTATTATTTTTTATTTATTTTAAAATCAATGTGAAGTCATTAAATTAAAGAGTCCGGACTAAGAAAAATATATTATATTCAAGCATGTCGATGAATTAAAAATGATTTACCTTTTACCCTTACCTGGACTGGGCGGATTTCGAATCATATCACATCAGATAAAAATATTCAATGAATGTAATGAATTTGTAAAAGTATTTAGATGACTTTATACGACGATAAAATGAAACAATATCCATTTGTTTTAAACTTTTATTTAATAAAATTTTACTGCTACGGAAAAAACGGGTTTCAATGGGTAAGGTTCTTAATTGTAACGTACAAAATTCACTTGGATGCAACTATATCATATTTAAAGCAAAAGGTCAAGATTGAAAATCATTTTGTTTTAAGTGTGAGCTACATATTAAAACTCATCCATGTGCATACATATAAACGTCTTTCACATCGGGATTGCTTCATAGTAAATTGTGAGATGTTTTTACCCAGAATTACAGAATATATTTCCATTTAATTTGTAAGATATATATGCTACTATTTCATAGACATGTGCTAATGTTTGCTACATATTAAATTGAATTAAATTGCAGTTAGGCAACACTCGCTAGTTAATATATCAAGTACAGACTAGTGTTCGGTTATGGAATTTATAAAAACCACTTTAAGATAATAATATATAATATAATATATAAACATATATACGTATATATATATATTAATTATGTATAACGCGACTTGTGTGAGAAGCGAATAAAATTGACGGTGGTACTTATGAAACTTACATAATATAACGACATTCGGGCTAATGAGGGCCAAAACGTGGACATTTACTATTTGTATAGCCAATTGCAGAGCTGACTGAGTTTTTAGAGAGATCATTATTGGAGCATTAAAATTGTCAAACTTTGATTTTTGATTTATTGAGGCACATTTGATGGATATTAACGTAAATATTGCATTGGGTTTGGGTTTCCATTGCCATTGCCATTGCTTTAAGAAGCCTTCTAGAAATGCTTCCTCATGCTCATGTGAGCGGAGAAGAAAAACGGCGACAGCAAGGAGCAGATCGATATCAAAAGGCTCACAACATATTGTTGGTTTGCTGAAATTTCGATAGCAAAAAATTATTCATTTTCGTAATTTTTATAGATTTAGTTGAACTCACCACCACTGCAAATGTCGTGCAAAATATCCTCCACGTAGCCGTTGTCATTATCGCAGAGGCACAGCTTGGTTTTACTCGACATGAACTTGGATACGCCAATAGTGCGGTTATTATTCTCGAATTGGCAAACCATGCCGTCTTCACACTCATGATTGCTGTGGCATCGATGTCGCAGACCTGCAAGACAAGCAAAGAATTATCATCGAAGAATTCGATAGAAACTTGGACTTACGAGACTAGTCCTAGAACTATAGGTAATTTAGCAAAGTCACAACAAAAACTGTCTAGGCTCTCAACTGCAGCCTTTGTCATTTAATGGGCAAGCTTAATTACCCCATTGATGTAAAACAAATCTGAACTTGTGCCATACCCCCAATCGATCTTCAAACGCCGATCATCCTATATAATTTTATACCTTTTTCTAACAAGAATAAATCTTTCAGCATTTTAGCTCTAATCAACCTTAGGTTTTATAATCGTCAATCACCTTGTCACGCTGAATACTTTTGGGACCAACCTCTAGGATATGCATATAGACAATATATAATTGTAAGATCAAAATCTATTCGTGCTTAGAATTTTTCATGTATGTATTGTTTATGATCTTATTTTGTATAAAAACTATTTATATATATAAAGCGTTCACACTTCCTTTGAATCTTATTTCATGATGCTAACTATAATTTATTGTAGCATAAATATGCATAAATATGTCCTTCTGGCATCAAAACTCCTGCATTTAAGAACATTCGAAATTTTGTAAGATTGCTATAATTTTAGCAACAGCCATGGCGAGTCTAAAATGTCCCCATTCGGATTGTAAACATCTATATGTACATAAATATATGTATATAATGTGTATGTAGAGTATTTTCTGGGCAGTGCATGTCACAAATTGGCACTGCAGCGATTTTATGCCTTGGCTGTTACAAGTCACGACATTCTTAAATAAATTTGACATTACACTACCATAAGGAGAATCGCGTCTCTCGTTGCTTTTAACATCGGAATAGGAAATGCTACAAAGGCTGCAGCAAGCCATAAATTTATTCTTGTCTACGAATTACCTATCCTCCAGCCCTATTGTTAGGTATTTCTAGAAATCTATATCTGGAATGGGACTATGAAACAAACAATTAACTGAAGCATCTCCCTCTCACTCTCTTTTTTTTTCCCTCCCCTTTCTCTGTCCAGAGGGAAAGACAGATCTCACACACACTGTCCAGAGAGAGGTACAGATCTATCTCTCTCTCTCTCTCGCTATATTAACTGGATGAGGATTTAAGTATTAATATATATGTTCATTAGCTAAATATGAGTCTTAAGACAAACCAGTTAGAGCATAGGAAGAATCCGACGGAAATCTGTGAAAGGAAATGCGAAATCTTGGCGAGTTAACAGGACCCTCGTGAGAGGCTTTGAGAATGATGTACATAGCACATATATGATGGTGCTTTGTTTAATTCTCATTTACAGCCGCTTGACACTTGAGTCGCTGGCAAACAAAGCAGATAGCTGCCAAGAAGGTGGACCTTTGAATTATGAATGTAATATGCACGTCTCCCAATTAGGTACGTACTGGCTAAGGCATTCTATTTGTAGGCGCCTCCTTATTCACACGCTGCACCCACCCCTCTACTCGCGCGACCACCTACCTTTGAGTACATCTAGGCAGAGTCCGGCCGAGGGCGGCGAATCGTCTCCGCAGAGGCAACGCATCTTGAAGTCGCTGGGATCCTTCACACAGCTGGTGCGTTCTGTTGTCGAGCAGTCATCGTTGGTGTTACACTCGCGACCTTTGACTGAAAAGCAAACAAAGAAATTAGCAGCAAATTAATTAATACAAGCAGCACACATATACTAACTATGCTATAAGTATTTAATATAATTGGCTAAGCTACGTCCGGTAGTCGCTCCCCACCCACCATTTGCCTCGCGCTACGATGATTTGCTTTGCTATTAGCGTTGTTGTCATTGCACTTGACTGACTTGTTTGATCAATTTCTGATTTATGCTGGGGCCTAAGGCTGGGAAAACGATGGCTTAGTTATTTGTACTTAGCTATGAGACATGCCAGACACATGGCATGTCATTAGGTCCCTCCACCTACGGACACGGGCGGAGTCAATTGGGGACTTGAAGTCGGAGCAACGCTTATTTTTCGGTATTAGGAAAGCATTTAACCTTTTTATCATACATTTGTATTTGTCAATAGCGAGATTATATATCAGCCGTGATTTATGGACAAGAAAACTCTAATTATATAGTTGAAAGTTCTTGGAGTATTGCCATTGAAAGGCAAGCAATTGTCGCAGTTCTCTTTGCATGTTATATGATTTTATTTGAGTGCCTGAACATGGACTTCGAATACCGAATAGCTCTAAGGATAACGTTGTCCACGGAAACTGTCTCGTGGTGTCCGCAATTTACAATTCATTTTCGGCATTCGCTGTCCACATGTCCGTATCTACAATTTGATTGTATCTATATTCTTATTTATGGTTCGTTATTTCGTACCCACTCAAAAAGAGGGTATTAGGGCTTATTGCAAGAATTATTAAACCTCTTTAAATCACATAACATTCCACAAGTGCAAATATTATCTAGCTTCCCTGAAGACATTACGCAGATCCTCTATAAGTTCTGTTCTGTTTTTTTATTTAAGACTTTATTTGAAAAAAATAAATATTAAAGTGGATCGGATGAGGTCAAATAAAATGTTCTCTAAAGTAATACAAATTTTGAAAACTAATAAAAAACTAATGAAAATATAAAAAAAATTAAATTAGAAGAATAAATAATTAATGAAAGTACCAAAAAATTGTATTAGAGGAATTCAAGCACTCGTCGAGTCTCTACAGCTTTGCCCAGGCGTCTGCCTGTGTCTCCCTTATATATAACTAGATACAATAAGCATCAACTTAATGTGCTAGTAGATATAGTAGTCATGGGATATATTTAGGTATAACTTTGTAAGAAATGCTAGAAGTCAACTCTCTCTCTCAGCATTGCCACAACAAACAGTCGAAATATCTTACGTACATTAAAATTAAATTAGTTTTAAGGGTAAGCGCACTCTTTTTTTTTTTTGGCTCACCTTCGGATACTTCTAGTACTTACTTATGGGACCTTGCGTGGGCGGCGGTTGATTATTGGTCTTGCCGAATGTAGTCAAAGCCGTGGAGCTGACGCCGAAGAGTATAATGAAGACGCCAAAGAGCATAGTCAGGCTGCCGCACTGCGTGAAGCGCTTCAAGGGCTGCATCTTAGCTCGCTCTCAACAACAATATTAGGGCGCCAAAAGTCGACTGTATTATAATCTTATTATCTCGCGCACTTTTATATATTTGCGAAGAACTTAAGCGCTGTTCACACGAAAAATCAGTTGATTTGCGTTAAAGCTATATTCAGTGTTCGGTTTATAGTTCTCACTAGCAATACAACACTTTGTATGCAGCTCTTTAATTTTTATTTTTCTTTTTTTTTTTTTTTGGTTATTATCTGGCTTGGCAGAGCCAACGAAATAACGAACCAGTCGCCTGCGCGTTCCAAATTCAAGTGATGAATTTGCTGGGGTACATGTAGCTTAAGTTTTCCACGGCTCTACGGCTCAACGGCTCTACGGCTCGACTGTTACTTACTTCTCGCTCACGCCAGTCCACAGGCCTACCCCCGTCCACTCTGCAGGACCGCCGAAATTTGGTAGGTCTAAAAACGAAGCTTGCATACTCTCACATAGCTTGGATGAGCGCATGTTTCTATATGTTTTTTGACAATATAAATCTTATATATTTGAGACATATATATATATATAATTATATATATATAATATTCAATTCTAAATAAACCGGTTGAAGTTAACGTATATGTCTATATATATATGGAATATTTATTTTTATTATTTTATTTATATATATTAAAATAAATACAAATTTTAAGTTTTTAATTCATGTATTTATGCTTTATTCTTATTATTTAAGACTGATATATTTAAATTATTTAGTTTCATTTAATAATTTCAGGTGAAAATTTCGAGCTATGTATTTTATTTTCAACTAGTCTCAGTTAATAATTTAAATTTAAATTAAATTTTAATTTAAGCCTTGAGTTTGCCTTGAGTGCGTGAAGTGAAGGCTGTTTTTTTTTTTACCTTTCAAGGGAATGATGCAAAAATCTTAGGCGTCTTTTGAACTTTGCTAACAAATTTGAATTTGAATTTGAATTTGAATTTGGATGTGTTATTGTAGAATTGTGTAAATACACACACACACACAGGCAGCTATGAATATGGATATGTATGTGTGCACAGGCCAAGCTGAAACGCACTTCGTGCTAGTAGCGCTAACGAAGATGGATTTAGTTGTTGTTGTTTAGTGTTACCTTCGTGCGATTTTTATTGTTGCTGCGTTAAAGTCGCGACGGCCTCGTCTCGACCTCGTCGCCGTCGTCCTGCCGCAACTCTCTCTGTGTGTATTATTATAATGGCGGAGTCATTAGAGCCATTGCATAGCCTAGTTTTGGAGCCGACGTCTAATACGTGCACAGCTCACACACAACAATAAAGGGTGGCATTAGCACGCACAACAACTACAATGCCAGCAGGAGAAGCAAGTTTTGCTAAAACAACAGCAAATACTTTTTTATGCCATTATTCTGTTTTCGTTTATTTTTTTTTTTTTTTTTTGGTTTACCTTTCAGGATTGTGCAGGTCTTTGGTCTCTAATTACATTTCACTTGCACCGCCAGCACATGCTGAGTGGGCGCTTGTTGCTTTTGCAGTTAAACTCTCTGGAAAGGTTAGTTGCCACGCCCACACGGCACGCCCACAACGCTGAAATCACCAATTTTACCAATCAGCATTTGCATATCGGAAAATTTCGCAAACGGGCAAAAAAGACCTTGTGGAAGACTCTCCTACATCGCATATGGCGCTTCAATATAGTTACATCTATGCATGTGTATTTGAGCTCCATCTAATCCTCTCGGGGTATCGAATTTGTCAACCTGCTGCCCCTTATCAGCACGATAATCTTGTTATAAACGATTGTTTTGATTGCTCTGACAGCAAACCCATTTGCCCTCGAGTAAACGTGGAGCGTTTAAAACCTTTTTGTTCTTTTTTTTCACTCAAGCAAACGAAATTAATTTTACACGCTAACTAAATATAATGAACGAAATGTTATATATTTGCATATTAATTATTCTCAATTTTTGGGCCGTGGTTCGTTGGACGCGCCCTTAAAAGGAATTTTCTTACTCCAGTTGATTCAGATTTTTCCATATAAAAAGAACTTTTCGTCGAATTTAATATGTGTATGAAACTCAAACGTTTACGTTTTTTGCTATATATATTTTGTATAAATATATTTATAATAAAAGTAAGGAAACTAACTTTAATTGCAGGAGATCTAATAATTCTGTTTTCAAACAAATGTCGTTTATTTTTAGCTATTCTATCTGAAAGCTGATCTTTCAATAATATTTAGGGCATGAGCCCATTGAAAGTGTGAAATTAAGATTATATGGATCTATCTTAATGAGGAACTGAGTAGAAATAGCACCATCCATCTCAAAGACATCTGACCACTACGATCTCGTGAATTACAAATCTTAGGGCATTGGAATTTAGATTATTATTCGCAATTCAGTTTCCTTAACATTGATAAAAATCGATATTGGCTAACTTTTGAAACCTAACTTGAATTCTAGTTTAGCCACGCATATCAAATTGATTTATATAGGTTCTCATTATAAATACGTTAACATTAGATATTTTCTAATATTTTCAAGCATATTAATTAATTTGTATATCAGGAGTGTACCGCTTTGCTCTGAAATAAGTCTTTTATACATATAATTTATATAATAATTTATCATAATATATAATATTTTTTTAATATCGCATTATTAAATAACTCTATAATTTTTATAAAAAAAAAACAAAAATATTTTGTATCGAAATTTAATTTTTAAGATATTTTTACTCTGCATAAATCGCTGTCTTAACTTAATTTGAGTACCTCTTTATGGGAACAATGGTAAAATCTATTATATAAAATAACTCATGTGAGCACAAAGACATTGCATATATTTTGAGCTTCAAATGAATCTCGAATCTCCACACTTAAACGTTGGCAAAACTAAATCTAATATATAATATATATACGAATATAGGTATATATAATATATTGCATGACATACCTAATTAAGGAGCTGAAAACTATTTATTTATATAAAAGTATAGAAGCAAGTACACAGAGACTTCTTGACATTATTGATAAATGTTCTGGCGCAAATCCATGGGAAATTATATAGAAAAATCACGAAACGTGGCTAAACGCAAAGAGCGACCGCCACGAGAGTGGAAATCAACTAAAAATTGAGGCGCTGCAGTAACACGTGGAGCGCTGGTCAGTAATTAAAGAACCATTTCTTTGTCCACAATCTGGCTGCCATGTTATTCTTAACTGATGATTAATTAGTGCGACATAGCCAGCAAATGCAAAATGGCCAACAGAGCGAGTGTATAATTTCCTCACGAAATCTGTAGAGCTAGCAATGAGCATGCCTAGAGGTCATCATATTTACGCTATGAAACCAAAACCCAACCTGGGCCCATTAACTCTTGAGTGAACGCCAATTTGGGGTACTTTAATTTCATATTATCGTCAAGTCTAATTGCAACTAGACCTAGAAATCTCACTCTCTCTCTTTCCCTCGCGCCCTCTCTCTCTCTCCCTCTCTCTCGCTCTGTGGGTATTTGGAAAACTGTATTCTACATGCGAATTACTTGCTCTGCATTCCAGCATGCACATTTAGAAATTGTATTGAGATCTATGAAAAGATAAAAACTTTCTTTTGATTTTAATTTCTCAACTTGTAATTCTGGCATTTACATATATACCTTGTATATATGTATACATATATATATTTATACGTATATTAGAAAATTCCAGTCAGTTGTCCTTACAAATGGTTCAGATACTAAGCAAGTGCCTGTGGGGCAGTCTTTTGATTTTTCGTTTAATTACGCATACGCAACGGAGGCATTTGACCTTTATGTTTCCCAAAATAGTCAACAGCATTCAAATTAAGTGTACGAAATGCGAATGCGCACGGCATGCTCCTAATAACTTCTGCGTAGTTAAATAAATACAAGCATACATCATTGTCATAAGCGGTTAGTTTGGTCTGTTGGTCAGCTGGCTGTCAGGTGAAAGGCTGCAAAGCTAATTACCTTTATCGGTATCCTACTTGAGTACAATGCAATAAGATCTTTCAATAGCTGTCTCAATAGACAGCTCCACTTGATTAGGGCCTGGCTTGAGTTTATTATATCAGATTGAAAATAGGTCAAATTGGGGGTTCTCTTTGCAAATGGCAATGGCTAAATCCAGATTTAATATAGTAATATTTTATATGAATATCTTTTATATTGAAATATCATATTTTTGTAACTCTCATTGAGTCCAGGTGAAGACTTTACTATAAGCTAACGGCACTCCACGGCTTACTTCTCTCTCTTTTTCTCGCTCTCTCTCCCTCTCTCTTTCTACAGTGTCTCTTTCCTTTTCTCACTCTCTCTTTCTCTCCACACTTTCACTCTTTTCTCTCTATGTCTCTCCCCTTTCACACTCTCTCCCTCTATCTCTATTTCTCTCTTCTTTCTATCTCTCTCTCTCTCCCGTTCCACACTCTCCCTCTTTCTCATTCTCTGCTTTCTCTCTCTCTTCTTTCTCACTCTCACTCTCCCTCTCTCACTCTCTCTCCATCTCTCTCTCTCTCTCTCTCTCTCTCTCTCTCTTTCTCCCTCTTTCTCACACTCTCTCTGTATTTCTTTCTACACTGTCTCCCTCTCCCTCTCTCCATCTCTCTCGTTCAACTCTCTCCTTCTCTCTCTCTCTTTCTCTGTCTCTTTTTTATCGCTCTCTTCCTCCCTCTGTGTATTTCTCTCACTCTTTTTCCTCTCCCCACTCTATTTCTCACCGCATACTATCTTTCTTTCTCTCTCACTCCTTTTTTTCGTCTCCCTCTCTCTTTGTCTCACTCTTTCTCCCTCTCTCTCTATATTACCTCTGCATACTTCGTATCGCATAGCCAGGACACTGTACTTATCATTTCATTCATTGCTCAAAACACTTTCATTACTTTTGTAAAGTTGATCAATGCAGAGTGGTATTAAGTTATTTAGGGACGAAAAACTCCTTGAATTTAATTGTCAGTCGATTCAAGGTATTCGGCTTACGCAGGCTTAGATTCTGTTAACCTTTCACCCCAGCCCAGCGGCAGCACCCTGTATGCCAAATAATATGCAAATTTGTACGTGCGTACAAAAGTAAAAGTGCTAAAAGAACCAAAACACAAACAGCCCAGAAACTCAAAAATAAGAAGGAAAGAACGAAAAAAGTAAAAAATCAATGCCGCATACTAAGAAAACTTTTGCAACACTCTTAAGCAATGCGGTCAGTTGGAGTCCGGCGCGAAGGATAATGGTGGTGGGCGAACATAGCAGAGCGATTAAACCGCGCTGATTGCGGGCGAACGAGTTCGTTTGGAAGTCCGCTTTTGGGGCGAAAGCGACTCTTTCATGCAGCATTTGAAGCAGCACGGTGCGACCTGGACTTAGGTCTGCCTCCTTGGTTGTTGACTCTTTAATATTGATGACGGCTCAAGTGCACGCAATCTATGACATCATCATTGTCCAACCTGGTGCAGAGCGCGCACTACATAGCCGACAATTAGTATGAGTGCTGAGCCCCTAAGGCGCACATAGAGCCTCACAGTCAACAATTACTTAGATGACGCGTCCACCAACAGGGAAGGCCTTTATGTGCAGACCAACCCATCGTAAAGCCAATAATTAAGAGCGTTACACAAAAAACCTACAATAGCCACTTCGCATTCCAAAACTAGGCTCAAAGTGCAAGAATCCTAACATACCCTTTGAGCTCTTCAACTGACAATGGGAGGTTTAACAAGTTGTTGTCAGTCAAACCTCGATCGAATATTACTGACTTGCATCAGATTATTCCTAAGATTTGACAAAGTCTACCAAATTATGGGAATATATATTATTTATGTTAAGATAGGCCTCAGTCATATTACATCTATCTTCTATCGAACCTAATATTAAATAAAATTCGGGTCTACATATACTTTTGATTGTCATATTTTTATGCTAAAGGCGAAGTTCCTTCAGCCTGTTGCAAGAGAGAATGCATAGAGAATGTCTTATATATGCATAAAATAAAATGAATCTGGTTTTGTTATTTAGCTTAAACATTTTGTAGAGCTTCAGCACAGTATTTAAGAATTGTATTGAGAGCTTTAATATTTATAGTGATATTGAGGTATTTGTAATTGGAATTGGAAATCCGTTCAAGCATTTCACATTCACTGAAATTGCATTCAATTATTCAAATGCAATTACCATAAAATTTCCATGACGATACAAAAGCTTCGATTCGCTTGCCGCGATTTTTACCCTTCGAGTATCGCAATCAAATTGAAACCAATTAAAAAATTTCAATGAATATTAAAAAACTTTCAATTTTCCAATTAAAAATACCTGTTTTCTTGCGCCTTTCCCTAGTCATTTGCCCTGATTACCCTCGTCTGATTATTTAAAGGCTTTCTATATTTTACTATATCCTATACTTATTATTACTATATCTAATACTTTTTAAACGCTCAGAATGTCCCATAAAGGAAAAGTGTCTCTTTCAGCTACAATCTAAGAACTTAAATCATAAAATGTTACAGGTTGATCCAACTTGAATTATCCATCTGAAACTGCGCAAGGTTCTAGTAAATCTGATCTGTAGTGAAACAGAATAGTTTTGACGACAAGCCATACTTTAAATTTGAAATTGAAAATTATGTATAAACTAAATTAATTTTTTAATAGCATCGTAAGTCTGAACGTTCTGCTTAGACACGGGGTTTTAAGCTGATTATATTAAAACTTATTAAAAATCCACACACAAATATATATTATAAGAGGCAAATTAGTTTGCCGGGTCTGTTTTGCTCCAATTTAGTGCGGCACGTGTTGCAAATTTATGCGAAATGGGCGAATTCCTTCCTCATGAATAAAATGAAATTAACGCGAACGGCATGAACATCAGGAATATTGTGATTGGGCTGTCGTATTTGGGAGCAATGCTATTACAGATGTCGGCTAATTATTGGGGACCACGAGAGGGAAGACGTATAGAACCTATTGCGATTTACTCGAATATAAATCATTAGCAGCGAATAATGCGAGAAATTAGCAAAATAGTGTTACGGGACGCTAACAAATGAAAGCAAACTACTACTTTTATATTATAAGTTTTTAATTTTTTAGATATAATGAACAAGAGCTTGTATTTTGAATTAGGTCATTTAGACGATCTATAAAATATATCTAGTTTGACATCTGCGAATGTGACAAGTTCGAATTTGATAAGTTCGAACTACGCTCAGAGTCCGACATAACTGGTTTACTTGATGGCTGCTGCTGTTGCGATTGCTGCTGGGGATTGCGCAAATGATGCGACTGCTTCGATTGGGTAGCAGTGCCCGATTCATAGTTAATACGTATCCATTGACCCTCGCTGTTCTCTTTCCACAGTGAAACATTGTTGTCACCGCCAGTGACAGCCAACACGTTGCCCGTGGTGGACCAGGAAATACTCCAGACGGCATCATCGAACGTGTGCAACACTGTTGATGTCCATTGGGACAAATCAGCATTGCTGTTCCATATAATAACATGACGATCCTGTGAGGCCGAAGCAATCTGCATGCGCGGCAAACCAATTGATGGCGCCCATGCCACATCTCGCACCCAATCGGAATGTGCTTCGAGACGGTGCTCATCCACCCAGCGATCATTATCTTCACGCCACACCTTTACAAGATTATCGCACCCTCCGCTGACCAGGCGCTTTACAGCTGTATTGCGCGAAGTGACACGCTGATCAAAGGCAGGATCGGGTGCCTGTGCTGGGCACCAGGAAATAGCATTAACTCCAATTGTATGTGCGTTGGGTATCTTCTTGGCATCCCAACTACCGTACTCCGTGTTGCAAGTAAGCACAGAAATTGAACCATCTGAGCTGGCACAAGCAAGTACTAAACCATATTCTGGCGGCGCAAAGTCCACGGAATTGACAGAGGAGTCATGATTGCTGTACTCGTATCTGGAATGTAATGCAATAAGAAAAATTAGGAAAATGATTCTAAATATAGACGACATCTGTTGCTGTCATAGATAACGTCAACATAAAACATAGACACGCATTACACAAATACAAACAACACACACTCACAGCTTAGCCCAGTCTCTGGGTGTAGTCGACTTCCAAATAATTACTTTGCGATCATATGAACACGATGCTAGTATGCTGCCGAACTTAGGATGCGCCCATGCTACTTGCCAAACAGGACCCTGGTGTCCCTTAAGTTCGGTGAGCACCTTGTTGTTTTTACGCGAGTTAAAAATTCGGATGCTTCCGTCTGAGGAACAGGTTGCCAGCAGCTGTCCATAGAAGTCAAGCGCGGCATGGTGAACCATATCCTCATGCTCTGTGTCGATTTCCTGTAGCAAGCTCACCATTCTGAATGTATTGTGCTTAATTCAAACAAATTAAAATAAAAAAATGTTCGGACTGCAAGCGCTTGACGTGGAATCTAAGCCGCAATCGATATGCGAATTCAGACCCATACCGCTATCGATATTTCATAGCTATCGATGTTTCAATGCAATAGTTTTAAAAGCATTTATATCCTTAAATTAAATAATAAAATATTTTAAATCTCAAATGTACAGGTAATGAATATCCTGATAAATTAGAAAAAAAATTAATTGAGTTAAAAAATGACCTGATCTACCTAATACTTACAACGAATTTACTTGATGAGGGAAAAGATGGTATTTTATTTTATCAAAGTAGGTATTTTGGTATTTGTATATTAAAATTTGAATATTTTTTAGCTGCCGAAACGCTGTCACTCTGTTGCTGCCTTGACAATTTTCCACATATATAGTACAATAGCATTTGAAAATAAAATAAGGTAAAGAAAAAAGCATTAGATAAACTGTAAACTCCATTAAACAGTTATACAACCTTGGCATGGAGGAAGATATTTAAAACTTTCATCAAAATTACAAGCTCCGCATAAACAACATGCATTACATAACCTTTTAAGGTTACCGAATTGTTAACACCGAAATAGTTAATTCTGATTGATCTATTGCTTTTCAGATGCTGTCGCAATCTATTTTAACCGGTATCCGCGTACTACGCACTGAGGCGCGTCGCAACATTGCCATTGTTGCCCCAGCTCTGAGCAAGTCATCCGATCCCATCCAGCAACTATTCCTGGACAAGGTGCGCGAATACAAGCAGAAGAGCGCGTAAGTATTAAATGAGCCATTCGAAACACTTGATCTAAATTCATATTACTTGCAGAGGTGGCAAGATGGTCGACTCGAATCCTGAAATTGAGAAAGAATTGAAAAACGAGCTGGATCGTGTTGCCAAGCAATACGGCAGCGATGGAAAGACCGATATGCTTAAATTTCCCGAATTTAAGTTTCCCGATGTCAAGATTGATCCAATTACACAATCCGCTAACTAAACCACACTTTGTATGATTGCGTTAAATTGTTTTAAGTTATACCCAACCAGAGGGCTGCCTGTATGAAATGAACTCCAATCAACATAGCAAGCAACCAAACGACAGCAAATAAATCATAAAACAAGAGATTGGAAAACCTGTGAAATTGTGTTATATCGTGTATCGTGTTAGTATTTCTCCACAATAATTATCTCATTGAATTTTTATCTTTATTTTTATAATTGGGCGAAATTTACATATTGATTGAGCTGCAATCAATCTAAAATCCCAAAGAATATGACATAAAAGAACGATCTATACATATCAATCTGTAAGAATGCATCAACTGTGAATATTTGTAGTATCTAGTGTAAAATGCTATCCAATTCACATTGGCTTTCATTTACGAACTTTGAATTCTGAATGAAATATCAAACAAAAAACAAGAAACCAAAGTCTGAAGTTTTATAACATTTTAATTTGGTTAGTTTCGAGTTTATCGCATCTAGCGTTCGCCCCATTTGTGAATACAATGAGATCAGAAACCAAAGTAAGGCAAAAAGCCACTGAAATAATAACCAAATACATTTCATTAATAATCAGCTTCTATTAACGAACAAGTCGCTTGATTTAACAATTTTACAATTTCAGCGCGTGTGTATATGAATACCGCAGGCATCACGCAAGCTACAATATTGGCTCGTATATAAATACTACGAAAAATTCCATAACAATCGGAGAAAAGGTAAACACAGTCATTTAAGAAACGTCTACTGACTGTGAAGCTCAGCCGCACCGATAGAGCTAGAGATGTTCGGGTTGTTGACAAAGTATAGACGAGTGTGTGAAGGCTCGGAGTTGTTTGTAGGGTATCTATCTATGGAGCACTTTTTAAACTAAAATTAAGCTTAAGCTTGTTCCGATTTGATTCTCATCTTTAATACGGCTCACACACAAATTGGTTTGAGTGAAGTTAAAGCGATTATTTGTTAAGCTAATATAACTCAATATGCCATCTATTATAATAACAAAAAAAAGAAGAAATGCCGTGAATTAGGTGTAAAAATAGTAATTTACACTAAGCGTAACTTGGTGTCTGCTCTGTGGCTTACTACAAACTGGACTATATGACAAATATAAAATATCATAGAGTAAATCGAGGCAACACGTTTGAGCTGAGTCTATGCAACACACTTGAGTGATATCAAATAGACATTAGTATTCCATTCGTAGAGTGAGACTCAGCGATGGCAAGACTTTCTTATTACAGGGTATACAGACCCGATTGCCTTAAGGTCGTTGTAAATAGGCAAGCTTTGCCCATTTTCGCACCCCTCGAAAGCTCAGCAACAAGATCAAGGCTGGATTGCATCAAAATTCGACGAGGCTCTAGTCTATATTTGTTGAAGTCGTTTCGTTCGGCATCTAGTTTCGTTTCAGCTGCTCTCACGAGTGCGTCAACCGGTGGGCATTCGATCTCGAGCTGGCTTCAATTTATAAAAGCTTCGCCGCAACAACTAAATAGGAAGCGAGTAATTACTTGGATCGTACTAGGGTCTCTGTACGCGCTGTGCATATTAGAGTGGCTCAAAATGTTCAAATACAATATTTCGAGTCGAAAATTATCCGAGCTGTGTACTAAAGTGAATGCTATTATGAAATCGTAGTAAATGCAACATATATGGACCTATGTAAATATGTATGATTCAAGTTCGCCTATATGAGTACGTATGCTACGTACAGGCTTATATACAAATGGGCGTAACATCGCATATTTCATTTATGAGTGCCTTCGGCTCGTGCATCGAATGCAAATTAATTAATAAATCGTATATTTGCACAATAGAGAACATTAGCAATCAAATAAACAGTCAATAAAAATGTACAAACTGATAAATACCTGCGAGCGCAATTCCCAATATTTACCCAAGTGATTTAATAAAAATAATTTATTTAAATACGTTTCTCTTGCACACACTTGTTTCAAGATATATGGGCAACGTTACGCATGTCATGTCATTATTTATTTATTTTCTATTCTATCCCCGAAGATCGCAGTGCTGAATATAACAATATCTATAAGTCTACACAGACAAAAGTTCGTTTTGAGATTAGTAAACTAAAGCGTTATATATTAAAAAGATAAGAAAATCATTTATTATTCACTGGAACTAGGAAAAGCTGAATTCAATTTGCGTTTGTGATTTAATTACTATAAAATGACTTTATACTTAATTGGACTGTTGTTGCTCGTGCTTACCACAAATGGCAAAGTGCAACAGGAGTCGAACAGGTAATTATTAATTCATTTAATTGAGCTTTCACTACTATCGGAAAAATTTGTATTCAAATAGCACAAATAATTGAAGTCCATTTTTAATTAAATTAAATGATTAAACAAATAATAGATTAAACCAAATATACTTTTATGCTCGTTCAGTGAAAGGAGTTTAAAGGTTTGGTGCTACTTTCGCCTTTCCGTTCGTCCTTTAGACCATTTGTGATCGGTAAAGTCCTTATCTTTCAGAGATTTCCGAAATTACGTTACCTTCTCCAAAGATTGGCCACTAACTTATGTGATCTTTAAAGTACATCTGATTAAGCTTAGATATAATTCATACACATATTTGGTATTCATATTCATATTCATATTCATAATCCATTCAAAACTATATTTATCCCTAATGAAAGCTTGGCTTTTGTTTTCGCTCAAGAATTCGCCGAGATGCGGATGGCAAGGAAGATCCGAAGAGCAGTTTCGAAAAGGATGACGTCGGCTGGACTAACATCGATGCCGAAGTGGACGTAGTGACGCCCATGGTGCTAGCCCATCTTCAAAAACTGGGCATAGCACATCTCGAGCTGCCAGACATGAAAGAGAGTATTTCAATTGTGAGTTCACCTAAAATGAAATAATTCCAATTTCTAATAATGCACAACAAAATGCCCGCTAGAAGCCGTTCTTCATCACTTACGAGGCCGGGCTACACCTAACTAATGGAATCGTTTACAACCTGGCTGGAATACAAAGACACAACAATGCATTCATGACCTATGAGGGCAAATCGTTCCTGAGTAAATTTTATTTGAAAATTAATAAGCTTCAGGTATGTAAAACATAAGCCTACAGCATCGAAATCTTTAATCTTCTATAATTGACTTTACCATCTGCTTTACAGTTCGAATATAACTTCTTGCTGAAGCTGATGGCTATCGAGGGTTACGGAAAGGTAATTGGCTCATTGGATGATACGATCATTTATGCCGAGCTCGCTGTCAATGTGATTAGTTCGAAACTTCATCTGCACGACTTCCGTATCATTGAATTCAGGTGCTGTATATATATATATCTATATATCGAAGAAACTCTGTGTGTAATAATGGAATTTTATTCCTTAACAGCAATATTCATGTACAATTGGATCAGGCTCGCTTAATTCGTGAATTTACTGGACTTATTTTAAGCCCAATAACGAATCTGTTCAAGGATCGAATCACAACATCTATTGCTGACGGGCTTAAGGCACAAATGCAAACCGTTATGGACGATTTCAACAACGAGGATCCTTTGGAGCTTCGTAAATTTACAAAAAAACTCATTTCCAGTATAACAGGTTCTTCAGCAGAGTCGACGGAGCAAGGATAGTTTTACGAACAATCATAGAAAGTAACCGGACTGGGAATATAAGTTATTTTATTTTATCATCTATTAAATGTGTTTTCATTTGACTGAAACTCTGTTGACCTGCCTCGACAAGTCTATCTAAAGAAACCTTTGAATAGTTTACTCCTTCCTTCCCGGCTCAATCGAGTTTTGTGTTAAAATAAAATTGATTTGCAGCCAAAACATTTTATTTCCTGTTTTTGACGAATATTTAAGTATTTTTAGTTCCAAATTTGACTGATCTTTGATGGAAGGTCCTTTATGGCATATCCTGAACATAAGTTAATACAGATAGACACAAGTATTTTGGAAGGAGATTCTTATATATCCATATATTCTAAATTACTTTATACCATTACAGTATGTCTACTACTATTTCTACTACTATTACAGTACTTATACTACTATTACAGTACTTCTACTACTACTTCTACCAACATTACAGTATTTCTACTACTATTACAGTATTTCTATTACTATTTCTACTACTATTACAGTGCTTCTACTACCATTACAGTATTTCTACTACCATTTCTACTACTATTTCTTCTACCATTACAGTATTTCTATTACTATTTCTACTACTATTATAGTACTTCTACTACTATTACAGTACTTCTACCAACATTACAGTATTTCTACTACTATTACAGTATTTCTATTACTATTTCTACTACTATTACAGTACTTCTACTACCATTACAGTATTTCTACTACTATTTTTACTACTATTTCTTCTACCATTACAGTATTTCTATTACTATTTCTACTACTATTATAGTACTTCTACTACTATTACAGTACTTCTACTACTACTTCTACCACCATTACAGTATTTCTACTACTATTACAGTATTTCTATTACTATTTCTACTACTATTACAGTGCTTCTACTACCATTACAGTATTTCTACTACCATTTCTACTACTATTTCTTCTACCATTACAGTATTTCTATTACTATTTCTACTACCATTATAGTACTTCTACTACTATTACAGTACTTCTACTACTACTTCTACCACCATTACAGTATTTCTACTACTATTACAGTATTTCTATTACTATTTCTACTACTATTACAGTGCTTCTACTACCATTACAGTATTTCTACTACCATTTCTACTACTATTTCTTCTACCATTACAGTATTTCTATTACTATTTCTACTACTATTATAGTACTTCTACTACTATTACAGTACTTCTACCAACATTACAGTATTTCTACTACTATTACAGTATTTATATTACTATTTCTACTACTATTACAGTACTTCTACTACCATTACAGTATTTCTACTACTATTTCTTCTACCATTACAGTATTTCTAGTACTATTTCTACTACTCTTACAGTACTTCTACTACTATTTCTACTACTACTACCACTACTACTACTGGTATCTCTATATCTAACAAATTACTGAACAACCAGCGGGCATCCTCTGACGCTTCAGTCTTACTTATGTCTACCTTTCAACAAATCTATCATCCAACGATATCTGAATGACAAATAAATATAGTTATATTCTCTTGGAAAGTATTTTTTGGATTCTTGTTAACAAAATGTCATCAAATTTTATTGAGAAATCATGTTTAAATAGAGACAGTTGACACTCCAAATTCAATTAATTTCCATCATCCATTCAATTAAATTACATCAGTATCAAATCTATACGGTTTGTAGGATGATCTACAATACTAACTACACTCCAATAAAAAAACACTTTCAGTTTTCCAGCTTATTCTGTTCCTTTACAGTTTATTATGAATTGTTATTGGGTATTATCGAGATTTCTCTGCTTGACCAATAATGTTAAAAACAAAATTTTTGGTTGAGTTAAGGAAGTCTGCACATTTATCATATCTAGAAGGCATATAGATGATTCTTTGAATTTATAACATCTTGCAGTTGAAGTTGTCCAGTGGAAGAACTTTGTGGGCGAATGAAACAATGGCCGCAGCGGGCTGCATAGAGGAAAGATCACAGAAAATGTGACATTGGTTATCCTTAGAGCCAGTCAGCGGACGGGCTACAAATGCGAATATTGATTTGTTGACGGTGCGCTGTAATCCTTCGTCGGATGCTGGGACGCTCCAAAAGTGATTACTGGGATCCATAGAGAGGTGCGAAATGTTCTTAGCTGGATAGTGTCGTCGGAAGAATCTTGTGCGCGTATTGTCGGTTAACGTAATGCCCTGTTCCGATATCTTCAAGTGGACCTCTAAGGGAACTGGTGCCGTGGGCGCTGAGTACATCTCATTAACTGCCCTTCGAACTGCATCGTCCCCGGTAAGGGACTCCATATTGTGCTGAAACAGGTAGAGCACATTGCACGCGGCACCCTGGGCCAGCACCTGCTTTTGGCTGAGAATAAATTCCTCGTTATTCGAGATAAGCAACAGATCTTTATCTGGTATTATGAGGGTGCTGGGCAGAGACATTTGGTTAATTGAATGCTCATAAACAAAGGCTGACAACGACGTAAAGATCGGTTCATTGGTGCATCCCATCAGGCGAACACCACGATTTGTAGGCTCCAAGAGAAAATGGCGCACCAACTGATCCCCGTATCCCGGTCCAGTCACCACGCCAGCAGGCGGCTTAGCTACGCGTAAGACCAAGCCAAATGCATTTCGGTACGTTGTGGAGTTCCGAATGAGAAATGTTCCTGGTATTGCATCGCGCAGCAAGTCAACTGCTTCGTCCCGCGTCATGTTAGGCTTGTACCAAAACTGTGACGAGTCCTTGGCAAACTTAACCAGATGCGGATCGACTTCTTTGGTATGATGAACACCCACATCGGCTTGCGGAAGGGTCCGTTCCACTTGCTGTGACTCGGAGCTCTCATCGAACATTAGAATCTTCGTTGGCTTGGGCGTGGGATATGGACTGACACATCTCTCAGAGTTCAAGGGTCTCTGAACAAAGGGAAAAGTTGGCGTTTTCGAACGACCTTTCTCGACGATCTGTAGTTCCGGGCTCCCTCGTTTGCCTGATGTGCTTAATTCAGCATCTGGTAGGTCTGTGGACTCAATCAGCTCATCCTTTATTGCCTTTCTCTCAAGTAGCGGCGAGTTGAGTCTCTTATGCAGCTCATCCAAATCCCTCTGTATCGTTTCGTCCTGAGCTAACTTTCTCGCGAGTGCTCTGTTCGCATCCTCCACATGTACTTTACGCTCCATAAGCATATCTTCGAACTCTTGACGGGAAGGTGTCTTGCGCACCAATGGACAGGACGCCGAAATGCTGGGTCGAGCGGTTTTTCGGGGTATGGAATGGGTGCCCGCATTTTTGGTCTGCACAAACTTATTGTCCGATGTCTCAATGGGCTCGTTGCTTTCGACATGATTTAAATCGCTGGTATTGAAGCCGACCGGAAGGTTGCCATACGTGAAGGGAAGTGCATCCTCGCGAGCATGGTATGGAATATTATCTTGATCTGGATCTGGATCTGGGTCTGTTTCGAAAGCAGCACCTTGCACAATTCTGTTCAATGGAACAGATGGTTCACACACCGAGGCCATTGAAAATGATTGTTTCACAACTTTTTCGTTTATTTTTACAATCGGTTAGATATAAATAGTTCATATATATGCATGTCTGTGTGTGTGCAGATATTGATGCACAAGTTCTACGCCGAGTCGCACAGCGCACACGTCCGCCAGGAACCAATTCTGACAGTTGACTAACCAAGAGAGCAAAACCATGAACCAAACATTCGCCACAATATACTCTTACATCTGGTATCATTATTTTTACAACAGACTTGCCGTATCTAATATATAAATACATATTAAATCATCTTTTCTTTGTAAACACAAATATCTAAATTGCCTTAAAGTAGGCCCATTTCTAAATTTAATATAGCGCATATTAAAATCAGTTTTACAATTTGTTCTACTATAAATTGGCAGCAAATGGTATATAAATGGTTAGACAGTCCATATATATATAGGCCAACAAATCTGCAAAAAGTGCAAAAACTCCTTTCACTTGAGGTTCTGCAATATCCAACCAAAGTTTTCTCTTTTAATAAAGCCATAGCATCTGAAAGAACTTCTCCTCCTGCTTCTCCTTAGCAAACTCTTTTGCAAATTTCTCAAAAAAAATTTAATTCTTACTTCGAAATATAGTCTGATTATTGATAATAAAATGTTTTTGGCGTTATTCTAATTTGTTTTTTAATTGTTTAAAAATTCAATATATTTTCTTAAAAATATATACACATTCTCTTTACAGTCTGATGGACATTTTGCTTCCTGCTTTTAATGTTCTGGAAAGTTTCGGAACACATGTTTTCCATATTCAGTCCATAATGAACAAAATATATATCTTATTTAACTGCAGCCACATACATATAAATATATATATGAATATTAAAAATAGTTCGTGTTCGACGTCTGCTGATCTATTAGACAGCAAACGCCAGAGACTTCAGATTGGAAATCCATCATTTGATTACCGCTCTGACGTAATCAAAATCTAAATATTTTTGATTTTACCTCTTCCATAAGCCAAAGAACCATATCTTTATATCCATTCCGCTGAATCATGTTGTGCTTATAGCACAGTTTTGAAGAAAGGCTAACAGGGACGTGGCTAGGTCAACTTGCTTAGAAATATCACTCGAGTATGCAATCTGCGAGAGTACGTGACTGCAGCAAGCAGAGTAAAACTGGAAATAATTTCGTAATGTTAAGAATAGTATTGCAGTAAAATCTGACCAGAGGCACGCAAGCATCGCAATACCCAGCGGGATCATAAAAGATTGGAATTTACGTATGGAAAGTCGCTTCAAATAAAAGTTCTTAGAAGTACAATTTAAATAGTTATTTACTTTGAAAACAAAACTTTTGATGGACATTATTGATATCACAATAAATTATAGATCTTAAACATACTTATCAAAGATAGTGCAGTCGAAATTGAACACTTCATTTATACCTAGCTATGAGCTGCAATAAAAATAATCAGTTTTCGTTTTATATAATAATATAGTAAAGAAATGCAAGGAATACTAATGAGCTTAGGGACCAGTCGGGACCAGTAAGGGAGAGCTTTTTAGGATATGATGGATATTTCCTTAATGCGCGTATCTCGTCTGGTCCTAGGCGGAGGTATGGGGGCAGAGCCCTGCGTAGTGATGCTGTGGCTCTCATCAGCCTTTTCAATGGACCCGTTGGGTATAGCAGGCTTGAAGACTTTGCTTTGGGATAAGTTAACTAAGGACGATGCTTTTTGCTTCTGGCAGAATTTCTTCAAGAATACGTCCTTCCATTCGGTTAGTTTGGCAGGCTTCAGGTACACGTATACACCGCATATTACGAGGGCCGAAACCATCAGCAATAGAATGAATCCGATTAAGAATATAACCGAATTGAAGTGGTCGTCATTCACGTCCACATGATCAGGCTTGGCAGGTGTGGCAGGCGTAGTAATACGATGAATGGGTCGAACAGGACGATTGGGTAGACGAGCATCCGGGGTTAAGGCAATATCCGAGCATGCCCGAAACTCCTCCTGGGGACCACAGCCAACAGCGCCAACGCCATCCTCACATAGTCCCCAATTATTTCCGGCTATATAACGCCACTGCAGCACACACTGGTTGCATAACAGATCTGCAATTAATGAATAGAGCGTAATGAGGAAACCGCGAACACGAAACAAAGTGATAGAAGCGCGCGAAACATTTACCTGGTAATCGTGCTTTGATTTCATAAATGCGACTACCGTTGCGAGGATAGAATCGGGTGTCCAAGTCGCTTGGACTACGCTGCGATGGCGAGCCACTTAATATATGCAGCACGTTTTCATCAAGGCAAAGCTGCTTCGCACTCGGCTTTGGACACAATCGAAACTCAAAGTAACTGCGAACAACATAAAACGAGCGATATTAACTGGCAAATCTCTTGTATATTTGATATCTTCACTTTACCCCATATGACTGGCGGTCAGCTCCACGCGTATTGTCATATCGGAGCCCGGCAAATAGCTGCGTACGATAACGCCCTGCCCCCACTGGCCGCCATTCTCATGTGGTCGCGGCTCTGGCAAGTCCCAGGCATCGCCGCACTCCCCACACTTTCCGCCGTTGCGCTTCCACTGCCGCGTAAAGCCGCCACAATAGAGTTCGTGATCATTGTAATCGGGCGGCGTCTGAAATCCATAGCGCCAAGCTGATGCTCTGCTTGGAGGCTCTATAAGCCTGCCATGCGCATCGCTGTATTGCACAAAACTGAAGACAGCTAGGCAGAAAATAAGAAGCATCTGTAAATTGGGCTTGAGTTGGCCATTGCTAGCTCGCCCAGGCATCGGCTGAAAGTATAAACTCCCAAAATAATTTCTATTGCTATGACCAAATAAACAGGTTTCATTCACTTATACTTTTATTATTATTATAAACAAATAACTTAATTTTATTTATTAACAAGTTGGAGTTTTGTTAATGTGTGTATGTGTATGCGATAAGCAGAAGAAGGCGTGGTCGACTTCACAGAGTATATATCTGTTTTGATCAGGATCGACTTTGTTCTGTACACTTGCCTGTCCGTCAGCCAGCCAGTCCGTCTGTTTGTCTCTTAAGTCATTTGCCCGTCTTTTCCTCTGTCCGTTTGTCTGTCTCTATGTATTGGCGCGTCGATCCCGGCACCTATAAGAGCTAGAGACGTAGGTCTTTTACAGCTCGCGCTTTAAGTAATCAAATATCTTTTCATTTCCAATATATTGATTTAAATTTGTATTGATTTTACATTATTTACATATTTCTTACAAACATTTTTTCCAAATTTCATATATATTTTTATTATATTATTTATATATATATATATTTTTTTTTTAAGTAATTCATAACACACAAATATCAAATGATTTTACATATTTTCAGATACTTTTGCCATGCTCTCGATTTCTTTTTCAATTTCACAGGGTATCTTGGAGCCTGAACCTCCGACTACAGCGCTTTGTTTAATGCAAGTTTAAGGTCCACTGTACCTAAATTTCACTTTCTGCAAATTTTTATATTATAAACAAATACATTTTTATCATTTAACTGTTGCACTCTGAATTTAATACAACTATTTAAAATCGCCTGATTTATAAGAAATTGTCTCCTTATTTACCTTGTAAGTCGACTCAGTTCTTCATACTGATCATAATTCATAGAATATTTTGCATAAGGGCATAAATATTTATTGTCAATCCAAAAAATACATTCGAATGGCTTATTCACGTCTGAAGTTTATTTTGTTTTTCTTAGTTTTTTTTTGTTTGTGTCGAATTTTTTCAATATAGGAACCCGTTTTAAAGATATATAAAATAACATTTGAGTCAGACCAAGAACCAGTTTAGATTGATCTTAATGCCATTTCCTGAACAGGCGAACAAATACTTAAAATCCTTTATTTGGATATGCTAAATATATTGATATTCTGTCAAGATGGACATTACCAATAATAATATATTTCGTATAAATATATTATTCTGTGGTAATTCAACAAAATAAAAAAGCTAATAAACCAATATAATTATCACCTTATACACACGCACATACACATTTCATATAATTCGCTTTCATTGTCTAACTTTCACCTATCCACGGATTACTCAAAACGCTTGTACATATAGCTGCATACACTAGCTTGCAAAAGTGTGAATATTCGAATGTGCCAGGCATATATACATAAATATATGTATATATATATGTACCTTATGTACATGAACTCATTCTCACAGACGCTTTATAATGATGCTAACTGAAGCCATTCTTTAAAATAAGCTACTCACATGTACAGGTCTTCTAAAGCAATTTCTGCTGCTACTATCTCTCATAGCAGACTATTTTATATAGATCGATTTGATGTTATCAGTTTGTGTTTTCGCTGCGGTTCTTCAAGTTTAATTAGATCACAGAAGAAGAGGCCTTTCACTTCGTTAGAGACGCGAGGTTATCACTTTTAACCAAAACGCTTTTCGTGCTCTATCCACCAGCTTTAAACCAAGACTGATTAAGCCAGAGTCCAAGCATGCGGACTTCAGTCACATTTTCGGCTCTTTGAGTTGTTCAACTGGTTTGGAGAAATTTTTTTAGTGCCTCTGAAGAGCGTCGCTTCACTGAGTATGCTCAACAGAAAATATGGTTTTATGTTGTATGTTGTGTTGATCTTCACCTATGTAAGTCTTAACATGCATTATATGGGGTCTGTTGAGAGTGGTCATGGTTCATGGAGCCTAAGGAACCGTGTGCTTAACATGAACAGCGAATCCCAGAAGTATTACGCTTAGCTACCTTTTTATATTATCTCTCACACGTTCGCCAGTAAATAAGTTAATTTTCAAATGACACAGCTAGTGTGCGCCTTAATCGTCTTCATATTATATAATTTGAATACATAATACACGTGATTTTTGTGCCAGTAATGCTAGAAAACATGCAAGATTGGTATTATGAAGAGATAATTATAATTATCAAATACAACTAACTCTGTTATTTCCGGGTACAATTTTGTCTTCAATATAAAAATTTCGTTCTTACACGTTTTTCCAACCGTACAATTTTAGCTTCAGCTCCTCTTTTTAGACAAAACGAAACATATAATTATATATATATATAGAATTTATAGAATGAGATCCAATTGATTCAAACAGCAACGCTGGAAACTGAATAAAGCTGTCTCAACTTGGGGCTACAGTGTGTACTAAATAAAAAAAGGAATTATCTTACGAAAATGTCTTCATACGTTTTTGAACTTTTTATATCTAATATTGTTTGCTTACAAAAGTAGTATTATTCAATAAGAAATCTTAACTGGTATGTCCATAAAATTTAAGTAGAAACCTATGTATAGGTTGCAGGCCTTATCACATCACACATTTTTAAAAGACCGCACAAAAAAATAGGTAATCGGCGCCATATATTACCAACAGTTATCTGTAGTAAGGTCAGCGGAGAAGTTCAGCATAGATTCCTTCTTAACCATTATAGTATTTTTAATGCAAAAATGAAAATCTTATGATTAAAAACATTTAAGATAATCAATGCAATGCTTTACTTTAAAGAATTGGTGTTTTGGACTAGCTACAACTTTATGCAACATAAAGTTTGGTTTCGGTGATTGTGAATTACAAAATTAATATTTTTAGCCGCGCAACCTAAGTTTATTTTCTAGTATTTTAAATTTTTGAAATAAGACATACAATGAAATCGATAGCTTTAAATGTGACATTAGTATTTAAATCGCATTGACCACAATCGATACAATATATTCATGTTTAACTGCCATCACTAATGAACAACAACTATTTGCTTGATAAAGTTCGACATAGTCGTTGACGAAATTAAATTTTAAGAAAAAAGTAGGAAAGAAAAGATAATAAGTTATGGCAGACAGGCTAACTCAACTGCAAGACACCGTCAATCAAGTAATCGATTATTAAACATCGCTTATATACATATGAGTAGCTAACATGAATGTATTGTTTTTATTTTTAGCAAGCCGAACACTTTTGCAATGCTATCGGTGTAATTCAGCAAACTTCATATCCCAGCAAGTTTGCAAATTTCGACAGGACAGGCTCACAGACACCCATACAGAACCCGCCCCAGGAAGATTATGCTCAACTATTCGCCCAGCTTATAGCTCGATGTGCTAAGGACATTGATACTCTAATCGAATCATTGCCCAATGAAGATAGTTCTATTGAATTACAAAATTCGAGTCTTAAGCGACTAGAGATTGAAAATCAAGAAACTGCTGAGAATCTTGAACAAGTTGTTCAGAAAGGAGAATTACTACTGGAGAAGATTCAATCAGCTCTGGGGGATATTGCTCAATCACAATTGGATATGCAAATAACATTAAAACCCAGCTTAAAATGATATTTGGGCTCTTTAAGCTAATAGTGGTTTATTTAAGTAATTTATATATAGACTAAATAAATTGTGTGAGTTAAATTCCTAAAAACCTGCTACTACAATGTCGAGAACATTTATTTTAAAATGTATCTTATATATTAGAAGATTCAAAGTCACATCTAACTCTTTTATTGCGTGCATTTTTTCCATACCCTTAATGAAATGGAAAATGTTAAATAATACAGCTTGGATACTGAAATCGAATTTCGAATATTGTTAGGATATACTCAATCTATTTAATAATTTTCAGACCAAGTTCTAGTTGAGTTTCTGTAAGGTAAACGTCTTTACGCTTAACTATCAAACATAACTATGTTGTTATGTTGCTTGCGAAAGCAATGTATATAAGCCTATTTTTTAATACTTTCAATGATCATTGCCAGAAGATAATTCAGATCATTCATATTGACATTTCTACAAGGAATATGGATAAAATAAATGGATTTTCTACTTCCGTACAGTCTGAAATGTCCTCAATGCTTCATCTGAAAGTGCAACTAGTATTGTGGATCTTAATATTTTCATATAGGCGTCTATATACACGATTAATTAACTAACGTCCATTATAATGAAAGCAGATTAAACCATATTTGACGGTAGTCAATAGACTTGGAAACATAATATCAAAATAAGTTGTATTATTTTTCATTGAAATATTTAATGAATTAAGGAAATAACTTTACAAATCCTTGCGTGGCATTTTACTTTATACAAATTATTCACATTCTACTATTATACACTTCATGGAGACTTATATATATTTACATACCACAACGGCTTATATTAAAAATAAATATTTAAGTTGAGTACTATATTGTTTAAATTTAATTGATAACAAAATTGTATAAGAATAAAGTACATAATATAAAAAAAGGTATGATGACTTTTGATACGATTTTTAAAAATGCAACATAAGAAACAGATATTTTTAGTCAAATTAACATATTGTTAAATATTACCTTTATTAACCAAAACGTTACGAACGATTAATCTTACAAACTTAGTCTATTATTCAAAGCGGTTATGCAATGCTTTAAATTTGGGTTTTATATTTACTTTTAAATTACTTAAGATACAAAAAGTGTTCTATTTAAATGTAACAGAATACATAAAATGATATTGTGTATTTCTAAGCGCTGTAATTCTTTCTTAAAATAAAAGCAATTATTAACATTAATTTTCAGTAATTCTGCAGCGTATTCTAAAGCCAGTGTTTCTCTGATTTAGTTAAGCGTACCCCTGCACCCTTGAGCTCCACATAAACATGGGATTTTCTCCTCCTCTAAAGGAAATTTGTAGTCATAAGTTATTTCTTCATTAACTCCAATAGGTTGTTTCGAATATATAACAATTTTTTTTTCGGACTCTATGGTAATGACTTTGGCATAACAATTTGGCTGCAAGCAGAATGAAAAAATTAACAAAAGCTTCAATTATTCAAAGCAGTTGGTTATACTTACATTACAGCTATGATTTATAAATCTCGCCAAATTGCCACATTTAGTCGCATCGATAATAGTTTCCATATCGATTCGGAATAAATATGAGCTTCCAATACCAATCGCCTCATATTTAGTCTCCCTTAGATCTGCAACGACTGGTCGAATCATTTGGCCAACGTATTCAATAACCATTTCATCTGCTGCTATAGGTTCCATGGCAAATAGTCCCCAATCATGAATTGCCGATTTTGCAAATTTGAGCTGCTTTTTACGGAATTTAAGCTGATTGAATTTTAAAAGCTCGGACTCGCCCATTGATCCAAAGGCCGTCAGTAAACGTCGTTGATTCGAACGAGCCTCACGAGAAATGCCCTGCATTTTAGATATTAATTTGTTATGATGATGGTTCGTCAGGGCTGTCGGCTCATCGCATCGCTCGTCGTTTTGAGCGTCATGTATGTTTGCTTTAGCATGATGATATTTGTGTTTAGCCTTCTCGCGTACATCCAACTTGTAGAAGCCCTCAGTGCGTGCACAACCAGTTTTGTGTCTCATGAGCTCATCGTCTTTACGCCGTTTTTTCGGAGGAGGTGGCCAGAATGCTCTGTCCGTGGTGCAGTGATTAACCCAATGAGTATTGTTCAAAAACATACTATAATTACAAAAGAAATTAGTTTAAAAATACAGAAATATTAACAAAAATTGTCTTACGCATATGGCTCCTTTTGCAAATGTTCAGTGTAGCTCGTCTTGATGTACTTAATGTCCTCCAGATCAATGCCTTTTGTTAGGAAAGTGTATAAAATTACCATTTCTTCATTTTGATCACGAGAATTGAACATTTCACATGGAACAAAGTTTGAGGTTTGACGAACCAATTCAGAAAGCGTACTCTTCATCGACTCAATTTTCGTTTTTTTGATGGCCTGTCGTCCTGAAAAGTCTTTCTTTTTCTTTTGAGCCCGAACAGAATCTTTGCGTGGCCTTCCAGGTCCAGGCCTCGCAATCTGCATGTTATCCACCTCCTTTTTATTTTTCGCATCAAACTGGCCCGTTGAAACATCTGTGGAAAACGCACCTTGTGCTTGCGGTGGCAAGGAATAACAATGTTCTAATGCCACTTGACTAGCTTGGGATGCTTGACTCGACCCACTATCTGAAGAGACGGGTGATTGCTTGCCGTTGTAAATTCGTGTTTCTTCATTTTGCTGAGTGTTAGATTGAGCTGTTTTAAAGACTTCTGTTTTTAAATCGTTATCTGTTTTCAACGCAATCTTATTTTCAATCTCATTTGACTGATTATTAGCACTTTTAACACTTTTCAAACAAATTTCAGTCTTTACTGTGCTCAAATAGTGTTTTCCTTCGACATCAGTTTCTATAATGTTTTTCTTATATAGTTTAATTTCATCCACTAATAGCTTTGCACCTGGTGTTGGAGGCAGTTTTGAAATATCAGGCGTGTCCGGCATCTCGAAACTTGACATTTTATCAATATCCAACTTGAGATCAATGTTTAACTTATTGTCTGTCTGATTTGAATTTTTCTGTTGTTCTTCTAAAAATTCGCGCTCGATTTGGGCCATATATTCTGTGTTTCGACGCCTCTTCTCCTGATACTCGCGTTCTTCCTCCGAATCACTATAAATTCGATCATACCCAAAATGAGATTTTGCTGTACCTAAACCATCAGACTTCGATACAGTTTCTTCGTTGTAATCCGGTGGCGGAACAGGTGTAGGGGATCGGCGGGATTCTCTTTCTATCTTATCATCCGTCTTCGGTTCTTCGGCTTCAAATCCAGAAGCATTTCCAGTTTCTTCCATACCAAAACAACTATCCTTGCTTATGTCTTCAAGGTCAGACGGAATGGATGACATGAGATTAGGTTTTGAACTCGTAAATAGTTTATTTCCCATTTTTTCATCATCATCTTCATCAGTATCAGAGTATATATCCATTTTTTTCAAACGACTTCGCTTGGTTGCCGAAATTCGATTTATTGATTGATTCTCTTCCTCAGAATCCGAATATACATTTAGTATTTTTTCTTCGGAGGTTTTCATGTCACGTCTACGCTTCTTTGAGAACTTGTCCCTTTCATTCATTGATGGAGTATCTTCATCAAAGCTTTCATCGTCGCTACTCCTGTCGTTTTCTACTCTATTCCCTATATCTTCAGCATCATTTTCACCATCGCTATTGGAGGAGGACGAGGTGGACGACGAAAAGAAACTTGATGCACTTCCTTTTCTTTTCAGTCGTATATTGTTTGATGTTAGACGCATTTTACCAATATCTCTTTGCAAAGCACGCCGTTTTAAGTTAATGTTTTGAGCATCAGAACTACCCATATTTGAATCATCTTTATCTGAGTCAGAACGCTGTACCATTTCTTCTTGATCACTGAGATCCCGTTCCAATTTATCGGGAATGGGACTAGGGTGCTTGGGAACACGCCGAAATGACGGCAATTTGGGCATTGCAGCTCGTATACCAATACTGGTAAAGGACTGAAAATCTGGCATTTCTCTTTGCGTATTGATTAGATGATTAATGTCGGGTGGCTTCTCCTGAGTTGTTTGCTTTTCTACGGGGTTGTTATTTGTTGTACCGGTTTCGACCACTGATGACAATTGCTTTGTACGAGCTTTTGCAGTTTGTTCGTCCCACCAAACCTCAAAATTCTTAAAAGCTGTCATTTCAATCATACGCTTGTTAACATCACGTTTAAGAATTTGTTTCAGTTCCTCAACTATAATGTTCATAACCTTTTTAACGTTTTGTTTCATTTCATCATTTTGATCCGGCTGGGTATGCTGATAACCATATGTGTGGATGTACGGATCTAAATTGAAGGAGTCTGCAGATACAACTCCCGGCAAGTATGACGCCTGCATGTATGCAGGGTTGGAAAAGTACTTTCCAGTTAATCCGGAACTCGACCCTATTGCAGATGGATAATGACCATATCCATATGCCGAGTGATGATAGTAATAACTGCTCTGAGTTGAAGCATGGGGGTCCGTATATCCCGCAAACATAATTTTCGATGTTAGTTGGTTTGACGGATCTGTAGACTCTTTTGTCGTTTCTTCATGGGATGACAAACTTGACAAAGACATATTGTCATCATTATTATCATTTGATTCCAACTTTTCAACAGTGACCTTAACTGTTTCTTTCTTAATTAAAATATCGTCGTCACTTGATATATCACTGGCGCCATGCTGCTGTAAAGTCGAAACATTTTTCTCTGTTGCTTTTTTGTTGTGGGTGCTATTTGAATCGCAATTCGTGTCAGCTGCCTCATTTATATCTTCAACTTTTGCTTTGTCTGTTTCAGAATCACTACTATCCATTTGCAGAAAAGGTGGAGCATTTCCAAATGTCTTTCCCTTAAATATAAGTGCAATACGTGTGTCTAAATCAACATTCTCTGAATTGGTTTCTGATTCAGCAGCAGTCTCGACATTGTTATTTGATTTGTTTGATTTTGGTCGCTTTGGTGATAGTTGTTGTTTTATACCAACTGACTCCGTTGAAGGCGAGATATCTTTTGAATATAACATTAATGCTGGAGGTTGAGGATCGTCCCAATTTTCTTCCTCTTCTTGGGGCGGAGGTGGTGGCGGTATAAGCTGTGAGTCTGGTTGTGTGGCTGGCCACCTTCGGTGGGAGCTATTCCATGATTGAATATTTTCACTCATAGTGTAGCTGTAGTGATTATATCCGTAATCAGAGGGTATAAGGTTAGGTGCCGGAATGCCAGAATAATATTGTTGGTTTTGAAACACCGATGATGTACCATTTTCGTCTTCAGTGCATTCATTGCTTAAATAGCGTACATCGTGCTTAGAACTAATGCGCTCCTTACGATCACCATCAATATCCATAGATCTATCACGATCTCGTTCTCGGTAATCCCGTTCTTTTGACGAACTTAAGCGGTGATCTCTCCTGTCTCTCATCCGATCACGAGAATGATCTCTAGATCTATTGCGTTCTCGAAATTTATCGCGTCCTTTTGAGCGAGAATAATCATAAGACCTTGTGTCCCGATCTCTGTCTCTTGAACTATATAATCGATCTCTGCTTGAATCCGGACTTTTCTCCCGTGATCCTCGTGAGTAGTAATGACGACCATGACGTGAGCTGCTATATTTATTACGTGAACCCCGTTCCCGATCATAGCCTCTTTCATCGGAATGTCGTGAACGTTCTTTTATTAGACGATCTCTTTCACGCTCTCTGTGACGATCTCTATCTATTTCACCAAACGCGGCACCTTTATAAAACGAGTTGTAACCACTTCCAGAAATTTGATGAACATCTTCCTTTTCGGTGTATTCATTAAAATGTTCATTGACCGAAATATGCGTTGTTGTCGAATGAGGTGTGGTGGGTAATAGTGGTGGAGGTGCAATGGGATTCGTTATATTATCAATGGTTTTTTTTAAAACGGCACCGAAAGGATCGCAGAATACGTTTAATATCTGTAAAACATACATCAATTAATATGATTATTACGAATTTAAGGGTAAGTGCCATTACCTGTATATATATATATACATATATATATATATATATATATATATATATACAAGCATAAACAAGCTTAGACTCTATTGTGATGTTTGCTGCACAAATTCTACATTTAATAAAATCCTTTCCATAATTCCAGCAATAATTACCTTTCCCATTACTGATTTCTGGTTATACTTTTCAACAAACTGCCGAGCTCCTTTAGTGCTTTCAAAGACAATACGCGCGATGCCCAAATGCTTGTTTGTCGTTGGGTGATGATATATATTTATTTCATCCGTGGGCCCGCACTTATCTAGAAGGCTGGAAAGAAACTGCTTATCGATATTGTCGTTAAGATTGACAACCGTTACTTCAATTGCAGGTGGCTGTCCAACGTAATCAGAGTCGATTATAAATCTGTATATAAAGCATATTCAATAATTTATCTAGCTCTAAAATAGAAGTAATAATATTGCCTCTTACCGGGGTACAACCAACATTAGAGGCTCGACAGGCTTGGCTCGAATTCGAATTAGGGGATTACGTGGATCGCGAGGCGTTATTGTCGGGTAGGTCGGATCTCCAGGAACAACGCCGTCGTAGCGATATAGCTTGGTACCACATTTCAACAACTGCGGATCCGCCAATAATTTGAAGTTTCTGTGCATCCTCGTTTGACACAAAGGATTAAAGACATTGCCATCACGATAGCCTTGCATCGTGATTTGCGTCTGTTCCCCCGATGATTCTCCGCCATTAATTAAGTTGTAGTTATTGCTGGTATCCATAGAATATCAGTTGGCCACGTTTACGGAATCTTTTAGAAATAAGAAATATAACTACATCAGCAAGTTTATTATTGGAATTTGTACAATATAATCACTCAAAATACAGCCAAAATAATGAATATGATTACATTTATTACTTACTTTGCAAGTAGTTTAAGACGACTACCGACTATGTCGGCGGGCACGTCCGGGTGTGTATTAACAGGAAAGCGAAAATGTTTTGATATCTTTATTTCGACGAGCAGAGCCTCCTCGAATTCATGCAACGCATTAATTAATGTTGTTTTATCTGCATTTTAGCGATTTCATCAAAAGAATATGAAATTCTCGATATATAACAACATATGAAGTATTAAAACACTGTCGAATAAAAAATACACAGAAAAAACGAGGCCTCGAAGGGGTGTAAAATCAATGCTATCGATGTTTTAATTCTTTCTTATCGATTATTATTAAACAAAGTTTTTTGGGTAGTTTCAATCTTAAATCATTAGATGATGATTTAATTTATTGTAAACAGTTTGCATTGTTTCCAAATATAACAAACTTAAATTATTTTAGATTGATTTTAGTAAGTATTGATAGAAATTGTCGATAACAACGGCGTCATTAAAATACTGGCTTGGAACTTCAAAGACATATGTGAATATGATTGAAAAGTGTGGCAACGCCACTTATAAAATATCCGTATTGATTGCATCACAAGTCAATCGACAAAAAGGTTTTAACTTATTTTTCATAATTTAATTCCTTGATTTTTGTAAGTTTGCTGCTGGCACATATTTAAATTTCTTATATTTTGTTTCAAAAGTATTCGATTGAAGTTACATATGTGTAATTCAAGATCTTGTACATAAACATTGTGAAAAACAATGCTCTCTATATTATGGACAAATTTATATTTATATACTTATGCACATAATAATAGTGTCCTACAATTGATTTAAAATAAGTAACGATGCTGGCATTTTGATTTTAACTCTTACATAATTTGCAGCATCTAAAATGGCCTTTTGGAAATCTTTCGGACTCCCCGTGGTTCGGGCTGATGATGATGAAGCAGAGCTTGTTGACCCGCAAGCCGCTCTTAGAGTAAGTTGAAGATTGTTGCTTATATGACTATGCACTAAAAATTAAATTAAATTTTGCAGGATAAGTGCCAGGCTAAGGGCAATATCGAAAGTTTATACAACAAATACCAGGAATGCAACGACCGTGTAAACGGTCGCTCGAAAACAACCGAAACATGCATGGAGGAACTATTCGACTACGTCGCTGAATTGGATCATTGCGTAGCCCACAGTCTTTTCTCCAAGCTCAAGTAGTTAAGCAATAAGATGATCATATGTATTATTGTCTCCTATACTACGCTTGAGTAAAATTGTTGAAGATTCTTAGTAATTGAATTAACATTATTTTTATAGTTAATGCATTGGTAAACAAAACACTTAGAGCATATTTTAATTGGTATAGTAATGAAAATTATTCGTGAACGTGCAATAAAAATGTGCAGAATAGTGTTTGTCATATGGAATGACTTGATTTCCTGATACACATGTCAATTATAATCAGAAGTGCTCTAATTGGGATACTCCTTAAAACTATAATTATTCCTTTTAAATTGTGGTTGTCTTTCTTCAAGTAGCAATTGCCTAGTTCCAAAGCGGTTCCCATCCATAGATAACATTGCAGTGGCTGGACTCAGGACATCCTGCTGAATAATAACTTACACTCTATCGCAATCGCACTGAACTAAAAAATCTTGTCCCAAAAGTAGATTTAAAATATTACCAGCCGAGCGATCGTCTTTAGTGTGTTCCACAACAAGAATACTATACGTGTATTAATTACTAAATATATAATTTATCAGAGCAGGTGCGTGAATAACAAAAAATAAGCTAGAAGTTATCAGCAGCAGAAAGTAATCTAAAAGCTAAGTCTCTTACAGAATTCAAGATCTGCTGTTGATTTTGTGTAGGAAAGTCGACATTCATCAGAATATTGATATATAATATAAGTAAACACAGATCATTATCGTGGTCGTAACTATAGCTTCAAATCTGTGGAATACATAATTTTTAAGTACCCCTTACAGGCGGACATTATTTTAACATTGGTCTGTAAAGCAGGTGAATTTTGCCAGCTTGTAAGGATTGTATTCCGATTTATCTCAGGGTATATTGCCGTGGCTGATCTTTAAGATATGATCCCATAAATTGCTCAACACAAAGGAACGCAGAGATAAAATTTAAATGTTTTTTTTTATAAAACATTAATTCTTATAGTTTATTAATGTCAGTTTTCTTTTGTTTATTATTTACATACGATTTACAGTGTGCGCTGAAAAAAAACTCAATTATTGACAGTAGTAATACAGAAAAACATATTAGTTACACACGATAAAAGTGTCTATGTGTATATGTATATAGGATTTTATAATCATATTCGTTAATGTATTATATAATATAATATCTCTATGATGCTTATAGTCCGGTTGGTTTAAACTGCCTTGGTAATCTGCAAAACACGTAAACAGAAATATGTTAATTAAGCAGTCTGAATTGGTATTTTGTATAACTATATAAAAGTACTTAGTTATGTCATGTCACTATACCCGTACAACGAGCTATTTTGCTTGACTGAATACAACACCTTTATTGGTTCATTACGGACTGAAAAATGAGCATTTCGGGTTTGACACCTAATGCGATGAATCCGGGCAATTTGTTTTCAATGCACTTATTAATAGAGCTCTGATATTACACACAATCGCGTTAGAACAAGTCTTTTTTATATATGTATTGATTCTTCTTTTTTGATATACGTCGTCCGTTTCAGTCAATTTAAAGTTGAATTAGAAGATATAATATACATACCAAATACTTTTCTATTGTTCCGAAAGCAAGACAGCGTATTGCATATTATTTTAGCTGCCTCCTTGGAGCACACCAAAGCACACATTACAAACTCTCACTGGTTTATTTCTGCCGAATTTTAAAATCGGCACATCGTTGTTAGAGCACTTAGAACATAAAACTCGTCCACAATGTCGACTGAAGTGGAAATTTAATAAAGAAATTATATAAGTTTGCTTGCGCTTCCAAAGTAATTTTAATTAAAAATAGTGTTCGATATTACTTACCAATGGTGCCTTCTTAAGATAAGTGCAAACTTTAAGCCACACTCTTGGCACAACTCTGATTCCGCCCATGGCGACTCTTGGGGCAATTGGTCCAACAATTTGGTAAGTAATTGATCTGTTGCTAATTTGTAATTAAAAATATTGATTCCCTCTCGGTTTTGGGCTCCAAGACAAGCACCTACTTTTACCAAAACTTTACAAAGTGGCGCTTGTCCTCGCATGTATGAGAGAAGCAGCGGTGTGTTGCCGTCCATGTCGGGAACATTAATCGGATATTGCGGCATACATTCAAGGAACAGTTCACAAATAGCAGCACCCGAATTGTCTTCCCCAACGCGGCATAATTCATGCAACGGATTGCGGCCCTTCGCATTGGTTGCCTCCGCATTTATTCGTGATTCTGTTAGCAGCTCTCGGACTATAGCCAGCTGACCCCCGTGGACCGCAAGGTGTAAGGCATTGTTCCCGTCAGCATCACTTGCGTCGAAATCGGCATTATTTTGGATCATGGCTGAAACCGCAGCAAGATTTCCACGTTCAATAGCTATATGTAGTGGCATTTTTTGAACTGCATCTCGTTCGTTGATTCTAGCGCCAGCCAATATTAAATTTCGTATAATCATTTCATTTTTTGATGAAGCTGCTAGGTGAAGTGGAGTTGACTGATAGGCGTCATGGACACGTGAATTGACATCTACTTGAATAGCCAATAAAAAGAGAACACTTTCCAGGTCATCTTTTAATATTGCTAAGTGCAGAAAATTACGGCCACGATTATCCATTATTTCAGCTGCATTTGGAAGTCTCTCGAGTATGCGCTGTGCCGCTTTGTGATTACGGATGGCCAGAGCAGTGGCAAAAGGCGTCAGACCAGATTTATCTCGCAACTTCAGATCTATTCCGGGATGGCACAGAAGGATATTAATAATATCTTCATGTTGGTTTTCAATAGCTACGTGTGCTGGAGTCTTGCTTTCAACATCTACAGCATTCACATTGGCACCGTGATCTATCAGTGCTTGCACAACCTTGGTTAAGCCCCATTGACAACAGAGATGTAAAGGCGAGGCTTTGTCTCGGGCTTCATCACCACCCTCATCATTTGGACCAGGCTGACGCGGCGAGTCTAAGTCGCATTGGTTGCGAACGAGAAACATTGCGGTGGCCTCTTTGTTCTCATCAATTGCCCGGTGCAACAGTGTCTGCTGGCAGCCCTCAGGTCCTTGGCTCCAACAATCAGTGTCAACCCCATGGCGAACTAGAATTTGTGCAACATCCTCAAATCCCAATTCCAAAGCAGTCCATAAAGGTGAATCTCGTGAATTATCCAGTGTACTAAGGTCCACGCCTTTAACGCACAATACGTCAACAACCTTGGGTAAATGGGAGTCTATAGCCAGTTGAAGGACAGACTTTTGTTCACCTAAGTATTCAACAAAATAGATAAGATAAAAAGTTAAGATAAGCTTCAATAAATATAACAGTTCTATAACTACTGTTTTGAAACCTTATAATAATAATAATATCACGTATTATATTACAAGACCTCAATTATCGTGTATTAATTGCAAACTCAATTACTAAATATCAATACAATGTATTTCTCATGTTACTAAAGACCATCTGCATTAATCATTTCAACGACTAGACAAACTAGAATGTCTGATTAAAAAATTACTTAGCATATATATTACCTGTAACCGCGTTAATTTCTGCGCCTTGGTCCAGGAGAAAAACTGCTTTCTCGCTATCGCCGTTTATTATAAATTGATGCAACAATGTCAAATCCTGTCCATTTCTCGCATTTACATCAGCACCGCCAGCGATAAGTATTGGTGCCAATTCAATGTGGTTAAGAGCTAAGCATAAGCTCAGTGGCGAATCACCATTAACATCCTTGCAGTTAAAATCTACTTTGTCCGAGTCGTTTTTACTGAAACTAACGAACGTCTCAATAATTTCCCGAGCATTTTCTTCGACAGCTATATGTAGGGGCGATTTCATATTGGCAGAACCCGTTTGTATATTGGGCGTAGCACCTGCATTAAGAAGCTTCGTCACAAGCTTAGGCATATTCTTTTGGACAGCCATGTGAATGGCAGAGAAACCAGCGAAGTTAAGATGGTCGAGATTGGCAAAATCAGTTAAAAATATTGCAGCCTCTTCAAAATCACTTCCAGCTTTGGTAAGGACTTGCAGCAGGTTGTCGTTTGTGTCAGATTTTAATGGATTCGGGTTAGCTCCCATCTTTAGAAGTTTTGCAGCGAGGTTGATGCTCTCCTTATTGAAGGGAATTAAACTTAATTCAAGAGGACACTTTTCATCCTTGGTACGCAAATTAATGTCAACATTGGGTACATCGAGTAATAGCTCCACCATAGATTTATTTTGACATGTGATTGCAATATGCAACGGGGTTTGTCCTTGATTGTTTTGAAGGTTTACGTTAGCCTTGCGCTGCAATATTTTCTTGCCGATATCAATCATATGTGAAAAGCTTTCGGGATTTTCGTCAATTTCTCCATAGCTGCATACAATATGAAGTGCGGAATCGGAGGACGGCCTTAAAAAATTAAGCACTTGATTAATTCCTTATTTTAGTTAGAACTTATGGCACTTACCTGGACACAAGATCAACAAGGCAGTTGTGATTCAATAAAAAGTCTGCTGCAAAATTATCAGCTTTTTTTACAGCATCTATAAGAAGCGTACATCCCTGCTCGAAGTATATTAATTGATATGATTTATTATACTTATTTTATAACTTACTTTGGCGTCGTAGGCATTCACATTAGCAGATCCATTGTTAACAAGAGTCTGGGCAATTTGAACACTTTTTGCAGACAAAGCCATCTGTAATGGTAGTTGTCCATGTTCAGACAAACTATTCACCAGTTCAGGCAACTGGAAAAAAACAAATAAAGAACATTAAAATGTGTGGTAAATGCAATTTATTTTTTTACTACGTTAAATTAAATTTATGATCTACACATGCCGTCTGTCTGTTGTCAGCATGACCGCGACTGAATGAGTGACTTTTCTAAATACATTTTTTTAGTTTTTTAAATGAAATGTGATTTTTGTAAATTGATTGATTGAGTGTAGAAATCGAAAAACCTAAATTCATTGCAAATATTTGGCTAGGTTGACTTTATCAAATAAATATATTCCTGATGACGGAATTGATTTTTGGCTTGAGATTCATAAACTTTAGCTTTAGGGTCTCCTTAAGTGTACAAAAATAGTGAACGATTCCATTTATGGAAAGAAAAAAGGGATTTTTATAGATAGAACGAATATTTTTGGAAATTTTCATACTCTCAAATCGAAGAATCAGTGCTCAACTCATTAGATTACGAAAAACACCGTTAATTACGTCTGCATGTGTAGATATTTGCTTAAGTGCATCACAAGTGCTAATAATCAGTGTATCTGTAGCCGGGCACCCCCAAACACAACGCTCTGTTTTTTTTATAACAATCATCGAATCAAACGAGATAATAAGAAATTTATGGTCTATGCGGCTGTTCTGCTTCTTAGCTTGGAGGCGATTCCGCTCTCATTTCGAAATAAAACTCTATTCAGACAGAATCACAGACGTTATCTAAAGTAAAAGAAAATTACATTTAAATTGTAAGTGCTTAAGATAGGAAATATATATAATTTATAATAATTTATTTTTATGTATACATACATACATATATATATATATATATATATATATATATATATATATATATATATATATATATAAACATATATATATAGCTTGACTTTGAAACAAATAAATCTAATATTTAAATGTAGTTCTTTATTTTATTATAGTTTATATGGATAATTAATACCACATTGAAATGCAGACCCTGTTCTTGCTTGTGCAGCCCTAAGAGATGTAAAGTTGTGACGTCAAAAATGCTCTGCGCATCTGAAAGCGACGAATTTGTTTGCGTTACCTCGCCTTCTGCATTGAGAGTCGTCAGTCATAATTTTTTCGCCCGATGGAACGAGTGTCAATGTTCCCAGTTGTCGTGTGTGATTTTAGTATTGTCCCATTTATGCGAAAATGATTAATCCACTGTATAAAATTAGGAAGGAAATGGAATAATCTAAAGAAATTACTATAATTCAATGTGATCTACTTTCACACACTTTCATATTGGCGAATTTAGTTACGCACACACACAAAGCGTGCATGGATATATTCTTTTGTAGCCACAAATCGAAATAGCAAAACTTTCTCCAATACCGGCAATTGCTAAGCATTTATCAATTTTTTGTTCGCATTTCCTTATACGTATGCATATGTATTAATGAATGGGCCAACGTCTTGTGTGACCGTATCGTAGGAGAAACTTGTATGTATTACACATAGTACATATGTATATACCGACATAATATATACGCGTTATGATATTAAAACTAAAATATATATAAACAACCCAGCAGACTAAAATCTAATACCCACATATGTGAAGACCGTTCATAAGTCTATCTCAAAGCACACCACATATGATTGAGTGTTCCCATACACTACATACTAAATATTTATAATGATGGACTGGAAGGCACACAACCATGGTCTCGCTTACCACCTGTTCCAAGGCGTTGTTTTACTTGCTGTTGCTTTAGATTTAGGTTGGTATTTTTTGGTATTATTAAGTAACACGCAGATATTTTAACACATATGCAACAGTAGAATGCGTAAGGTCGTATCCTAATATAATCATGTAGCGACACTTTCTGATAAGTGCATATACTTTAATACTAATTATCATAAGCCAGTGAGAACCGGTTGCAGAATACCCGCTCAGAGTGCTTCTACAGATTTGATCAAGTAGCCTATTTCAATTTGGGAGAAAAAAAATCTTTGGAGCCACGCTTTAGAGTAGGTCACAATGTAATTTATTTAATGAACTTAGCTATATCACTGTGGATGATAGAGCATTTCCTCATTTGCCACGCACCCACTGTACGCAATCCCATAATTTACATATCTACTCAGACATGAGAACTTTTTTATTCAAGCCTTCAAGCTTTAATCGAGCAGGGAGATGGGAATTAATATTAAGATGTTAAAAAACCTGTATATCTGTACATTATAATATAAAATACAGCATTCTATATTGACAGTATATAAGTATACACCGAACGATAAGAACAAAACCGTTCAAAACAGCTCGTTCTAGATGCAAAAACAACATGTTATTGTGCGTATATATATATATATATATATATCAATAATAATTGTGTATACAATATTGTATAATAAAATATTATTGAAGATAAGAGATTGAAGATAACATGCAAAAATAAACAAAATGAACTCATAATGTCGACAATGATTCAAGAAGTCTTATTTATAAACGCGTATACGCCCCATTCAGTTTCTATTGCTTTACTATTTACTATCAGTAAATAAGCTATTAAAGCTGATTAAATCAACAGTTTTTCGCTAATGCACGCGCTCATAATTATACAAGTGTTATCCATAAAAAAAGTAATCGTGCGTATAGGCTTACTGCATTCTTACAGACAACCAAAATATATGTACTTTTAAAACTGATAAAGAAAAACAAGTTTTCTTTATCTTTTTAAAAATAATCTACTTGATTAATGGATTGTTGTTCTAAGACTGTAAGAATGAAGTTCATACTGTAAAAATATATCCTCAGGGTGACAGTGGGCGTGCCTGCCTAATAGGTCGAATGAATGTGAATGTACACATTCCTCAACTTAACTTATCTGCAAATTTATATGTAAATATAAGATATAGATATTTATTTTTAAGTTGCGTAAAATCGATATATTAATTTTTCCTTTCGCTTTAAAAAATATGTCGCATTGATTTGAATGTACGAAACGCAAAATCGATTTGGATACGAAAATTGACAAACATAACTCTATTATCTTTTGGCAATGTTCTTAAATTGTAAATGCACAATAATCAGGGACACTTTGGTTAATAACATATAATAATAAAAAAACTAAGATTCAATCACCATGAATTACCTATATAAATTTAAAAATATTACTTTAACTGATTCACTAATTTGAACTTTTCAGCCAACTGTTCAGAGAGGGAAGTCTTACTATGCTACAAATGTTCAGTAACTGTGGAGAAGTATTTTGTTGACAATGTAACAATTGTTACGCCGTTGTGCTCCAAGTTCGAGCAATCTTCTGCTTATGTCATCCAGTGTCCGTATTCGACGATGTGTTTGAAAACGATATCAACTCTACATCTTCAAAATGGACAAGAGCAAGAAACCATCACAAGAGGTTGTGCGCAGCAAAAAAACACAACTCAGGTTAACTGACAATCAGAATATAAAGTACATTTTGAAATCTATGAAATAACTATAAATATATTGGTTCTACAGGTATTTCGCAACAGGCAGTGGGAACAGGAGCACTTGGTGCAGGAGGTGTATAAGGAAGAATGCACAGAAATTCAATCTAACAACTTCGCAGGATCGAAAATCGTGCACTGCTACTGCCGCGGCGAATTGTGCAACTCATCGAAGTATTTTACTGTTGATAGGAAACTAATAAGCGTGATTGTTTTACTCAGCGCTTTTTTGCTTTTCCGCAATATGTAATTTCATATTTCACACTTAAATATATATAAATGTAACGTGTTCGGCTTTAAGTTAAAAGTTGTTGTGATAATTTTAACCATGAATATCTGCTATGGCCTTTTGTGATAAAGAAACCCAATACAAATGCTGCCCAGTCGGCTTTATCAAGCATAACATACATTTTGAAGATAAAGTTTATAACATTGAATATTGTTGCATTTAAAAAATAACTAAAACGCTGATTATCTGTTGTTAAAGCTACGTGTGTTCACCTTTCTTGAGAAGTCTTTTGAGAGATTCTTCAATAAATACTGAATGTAAATGCATTTGTCTGAGTTTTCTTAATTGTTTATAATAAGAACTGTGTATTTCAGCTAATATTGCAGTAGAAGTAAATACCAGAACAGATTAGCAGTCTTTAAAAAAGAAAATACATCTTGAATTATTATAATAAAATTATATAAATTCATCAATAAAATTAAATTTTTTAATAAAAATCAGACTATAGTTTTGACAAGAAATTAATTCGATAATTAGAGCAAAATATCCCATCTCGGCCTACAAAAAATATTCTCAATTTCAAGAATAAAATCGTTTTAGTCGTACATCAAGACCCATTAATTTGTAAAGACTATAATGGTTATCCCTTTTAAATTTTTAAAAAATCTTTCCCAGTAATAGTTTGGTCAACTCTTATCTCTCTTAGGGAATATCGGCACAAGCGATAAATAAAACTAAAGTCGAAAATTTGTCAAATATTCTGCTCAAAACACTCTATATATGAGATTAATCTAATTACGTACAGTGCGAATTTTGCCACTTACCGAATTGTTGTTTTCAGCAAGGCACAAGCAAACGACATCTTCGCGCAATAGTCGGACTGCCGAGTGTAGGGGATATTTGGTTTTGTTTTTAAGCATTTTATAGAGAAGTGGTCCAGACATGTGTTCGAAATCCTGTGCAGTCAAGTCATCCCAGTGCGTGGATATAATGCCCGAGCAGTACTCAAGTAAGCTAGCTGCACCCACTTCTTCGGCCACACAATAGAATCGCACACACGATCGTACGCCTACTGAAGCCACCAATGCTCTCTCACAGAGCCCGAGCAGTCCAGGTAAGGAAAAACGATGCGCCACTCTCAATAGGCCCAAGGTCAATCGATCGTGCTGCAAGTCAATAATATCTGTATAAATCCAACGTAACAGAGCTGTGGCTATATCCTCGTCTAAGTCGCTCCAGTCTAACTCTTTGGCACTGGCTAATGCCTCGTTACGCCATTTATCCGACCGGGCATGCAGTACGAATTTATGTGCCGGCATTATTGTCCCATTGGAATTGGTCCTAATGCTCAAGTCGGAATATATCGAGCGCCCATACAAGGAGGCCGTCGTCAGGGCCAGTCTTGATACAAAACTGCTAAATTCTCCTGTAGACTCAAGATCTGATGTTGAGACAATAACTTCATTATATTTCCGTTCCAATTCCACATAGCTGCGCTGAAGCTTATTATATTCTTCCTTTAAAAGAGCAAGGTCCTTTTCCAGTTTTGAAATAGAATCAATGTCATTACAACCTTCAAGATAAATGAGTATTATTTAATTAATGTGCTTGTCTATATTTAATTACGCATTTACAAAAATGCATTGAAATGCAATTTTCAGATACATTTGTCCAAAAAACATTAAAGTTCACATCACACCCACACACCAAACATAATTCGGTATTTATTTGTATGTTCAAGCAATTTAGTAGTGCGTAATGTAATACGTACCCATGGCTATTAGTTAGTTTACTATAAAATCGACGATATTTAAAGATAATTCTATAAACATCTGACTTTAAACCAATTCGGCTTTCATTAATCTCGCTTAAATTCCACAGCTGTATCAAAATAATATGGAGTCATCGAGTCGTCTAGTTATCGATATCTAATTTATTAAAGCGCAATCGATTACTTTAATTAGATTTCGTTATACAACGTTCTCACCAAACACGTTTGGTTTTCATACACAAAATTGAAACAATGTCTCTGATAATTTCTTGTCATGTATAAATTATTGCTATTCTCATATGATTAATTATTAGGGACGCAATTGATTAAAATTTAAATTAAAATTTGATATTTCGGTAAGTTCTATACATTCAATATGTTACTATTGTCGAACAATAATACTCTTAGAATATTATCTGATGTGATTAAACTAGCGAAAAGTAAATTTCTAATACATAAAGCGAGATATCAAACAAACAAAACCACAAAATGTTGTTAATACAGTAACATATGCTCAATGTAATCAATTGAATTGAAGGTTCACCGCAAATTATATCAACAAATTCCCTAAAATTAGACTCCATTGGATCGGCAAACCCGTTCTGAGAATAATGTGCACCCAACTTTTATGGAGAATGATTTTTAGAAATCTTACCATCATACAAACTTCTTTGTAGCACATATAATATATACTTATAGAGCCACGATCTGCTTACGCAATATCCTATTTCGATATGCGCTGATCATTTATAGACAGTACCAGAAGCATTCATGAGCAGCCAACTGGTAAAATCAATTAATAATCTTGTCTCATGCTTTATCTACCCAATAAATTTTTCATAGCCTGAACACGTTGAAAACGGCAATTCAGGGTGTAATTGTTTCGTTATAATTTTTGCTTCACGTAGAAGAAGGCGTGACAGATTCTTGATCAGGGCGAAAACCTGAATCGATCCAGCTTGTCTCTTTGTCCGTCAGGCCGTACGTATGCTAGAACCTATATGAGCTAGCTATAATTTTGTATAGCTCCAGCTTAGCAAGTTTCTTTCAAATGATCGGTAACTATTTCCGTTTCGATATAATCAATTAAAAGCGTTATCGAGCTTCATCATTAAAGCACATCTTTGAAGCTTCAAACTTTGCATTTAGTTTCTTGAATATTTTAAAAAAATTGATTTTTTTCTCTCCGATACCGGTCCCAATCGCCAAAATTCCTTAACGTTCAGTGCAAATATTGTCATTACTTGAAAAAGTTTTCATTTTTAGTGGTGGGGTTTGAATAGACGATGTCAATTGTAATTGTGTATTTGCGAGTTTGAATGATGCATATCTAGTTGAAAATTTGCATATCTACTTAACACTTGTCTTTGCTGAATATATGAAAGCCAAGGTGTATACAAAGTTGAATGCTTTTTCGAAGAAGATCACGTAAGAAGTTGTCTGCCAAGTGGTACATAGCGAGTACTTTCCAAGATCATCAGCTCTAACAGGATTATATAGAATTCAATTTGAAAAAAATATATATATACAAAATATACCGGGTGCTTCAAAAACCTCGACTATTATTAACGTTTAGAAACTAAAGATAGAATTTCAGTCAGCAAATTGAATAAGTCCAGCCGAAATCTTTAATATTGGAATTCTTCTGTTATCTATCTGCAAAACATTAAAGAAACTTAAACCAAGTAGAACAATCCGAACATGCCGATTATTTGGGGATTACATAAGATAATAATAATTATAAGAAGGGGTAATAAAACTATGTTTGAAAGTGCGCGACTAGGATATAACCTGAATCTAGTGCGGAGCTGCTATTCCATATACTTATAACAATCAAATTTACGTGCTAACATAATATCCAGAATTCCCATTTGCCATGGGTTCATGGAATAAAAATCGAAATGAGAGGAGTTGACACGGCCTATCCGGACATGAGTCGATAGCAATGGCGTATAACGTGCTTTCGAGTATCCCGGCATGGACGGCGAGAGATATTCCAATAAAATGAATGCAAATAATTAGCTATAGGCCATTTATTCCCCAATTTTGGTCACAAAGTGATGGCTGTGCCAGGTGTCGAAATCTCTTGTACCATGTACTCAAGACATCGAGCTGTTAAAATGAATAACCCTTTGATTAACATTTGATCCCTGCCAAAAACACGCAGCGTTCGGTGTAGTAGATTTAATTGTGCATTTATTTACTTGGCGTATTACTTAAAAATTGTGCAATGTCTAAGGAGGAACGACATAAATGACAAGTATGTGTCTAATAGTATTGAAATTGTTTAATAACTACCAATAAATTGTGAAAGCTAATGTGAAATATTGCATTAGTATTAATATGTATCTAAATAAAATTATTTACTAAGCTTATTAAATAAAGTAATTCGTTGTATGATTGTGCCACTGGTTGGTCCCAAAACAATTTCACAAAATATCTTTTAATAATATTTAATTTGGATTTCTCACATTGATTGAGTCTGGGTCTACAATAAATCAAATTATTCAATTTATATTATTATCACCAATTTTATTATCAATTATAGTTTCATTATATTGAATAGACTCGTATAATTTAGGTAACTTATTATAGGTGACATCGCCCATTGGACCTTTGGCTGAGGCATCACAACATTCATATACTTATCTGGAAATTTATCTTAAAACTTGTATAACTTATTTAAAAAGTCTAAAGCTTTTTGTTGTTTTCAAATTTGTAAATTATAAGTTTTTTAATGCGAAACCGTTTGGAAAAATATTATTTTAAAAAATAATAATATTAGTTTTAAAAAAAAATAGAAAATTTCGCAACCTTGGAGTAGCAGTTTGAGTTTGACTTAAATTGTTCTATATTATTTAAAATGCATTGTTTAAGGAAATAATGAACAGAAACAAAAACTCGATCTTAATTACTCTACTCGACTAGAAGATGATATTTAAGCTGTTTTTTATGTAAATACATTTTGCACAGATCAATCGATCAATTCGTAAAGCAAGCATCATATATTAGATTAATTAATTAAATTTAAATGTTGAAAAATTCATTTTTATTCATAAGTAAATTGTATTGAACTATTTGCTATTAGAATCTTTTTTCTGCGTATTTTTTATGAATAATTAATTTACTTTAAGTACAAATATTTGTTTAAGCAAATTACTGCATTTCTGCTATGCATATGCACTTTTCTAAATATACATATTTCTTTTTCCTTTTGTATTTTATTTGTTTGACAATAGTCGATTTTAGAGTCGCGTATAGGCTTTAATTAAATGCAATATTATACAGAATAATTTAATTTAATAAATTTATCTACTCATGTCTGATGTTCTAAAATCTATTCATCCAATATTTATGAATTACGATATTGCAACGTAGTTGCTGTGATCCCAATTGTTGGATCCTACAGCACCCTATTGATACAATTTAGAGAATTCCTAAGTTATACTAAAAATATCACAATTCAAATTTAGGCATGCTACCTTATGTCAGCACTTGAGCATGTAAAAAAGAAAAGTTTTGTTTGTACAATTTTTGAACAGACTTGAATATAACAAAATTTTTAAAATTTTTGATTTTATGTTTATTTGCAAAAATATAAATGTAATTCAATTGAATATTAAGTTGAACTTTTAATTTGGATTGAATTTCCACAATTTCATAACGACCGAAATTTGCTAAACTCAGATTAATCTGTATATATAATCTTAAAATAAATTGTTTCTGTTTTTAAACCTGTTTTGCTTCCTAAGCTTATTGGACCATTAAATGTGAATTAAAAAATACTTACACAAATATCTTAAACAGAATTTTAAAAATATCAAAATGAGGAATAATCAATAACCGATTTAAATATCTATTTTAAGTATTATTTTTTTGTTTTTATTATTTAACTTAGAAGTGTTTAAAATTTAAAACCGCATTTCCATATCACACAGAAACAATAACTTTTGCTTTTTCTTGGATACTTTTGATTAGACTGAATTTTATACCTAGATGAAGTACATCATTTAATATTAAATAGAAATATATATTTAATAACAACAATTTATAATTAGTTTACAAAGAGAAAGCTGACGTGTAAATAAATGAAACTCTGACGTAGATGGACGAAGGCACTAGAAATATATATTGACACAACAAAATAATTGGTTGAAACCCACAATTGATAAATCGAAAAAAAAAGACTTTTAATAAAGCTTAAGTACTTATATAACAAAAGATCAGCATTGGCCACAAAATACTCGCTTCTAACGAGCCAAAAGCTATTAGCTAAATATTTGTTAGACTTTGTCAACTTATTATTAAAACAGGAAATATATTTGTATTACCAATGCTTGATGGCATTGGATATATGTGAGATATGTTTCTAATCTTACAATGATGGTTCAATGCAAATACTTTATTTTCTATATAGAATTATTGGCTGCAATAAAAAGCCGAATCTAGCCAAAGCGATCGATAATATAATATATAATATATATAGTTTATGGGGTTCTAGTTGTACCCTTAATGCTTTACACCTGACAAACTTATGATACCTTATAAAGGGTATATTGTATTGCTCATCAATAAACACGCAATTTGCATTTTATGTATGATTAAACAATGTTCCCTAATAAAAAAGATTTTTAGCTAAAATGTGCATACAATTAACGGTTATTTTCGGTCCCTGGTATTATTAATATCATTGGCTATTTGATTAACATTTTTTCCATTTGATTAAGTTTCTTCATTTTTTTGGCTAGAACAATGTTCAGTCAGCGACGGAAGTACGTTATCCATCGATGGCTCCCTGGAAAAATATAAAGAAATAATTTTTTGGAAAACAATGAATAAATAAAAAAATATTTTACCTGTCCAGTGGCATGTGATAAGACCCAGGTGCTGAATTAGATCTACCAGCCTTGACAAATTTCTCTAGCCTGGATCCGCCAGGCTGGGGAGCCCTTCCAGAAATGCCCCTCATAAAGGGATTAACAAACGAGTGATTTTTGAGCATCGTTTTGATTAATATGAGCGTATCAAGCTTTGGAATGCTGCGGACAACAGAATTAATATCTTCATCGTCCACTTGTACCAAGCAACAGTTCTCATCTTCAGTTGGACAGACATAAGACCCGTTACTGGTCACCCACGGGTTTAGCTAAGGAATACATTTTGTCAATTATAATTCTATTCATCGTTGCTCCGTACCTTTAATTGTGGCAAAGTTATTCGGTTTGCTGGATCCTTTTCAAGCATTCGGACAATGCAGTTTTGCAAATCGTCGCTTATTTTAGGCAGTCCTGGAAACACCACTGGATCGTTTCGTATTTTATCATACAACAAGGGTATGGAGTTAGCTATAAATGGTACATTTCCATAAACCAATGAATATAATGTTGCTCCCAAAGCCCACACATCCGCTGCCCGACCACAGTACACATTCTATTCAAAGGAAAATTTATGTAAAGCATACACTGCTCTAATATTTCTCATATTACAAACCTTGCCCAACACAAGTGTTTCGGGTGCTCGAAATGCTGGCGTTCCACCTGTCGAGCCATTACTCATTGTAGCATCCTCACCCAGAAACTCATTGCATACTCCCAAATCAGCTATTTTGACATGTCCACATTCTGTCAACAGCAAATTTCCAGGCTTGATGTCTGCGTGAATAATCTTTTGATAGTGCACTATATACAAAAAAAAAAGAAATGGAATAATTCTTGAAAGATATCAACGAATCTCATTGGGTATCTATACTTACGATATTCTAATCCTAGTAAACAGTCTCGAAACACGCTCAATGCACGCTCCTCTGACAATGGCTTGTCTGTGGGTATGGAAAGAACTTCTCCTTTCTTAACCAATTCAAAAACCATATAAAGCGAATCTTCCATTGGGTCATCTAGCACTTCGACTAACTTTACTACATTTGGATGGTCAAGTTTCTTTAAAACTGCGATTTCTCTATAAACTCGATCAAGCGGCGATGTTGCTTGCTTTGGACCTCGACGCATAAACGCAGCTTGCCGCAATAAACGCTTTTTAGAGAGAATCTTCATAGCATAATGTGTGGAATCTTCTTCGGAATAAGCTAACTTCACAAGTCCGTACGAGCCCTGTCATTAAAAGTTATTATTAGCAATTATTTCGTTAACAAAATACTTGTCAAATACCTGTCCTATTTGATCCATAAGCTTATATTGATTAAGCTGAAGAAAACTTCCCGATTTCTCAATAGATATTCGCCGGGATTCGCGTAATGGGGGTCTACGTCGTACTGACCGAGGACTTCCGTAAGGACTGCCATATGGACTATATGGCACGTTCGGATAAATTGGCCGAGATTCTGTGCTTTGAAAAACTGCTGTTGCAATGCTTGGGCGGTTTGTTGGACGCTGACGTATTTCTCCAGTAGATCTGTTCAAGCCCTCGCTTTGACCATGTTCCACGCTCTCGTCGATCGACTTAAATTGGCTCTCAGCAGACCGATGTTCCGTAATGTTAGGAAGAATACGGTTATGCAACTGCTGATCAATATTTAAGCCAGCAGAATCCTCATTGTATAAGTCTAGTGATTGTGATTTAAGTAGAGTAGGAAGACTCTGCTTCGAGCCACACGATGCAACAGATTCGTTTCTGGACGCTGACGAATCTGCAGTTCGGACTATTATTCTTTGAGAAACGGTACTCTCCTTCAAAAACTTAATTTCGTCCTGTTCGTCATTTTGAACTTGATCAGGCCCTATGTTTTGGTATGCCTTTCCTCCGTTGAATTGCATATTTGGCGACTTATGAGAAGTTTTCGGATTTACAATATGCATTTTCTCTAATTGATTGTCCAAAAATGTTGTCGTTTCGGGGTTTTCGGGCTCACAACCTTTCAGTAATTTAACAACGACAACATCGTCGTCATCATCATCACAGGTATAACTTCCAGCCTTATCTTTATCGTGTATATGATCATCTTCCTTTGCTATTGCGTGGTCAACAGTTTCCAAAGTTCTGGCCGGATCTGGGGCGTTACTAATGGCGGCTTTCTTACTATTCAAATCGGACATAATGTGATTTGATGTATGCGCATAATTGCATTTCTGTCAGCTCCTGAAATACATAAACTATATCTATGAAACACATATAAATATTTTAATAGGATTAGTCTAAAGTACACAAATATATTCTTGTATCTGTGCTTTGTCAAGTTTAAATTTGTATTGGGCAAAAACTGAAAAACTTGTTGCTCTTTGCTCAAATTTATTCTACATCTGTAGATAAAGAACTTATAGAGCTATTTCGAGAAAATTTACTAGTGGCAGTACAAATTCAGAAATTTTAAGTTCGGGATAATATTATATGATCTTTGGGATGTTTACAAATTGTCTTTGGTTTTACTTATATTTTTCTTTTGATAAAAACTTTTGATATATTCAGATTCCAATTTTTTTTATTTTTATTTTTTATCAGAAGAGGACATGCCATCCACCCTATAAAGTATATAGTCTTGATTAAGAAAACGAGCTGAGCCCTGTCCGTCCATCTGTCTTTCCTTATGTATGAATGCGTCGATCTCAGCAGCATTACAGAGTATTTAACTGCTTAAATCTAGGGTATTTGAGAATGGCATCATTTGGAGTCTATTATGCTACTACAAATTCTATTTAGACATATCAAAAGATATCGGCTATGTCTTTATTGAAATTAATTAAATATTAATGTAGTTCTGTTCTTCAGATATACTGAAGATTTATCAAAATGTTTTTATTTATTATTTATGACTAGACAAAGTTAACAGCAATTATTTCCGCTTTTCATGTTTCAAAAAGTTCCCACCCGAATAAATTGAAAAAAACGCTATATTTAGATCTAGAGACCTTTAATACTGGTGCTTACAGCATATATGTTCTATATTTGTATCCACGTATATATTTTGTCATTTGGTTTTGTGTCTTGTCAACAGACGTCGCCAATATCTGAGTAAAAGTTTAAGTAATTCATTTTTCTTGTATATAAATGGTAACTGAATATTAATAAAGGATTTTCCTCTTTCTTCCCCGCCGCAGTAAATGGCTTTTCACTGCGGCTCTCTGGCCTTATTGCTGATATGTGTTGCAGGCACGTTGCAGCCTATAAAATCAAGTGAATACATAGGCAAGCTCATTCCGAGACACGACAAGTGGGCGCAGGCGATCAAAGGGGAGTATATCCCCATGCAATTTTATGATGCGATGCGATCAGCAGAGAACTCCAAGCAAGCTTTCCAAAATCAGATTAGAAACTTCGGGGAACATCTTCAGAGAAATCTGACAATGTCGAATGTTCTTTCGCTCAGACATGAAAATCAACTGAATACGGAGCACCAGAGAAGAAAATTACACGAGTTGTCAGCGTTTTTCTACACAGCAGCCGATGTAGCTGGAGTCTTCGCGCGTGATTCCGAGATTTCCTTCGAAGTTGCGAAGAACTCAAGTTATACGCTATTGCTGCAGCTTCGCCAAATTCCATCAACGCAACCGATTCCAGTCAAAATGCTGCTAACCAACTATTTTGCAGAAATGGAATTCTTTCACATCATGTTTTCCGAGATTATAGACGAAGCATTGGAATACACGCAGAACATTTTGCTCGCCACCCAAAAGACCTTCACATACTACGCCGATGTGCAGCGATTTGTTTTGGAAAACTGGAACTTTAAGGGTGATGCTTTCTGCTGCAAGGAGTATATGGAGTTTTTGAAACACTATTCCGACCAAATCTTCAAATGTGCTGTCGGACGTGGCCTCGATATTGCCTTCGACGTGTTTGCCATGACTGAGCTAACGAGCAAATATGTCATGCGACAGCTCGAATTTCGCATTCAACGACTTTTTAACTGTCTTTATCTAGGAAGCTATGAAATTCGATGCAAATTTCTTCAAAACGCCGAGAAAGACTTTGAAATGTTATTCACTAAAATTGAGGAACTGGAAATATTCTATGACATCAAAATAAAAAACGGACGAGTTTCATCACTTAGACAACGACGCCAAGCCCACATTGAAGAAGACGCGACAAATAGCGTGAAAGCACACGACAATTGCATACCTGAAGACTTTCCTCGCAGCCAAATGCATAAAAGTTTGAAACTGTGTTTTTATAATATAACAGAATATTAATCTATATGCTTATATATCATATATAATAAAGTAACATTCTATGTTGCAATTTTCTATAAATTCTCTGAAAAAAACTATTTCTTCTTGACACGTCAGACGCAAGACTCAATAATTTTTATTAACTTTATAAGGTATAAAAAATATTTTATAAAAATAAAATGGATGTTTAAGTGTGTCTGACTTGGAGATACCCGGAACTCTTGAATATATTTTTCTATTTTTCATTTTCAAATAGTTACAGCTGTACACCTAGTCAAAGGCATATATATGAGCTCAAGCTACTACTACTATTACTCTCTTAACTGTAAAAAGACTTCTAGTTATGAAAACAATATTTCTATATTATATAGTTCCAAATTTCAGATAGGTTATTGGTATAATAAAATGGTGTTCCAAGGCATTTTGCAAAATAAATAAAATGCGAATGAAATCAGGATCTTTTTCTCCACAAACTTAACACATATTCAAGAGTAAGATTAGGATAGATTAATATAGAGTGAGATAGACTTGACTGGATCAACGCAGCTCATTGTCCTGATAAAGATTATACATATATATTTTACAATTAATATATTATATTAATATATTATTAATAAACAGAGAACCTTCTCGCGAGAGATCTCGACTTAGTTAACTAAAATAAAACACAAGTGATTTAGTGAGGCTTGATCACATTTTTATTATACTCAGTGTCTTCGACCAGAGCCAATGAAATACAGCATTTGGAGTATAAAATTTTTAAGTGCAACAGCCTTAAAAGTTTGCTAATTAAATTGTCAAAGCCTTCAATGAGATTTGAGATCTCATTATTCACAAAATCAAGGCATCGCGACGTGTATTCGAAATGAGATGAATTGTTTTCCAGGCAAAAGTTAAGCCGATTGAGCACTCGAGCCATATTAGCCATATAACTAGAGCCATTGGCCAACAAAATACGAAAACTTCGGCAGAACGATATTGCTGGTTTCATAGTGACATTACAGCATTTGTGCAGCTGCACAGAGCTTAAGGCAATCAAATCGTCGACAATGTGACAGGCGCTTCTATAGAGCCGTCGCTTATCAAGAAGGCGTTGCTTGTCGCTGACCTTTGTTTGCCATTGATTTGCATCATGTGTACGATCGATAAGACTATCATTAACAACCTGGGAGGCCCATTCAATATTTTTGGCAACGCTAGTCAATTCGCTTTTCGCGCGCTCAATATTTTGCAAAACAAACTGACGAAATGATTGCGTCACGTTGAGTTCTAGCGCTTGAGCTAGCTCAGTTAAAACATCGCCAAACAGGCTGAAGACACGAAATATGAAATTATTGTCGGGCCCCTTTTCCATTGCAGTCACCGGCTCTACTATTATTCTTATTATTTTATCTAGCAAACTGTCGTCTTGAGGCCACTTTGTGTGTTCATTCGGAACTTGCCGCACAGCGTCTTCATTGTGCGCAGTAATTTTTACAGCCGACAATAGTTGGGTAAATAATATTATGAGCAAAAGAGCTCTTAATTCGCAGCTCATCGCTATAGATTAAGCCCAAGCACTGTGCGATCGACTGATCGATCGATCGATTGATCTGTATTTGTTAACAAGCCAATTAGGGTGAGCAAATAATTACTTCTAATTCATAGAATTCCATTATATACGATTATCACTAGCAATGCATCATATTATACATTTCGACATTCGCTCAAATGCACACAATGTAATCGTACTGCTCTAGTTTCATATTTTGGTCCACTCTAATTGGTTTGTACTTAATATAAATGTGTACATAACTTATAAATACAAGTGTATGTGCGCCTTATCACTAAATTCAATATATAAATAAATATATATGAATAATAATTTACATGTTTGTACTTTAAATAAGTAAACAAATGTGTGCGCAGCTCAATAAAAACAAGTTATCAGGAAGCAAACAATGTTTTCCTAAGGTTTCTTAAATAAAACCTAAAATGGAATAACATAATATCTATTTGTCACACTTAAGAGTTGATTTACGGTTTTGTCTTATTAGCAAAAGAGAGAGATCATATATCATAGATATATAAATTAGCAACTAATTATTATTAAATTAATTTCTCCCTCCAGAGTTGAGAGATACACATATCTCTACATATGTATAAGCAGATCATACAGATGTGCATATATATATATATGTACGCACACATACATACGTACATATTTATAAGTAAGCGTTATCAGCAAATGAAATGCAAAGTTTTAAATAAATAAAATAGGTATTTGATAATTCTGCTATTTACGTATTTATGTACATATATGTAAAGCTATATACAAATATGTATGTATGTAATGCCATAGGAACAACAGGTCAAGCGAGTAGAGAGAATTACAAATTTGTCACGAATTGTGTGATATATTGTAGAAGATATATTGTACATAGTGAAAAGTAAACTTTTGTTTAAATTATAGTCGAGCACATAAACCCAAAATGTGTTTTATGGTATTTATAACAAACACCAGCGAGACTCCTTAACTAAATGCGTTCGAATGATAAGAAATCATCAAATGAGATCAAAAACTTATAACTAGTTTTGCCAATGTAAAACGCCATGAAGGTTAATAAGACTAGAGGATGCTCTGCAAGATATTAAAACATCCATCTAAACATTACAGAGTTTTTAGAAATATTTTTAAAGAATTTTCTTTAAGTGTTTAGACTATATTGGATGTATATTCTATTTTATATATTCTATTTTGCTCCTAACTTTTAAAATAATCATATTTTACACATCATTTTCCTTTGTATGAAAACAGAAAAATTGTTGCTTTACGAAGACATTATTGGTACACTTTATAATCTTTATTGCAGTCAACGGTCAAATGGAATTAGTCCTGACAAAGTAAGCGAATAATCTAAGTGGATATTTACGCAATAGGCAACAATAACGAAGAATATTATTATAGTCACAGGATGCATCCATTGCAATTATTTTAAGAAAAGAAAAAAGAAGGTGATTATTTGATTTAGTTTCCTATCTGATTGAATTTAAGATTTTGAGGCAATTTATATGTATTTTATTTATACATTTTATATCCTAAGAATTAGGAGAATGGAAGGAGCAGGCAGAACGGAGCCCAAAGTTTGAATGGGAAAATGATTTTGGTGGTAATCCCATAAAATGATATTCGAAGACTTATTTTTTCTTAAGATCAAGTATATAAAGTATAAAAGTATGTTTGGATTCGTAATTTTGAGCTTTTATATAACCAGTCTATCAGCTTAGAGGCTTTATTTATTAGTTATTTGAATCTAAAGACAAAACATTAAAATTAGAATCCTCTTAAAGCTGACAGCTCTTCAACGGTGATCTTATTTATGAATTTGGATCAAAGATGCCTTTGAACTCTCAATTAATGAATAGATCTACTCGCAATTATTTAGTCAGTACTGCGGGATACTTATTTTGTTTGTTTTAAAAATTGATCTTAATTTAAAGTACTTAAACACATGTCTTGCTGAAGCACGCAAAAGCATTAATCAATAGATTGTTCAGACAATAATTTCTTGAGCGTATAAAAAATGCTTTTTTTTCTTTTTGGTTGTTTGTACACATAACCTACTCAAATTCCAAGCACACAAAGCTGTTTATAAAATTGTGTTTAACTTGAAGAAGTAAACACTTGCTAAAATTAGGATTTTTTATGAAAATTTCCAAGAAAGATAACAATTAAAAGCTGTCAGAGTGCAGAAAGGAAGGAAAAACTTGACAAAAACAAAAAAAGTTCCTATAAAATCTACTTACAACAATAACACACTTCCGAAATTATTCCACAAAAACCCTTTTCATATTTTTCATCTACTTCTGCATTCAAACAGAACTACTTCAAGTCCTACTGGGTATGCAATTGCAGTATATTTGTATTTACACACATTTGTATTTATTTACATGTTTGCTCATTTCTTATTGAAAACTTGTAGCATATGTATATTCAAACAGTTACTTTTTGTATCGAATTTAATCATATAATTTCCGCTTTGGACTTATTTATTTAACTAAATCTAAATAACTAAAACAAAATATTGTACAATTTTAGGTACGTATCCCACAAATTTATTTAAAATACATTCAAATAGCTTTCAGTAGCATTAACTTCTTATCAGTTTAAAGTAGAAACATAAGCGGTATTTTTTAATCGAATTAAGTCCTTTTTCTAGCGTTTTGGTACAAATTAATGAATATTCATTAAATAAACAAACATACATACATAAGGACTGATGTGCACACTTATATATATGTGTGCCTATACATTCACATATATAACTCTATATGTATGTATATAAAGATGTATATGTTAATCCTATTAATACTGTTAACATGCATACATATAGAATGTGTATCCTGTCAATCTATTTTTAAAATTAAGAATCAATTATCGAAAAATGTATTCATGCAAAGTCGTTAAAGGTTATCTTCCCAATATTAAGCCATATTTGGCATTGTTTAAAATTGCTAACTACATACATTAGCATGCCTGCTAGACAAAAGCTCAGTAGTTGAACATACCTACAGACATTCTAACATACATATCCACTTTAATAAGACCTATGTTAAGCCCCCACACATGTGACGAAGTATCAATCAAAACAAACGTTCGCACAATGTTTCAAATAGTGTTCGTATTGGCTAAAAGTGCACGCGATAGCAGCAATATGTTAACGATTTTGGTATTTAATGACATTTATCTATATGCACTCATGAATACTTATATATTTATACATTTATCTATTTACGTATGTAAATACACACATACATACGTATCGCATAGCAAGGATGGAATGCCACTGGTCAAGTACAACTCTCACGAACAGGTCACTATTTTAATCGTTTAAGTACTTACTGAACCGTACTTATATACGTTACAGTTATTATGCGGTTATACATATTTCTGCTCTTATTGATAAACTATTACTACATACAAATATATATGTTTGTATGAACACTGCACATGTGCAGCACATAGTTTGGCCCATAAGGATATATGTACATACATATATATCCGTAGTATTTAAGCTTTTTATATTTATTTGTAAATGTACATATGCACGTAAGTATTTAAGTAAACAGATACAGTTAGATATACATGTGCACATTAGTCGATGCTTCACTTATCCTATAACACAAATACGTACTAAGTAAACTTTAGTCAGTTCAACTTGTTTAACTGACGACTAAGAATTTTGTCACTTCTATGAATATTATTGAATAAAAACCGCGGTAACTCCAAAAATACAATGCGCGGTAAAATCTGAACAAAGACTAAAAGGAATCGCGTTGTCTAGTTAAGCTTTACATTAAAAGTAATTTTTAAGCTAGTGGCAGTAGCTTTTAAAGCTTTAATTCGTCAAAAGCGAACTGTGAGCAGCTGCAACACACGAGCAACTGAAATCTTTAATATTTGTGTGTACCCTCAAAGATTCATCACCTTTGTACAATAATACAAATGTAAACACATGTATATACATAGGTATTCACGCATATAAACATACAGACAAACACATACACATATATATATTTGTGTATATATAAATATATGTATTTATTAATGTTTATAATCAGTGTATATATTGTTTGGCAGATATGTACTTAGTAAACCTGAGTCTGTGAATAAAAACAAACAAAATAAATTTACATATTTATGTACACATACACAACTTGAACTTTGGGTAAACACGCATATGTATATACATATATACATGCATATATATGTACATACACACGAACGTATATGTTCGTCTAAGGTGAAATCGAATGTAACATTTATCGACTCATTTTCGTATTTTAGCCAAAAAAGTTATGTTTAATCGATGCAAAAATACGTTTTCCCAAGATATTTTTGTATCATGCTTAACGAATTTCTCCTCCTTAACACTCCATCGATATGGCCGGCCACACTCTAATGCAAGCAAATCAAGAGCGGATATTGGTTATCGATGAATATTGACTTATTCGATAATAAATACACACTTGAATTAAAACTGTAGAAGTTCAAGTGAATTCAATTCCTTATTAACACTCTTGTCACGAAAGTAAGATCTCTTAGCTTTTAGCTAAACTTAAAACGTTTACTGAATATTTCAAAACATAAAAAATTAAATGTTAATTAAATCATTAAAAATTAATTACAATCAGAACGAATTAGCAGTAAAAATATGGAATTACCATTGTGACTTACTGATCGGACGAACATCACTGATTATTTGCTTAAATAAATTTGTACAAAATAAAATAAATTTAATCAGAGAGGTGTCTATCTCTTTTCGTCTCATTTGAATTAGGTTATATCCTATTGTAAATATCAAATTCCTGTGAGCAACATTTCCATTTACTGTTTGGTGGCCCCAGCAATCAGTAAGTAAAAGTAAGTAGAAGGTTAGCATTACGTACTATTCTATGTGTCTTAGCCATTTTATTACGGAATTGTGTGGCGTATCCTGACATGACAGTTATCCCGCACTGCTCGTACACTTTGCTTTACCGTGAATTCATAAATATAGCATAATAAATTTAACAGGCAAAAAGAGATCGAACATCTAAAACTTAATAAGAAATAACCCGACTTCTTACCAGAAAAAGGTTTGTAAAAGAATACGTTACCCTTATTTCATCATGTAATCAGTTTGGAAGACCTTTTTGGCCATGTGTCTGACAATTACCATATTGGTATAATCAAATTCGGAAATTAAAAATTAAAGATGAATAGTAATTCGCAGAGCTTTTACCTATGCTTTCGATTCTAGTTTTAGTATATATTTTGTTACAGTAAGATGTCATTGGACCGAGACGGTTACAAGCCATTAGACATTCGCAAAGAAATGAGAGGTAACTCTAACCAAGAGTCCGATAATTGCCGTCGATTAGAAATACCTGGGTCGGCTCCAGTGCTCATTGTTTACTTTTGTATTTCGTCTTATCAATAGAATCTATCGATCTTTGGTTTCACGGCACATCCTTGTCTATCCACAGCGAAAAAGCTGTTGCCTCTTCATGTTATTATAGAAATCGTCTAAGTAGGCTAGTGGTAATGCAAAATACGTCATAAAATGTCGTGGATCTCTCATCGATTGCACTGGCCGTATATTTGAGAACAAAGTGGACAACAGTAAAATATAGTCACCATACGCATCGTCAACCAAACAAAAAGGTACAGAGATCCAATTGTCACAGGCTTAACGGACTTGGTGACCAGTGCTTCCACGGAACTGTCTGCCGTAAGATATTGGCTATGGCACTGAAGCTCAACAACTCAATTTCAAAATCTACATCGCCAACATCATCTATTAATACCGCTACCCCAAATTTCTCTAAGCGACGAGAATCATGTGAGATGTGAAGAATAATAAATCCTCAATTCATGATGGAGCTAGAACAAAACTTTTAGATGATCGACTACATCTGGAAGTCCCGTAGAAGACAGCACCCATTCAAAACCTACTAAAAAGAACATGAGGACGAAGCTAAAACAACAATCACAATTAAGGCCTTCATTGCTTTCGAGATTCGCGTTTATTTTTTGGGCTTTCAAAATAAACCTAATATCAACTGTGTGCCACACACCGTTCTATTAAACAAGGAAAACATTGCAGTAAAGTCAAGCTGATTCTACTTTAGTTTGTTCATATTTAAATAACTGCTTTAAGTACAATCTGGGTGCTGGGGATCTTAAGGGTCAGGTATATTCTAGTTTATTATTAATTATTTTAGCCTTTAGCTTATTATTTATGGTACACGAAGTCGAATTTTGAATAAACCGTTCACTGCACAAAGCGAAAAAGCTCAGTAAAATGATGTTTGAAGATACAATTTGAATTTATATGTCTATTAATTCAGTTATTCATTTTAATGTATCAAATTTTTAATATAAATATACAAATATAGAGCAAATCCTGTTTCTACGAACACTCCTCTTGGCTTTTTCGGACACAACGTGCCACTTTGCGCTTGAAATCGGTGTAGGATTCTCTCCATTCCTTGGCAGCATCAACATTTGCTGGGGATTCGTCGTTGGGATCCGCTAACATTGATATCACGGATATCAAAATAGTTTCCACTGTGTGCACCGGCAACCAACGCTCTGATGCTTTTTCGTAGCCCCATTTATCATCTCCAGGTTCGTGCAAAATTGAAATACAGACATCGCCATTTTTTTCAATATTTGGATGCCAAATTTCTGTAACAAACTTCATTCGAGGTGGGCGCAGAGGGTACTCCTTAGGAAAGTATAAATGCGCTTTGAAGAAACCTCCTTCGCTGTTAATAAAAAAAGAAGAAAAACAAAAACGTTATTGAGAAGAAGAGATATATATAATATATATAAATATACATATATATATATATTATATATAAACTTATAGTGAAATGATGGGTCAGGATATTTGTTTGGGGTGATACAATTTATTTCAAGTCTTTGAACGCATCCACGCCGCTTAGCATTTGCCACAAAAAATAAAGAATGTTATTTAATAACCAGACAAATTGAGGCATCATTGAGCACATACATATCTTTCGAGTATCATTTCTAAAGTCTAACCGTTTAAGTTTACGAAGTGGAAGCAGAACTCAATTATCTAAGCTTTTAACCAGAGCAACATGATATATTTTCTAACTACAATTTAATTTGGTTGGTTTCCCTGTTTATTGCTAATATGTTAGAAAGTTTATTTTATATTATCTAGCTTACTTCCATCCGTTTACACTTTCATTTATTCTATGTATTTTTCTATTGTGTTTTCAGTACTTTTCATGGCATGATAAAGGTATATAGTATATGGTTTTTTTACGCCCAATTTTTTATTTAAAATGTTCCCGATCTTAGCAGAACAGAAGTGGCGTAATTATGCTTTCTTTTAGAGATGCCACATCCCGAAATGGATGAGTTAAAACGTGAAAGTTTCATGCATACGGACGGGACATGATGGACTCGATTGTTGATCCTAATAAAGAATATATATTTACTTTATTATTAATTTTCAAAGCACAATATTCCATTATACCATATCATACCATTCCTCCACAGCATTTTCAATGAGCTTAGGGTCTAGAAAATGTTTTGATGCATGCATAATATGCATACGAGGGTAGCATGAAAAGTTGTCGACATAATAAAATATGTATGTATTTTCAAATAAATTAAATATATTATCATTGGTCATCGGTCATCGGTTTAACGGCTTATATAAACAAAAGCTATTTTTCCTCATGTACGTTTCTGCAGTATAATATTATTCACTTACTGTTAGCTCGCACATGTCGATATATCCTAATTAATATTTTATGATTACTTATATAATTTAATATGATATTTATTAGTCAGTGTAAGTGTATCGATGCGATAGCTTCTATATTGAAACTGAGCCCAAGATGTCAAAGAATTACATTGACATACACTTGTTTCTACTTTTTAAACAAATATCTGGTGGTGGCCCTGCGCCTTGAATTTGAGCGCTTATTAATATAAATAATTCTCAATTTCTACCCACTGGGCTACAACCACAGAAAATCAATATTATTTCAAACCAATTAAATTAAAAATATATTGTGGCTCTGTATGCCAACGACTAACATTTTTTACAATGTAAAAACATACAAATTATATAAATAATTTATTCTAAATAAATGACAGAAGATGCCAAGAAAATATTTAGACTTCCTCCACGGCAATGCATCACAGTAATGGATGGTGTGGCGGTTTAACGCTTTATGTACAGGGTTTACAGGGTTTGCATTGTAGCACAGATTCATATATTCCTTGAACCCATTTAGAGTACGCACCATTGCAAATGGGACCAGACTGCAGACCTTTCCTGGCGCCACTAAAGAGGAAGTTCGTCCGCAGTCAACTAATCCAAGCAAAATTGAAAATGAAATAAATAAATTAATGAAAGTCCCCAAAAGATACAAATAATACAGATCGAACTCTTTCGATTACGACGGGTTTCAATTATGAATTCTATCCTTAATCTGAAGCAAACTATTTACAGTCTGCGGTTGGCTAAATTTTCACTTTCTATGGTCAAACTAAAGCACTGGAGCACAATATAAATAGTAATGCGTACAGCGATCTTTGCTTTAAGGGATCGTATGTAATAATTAAATTATAAGTTATGTAAATATTTTTACTGTAATAAACCTACTAAAGTGTGTCTGGTGGTCCAATTATTAGGACTTCCCAACGGAATATATCATTCTCATCAATTAATCCAGCTGAGAAACCTTCTACTGGGTTCTTATTTAGTTCTGAAATAAAGGAATAATAAGAGTTTTGTAATGTTAAAATATATTAAGTTAAAATCATTAAGCTTATATAACGATTTATCTTACAGATTGATCTTAAATTCTTTGAAACTAATTTAAAAAGGTATTTATAAATCACTTAATAATAGAGATTGCAATACTATTATTTTTCTGTAAGACTTCTAGAAAAAAAAATATATATATACACATATATTCTACATTGTTATAGCTAATATGTCACATAAGAAGAATGTTTATTTCGGAATTTCTATTCTTAATGTCTTTAATTATTGATGTTAAGAAAAAGTTTAAATATATGCTCTAAAGGCAATTCCTTTGATTTACGTCCACAAAATACGAAAATATTGCACAAATTTACACCTTTAATTATATCTGAAATATTTTTGATTGCATGTATTATATATATATTTATTAGCAAGATAGTTTACGGGAACTTTCAGCACAGCAAACGATTCTGAAGCATCGAATAGTCAGTGTCAGATATATACACAATACTGCGGTATTATTTACAACGTTGTCATTAAACAAAGCTCAATTACGGTAAGTCATTGTCTTTTTGTATCGGATTGTTGTGATCTTACATTAGCTTCAAAATGTCTACAAATTAGTTCTGCATTGAAATATCTTGTGCTAATTTCATTGAGTTCTTATCTTGGTTGGCGGATGCCGTATTCCCAGCTGCAGGCCTCTCAGTTTCGTAATACATTTTTAAATATCATACTTATAATACTGATAATGAGCAATATATTGAATCAATATTAGTCTATTTGATCTATGAGATCTTATGGGAGAGCTGAAGTATTATCTTGAGCTATTATACTTTATACATTTACAGAAGAATTCTACACATAAATTATCCATAATATGTAATAACGGTCCGATTTCAGTTAATAGATTTCAAAATCCATTTCGGAAAAAAATTTAGTGGCCTGTTGCATAAGGAACGTTTTTTAGCTTATGTGAATATTATTATAATTATAGTCAAGTGAGTCGAAAATCAAGAATATTGGCCCCAAACCACGTTTGTTTTAGCGAAGAATCTAAAAATACTGAAACAAATATGTCTCTATCAGCAAACAGTAGATCGATCTGTCCAGCAAGAATAACGCCAGCCTTTAAATCGTGAAATTAGTTTGAGCAGAAAATCAGATGGATATGAAAATATCGATTATAAACTTGAGACCGATAAGCAGTCAAAAAAGTGTATAGGTATCCAACTATTCAAGAAAATTTAAACATACCATCAAAGTGGGTGGTAAATGAAAACGCCTTTTGCATATAGACAATATTAACTGCTTAACCCAAATGTGAATGAAAGCAAATGCTGATTGAGTTTTCTTTGCTTTTTAGAATCAAGCAGATTTTTAATTTATATATTATATGAGTACATATTCTTATCCAAATATACATTATATATATGGTTGTTCTTTGTTGGGTTGAAGAATGCGTGTTATATGACATTGTCCATCACAGAATCTTATATTTGCATACATGTATAAAAGTGCGATACATAACTTTTAATTACAACTATCGACGATATTTACATCATTCATCAATTGTCTATTAAATGTGCCAAGTTGCTTATGCATACGTACATGCGTACATAAGTGTTCGTACATGTGTTTAAGCATTAGCTGTGGCACATACATAGGCATTGTGGTGATTCAGGAATATTGTCTTCACCACCAATAATAACAAAGAGACTGCATAAGAAAGGGTGATAACCGAGAAGATTTGGTTAAGACGTTATACATAAAAATATATTTTTTTGTTGAAATATAAATATATATAGAAATTAATGTTAATTATATATATGTATATGCACTTATATACTATATATATATTAAGCGCTAGCTACGCACGCATATATAAATATGCATATATATAAATATTTATACACTTGAGTACATACATATTTGTTATTAAATATACGTTTATGCACTTTTCTTCCATTAATTAGTTGACAACGAAATGTGTTACAATTAAATTAATTCCTTATATATATAAATATGTATCAATATATATATGTACATGCTGGCATGCGTGTGTATATGTACCTATGTACAAATACCTGTAAACGGCGCAACTAATCCTGCTGCTCTTCGCTATGTATATATGTACATACATAGCTTTATACATACATCCATAGTTAGACATGTGTAACATACCTGCCAATTGTTTCTTCAACAGCAATGATGATTGAAGTTCAGACATTTTTTCTTTGCTTCTGAAATATTTTATTAAGATAATGCACTCTTAGGTTACACAATTTAAAAAATTTACTTAATAAACGCGGCTTGCTTAAAAGAAAAAATTTATTTCTGCTGATACGAATGCCGACAATATACTTTTTTCATTCTTTACAGACGAAACAAAGTAATTAACTGTAACAAAATGAGATGGGTAAAGAATCATAAGAACTGAACTAGTTCACGAAATGTCTGGCATTGAAACACGTTTTTCATGACACGTTTCTACAGTAGTTCTGCCGGCTGCAACTTGCAAGAAATAATCTCACTGTACATCGATATATATTGTTATCGGAAAGACTTGAGCACTACAAGTTATATATGATGATACCGTGTCTGCTCATTTTTAAAAATGGTCAATTTATGGCAAAATATGATTATAAAATTTGAATTGGTATATTTGTTTTGTTACATTACTCAAAAGCAGATATGAGCCTTCCTAACTGGCCCTTTTTTATTTTACGTGTTTCCACTGCTCATTATGAGTGGAGCAACAATAATGAACCATTAAACAGTAACCAAAACGATAATTTATACATCGTAATGGTCACATGAAACGATAATTTCTAAAATTATCAGGAACTTCTTAACTTAATAGAAGATCTTAGCCCGGATAAAATAGTTATTGATTTTGAGATCCTCTCACAACATAATATTTACTGGCAACATTTTTACAATCCTATGTTAAAATTTCAGGAAAACTTAAAAAAATATATGTCACTGATATAATATTTCTGTATTTTTTAGTCTTGTTAATTAATTATAACCTAGCGCAGTAACAATGTTAATTTTCTGCAAATAATAGGAAGCATTAATCAACCAAAAGATTACAAGAACCCAAGACCATTGACTCCAGTTATTCATGATCTCTCTACATGCATCCAGGGATGTCTCTGGACACTATTTTCTTTACATCGTGTGGTATCAGCAGCATTCCTGCAGATCATACAGATGCCGTTCCTTTATTCTCTGGTTTTTCTTCTTTGGGACTTACTGTCTCCAGCAACAAGGAAATATGCTATACACTCAACGGCTTAACAAAAGACTGATACCAATGCTACTGATAATAATGGTGAGATGAACTGCTGTTCTATGTATGTTATTCTATCTAGGCAATATGGTTAGGACTCCGATTCCATACACTATTTGTTGAATTGAATTAGTTGAAAGTCGTGTTTTTTAATATTAATAAGTTTTGCGGCGTTGAGTTCTTGGTCAAAAGAATAATTTCTAATTTTGCAAAATTATATTGTATTGCCGGCTGCATGCGAATAGTCTTCATGAAACACAATTTCGCTTCCACTACAGAAGCTTCAATTGTTTGGGGCTTTAATGCCTTTATCACCATCATTAGAAATGTAAAATATAAGTTTACGTTTAAATATCCAAAAATTACTCATATATCATAGAATAAATGAGAACATCATTCATCGGCAGCTACACGGACTAGGCATAAAATTTGTATCGGTCGATAAATTGTAATGGTTTGCTCAGTTGTAATTAAAAAGAATGCTCTAGTCGATAGATATCCTGAAGGGTGCTAGTCTAATCATGTCACGCTCCTTTTATGCAATCAATACATAAAATTTCATACGCAAGCATTAACGCGCGTTTTGTGTATAGGTTTTACAACAGGAACTTAGTTGTTGGATAAGTTTTCTTTTAGATGATCTACCATAATTAAATTATCGCATCATGATAATGAAATTCATATGTATGCATTTATTTTAGCAAAAGTCTCAAGTCTCTGTTGGAAATACATGTTTTGCAAATTTTAAGGGAAAAGGGGGAGAAATAAAAAATATGTTAAATATGTGAAGTGTATTGATTAGAGGAGCTCCCACAATAAATTTTATATTGTCATATTTAAGCTACGCTTAAAGAACTACATCAAACTATCGATTCTAATCAATAAGGAAATGCGATGAGTTATCGCACAAAAATGATACTGGTTATAGTATAGAGTAATATATTTTTAAAATTTCAAGTCTATAGCTTTTATGGTATACGACGCAGCTGGGTCTAGGCATACAGACGGATATAGATAGGTCGACTTATCACGTCGTTGCATACATTTTCACAAAACCATTATACTAAATTCCCACTTCTAATGGGTTCAATTTCACAATTATTTAATTTGATTTCACTGTTCTGCTATATAAAAATTACCATATTTTTTTTAGATTTATAGAAAGAAACAAATACTTTTAATTTTAGTATTATAGTAAATATAACACATATTTGCTTAGATACCTAATACATTTGCTTACGATATTAATTATATAAATTTATAGTTGAGGTTGGATAACATTTTCACAAATATATACTTTTTAAAAAAGGGTCATTCGTGCTATTTACATATTTGTATACATACAATAAAGTTATGTTTTTGTAATATAAGTTTGGACATGTGATTATTAAATTTTAAGTGAAAAAACCATGCTTAAAAACTGTTCGTAGTGGATTGTTATCACACCATCCATGTCTGTATCATGTTGCTTGAATGCTGTAGTCAAAGTCTGTAATAAAATCCAAAATTTATGTTTATAAATTAGTTTGTTTAATTAATTAATGAATAGCGTTTCAAGTGATTTTTTACTTAAGTATTATACTTCAACCCAATTTTATTAAGTTAGTAAAAATGAGAACTTTAAGATATTTTGAAATCTTAATAAAAAGTTTCTGAAATTTTAGTTAGTTTCAGTTATAATGATTAATCCTCTTTTTTTTAATATTATAACCATGCGTGCATACAGATATAATATAATATGTTTATTTCAAGTACGATTATAAATATTTATATTTGAAAATATTTTTGTATTGTGATGGCTGAATTACAGGTTCTAAGTTCAAATAGATTAATTTTTGCTAAAAATTCGTCTTTGTATAGCTATAGATTTATATACATTTGTTTATATGTATATAAAAATACAATCCAGGGCTAAATATATACGCATCAATATAGATATGCTTTTATTGTTATAAGGGCATGAACTAAATACTCACATAGAGGACAATACAGCATTGGATGAAATCATCGAAAAGAATAGTTCCTCGGCCAAACCGATCAAATTTACGGAGCAATATTTCAATGAGATTGTCAGATAAGCGATATCCGAATGAAGTTAGAGCGGTTTTAAGTTCCTGCTTGTCAATATTCCCGGAATTGTCACGGTCGAATGAACGAAAACAATTTTGCCAATCAGTTACATATTTCCACAATGCTCCGAAATCCTCGAAAGATACAGTTCCTCTGTTTTGGCGATCAAACATTCCAATCATAAGCCGAACTGTTTCCGGGTTAAAAGCTGACCACGTGCCATTGGAAAGAGCCACCTGTAATTCATCTGCAGATATATGTCCACTCCTGTCCTTATCGACCCTGAAAACGCATACAAAATTATATTGAAACCATATGTATATATAACGTATACTTGTGTAACAGTACTTTCTCGGATGTACATATGTATTTATATATGTAGCATGTAGGTCTGTATATATTTAGACATGTACGTAGCTATTTGTTGATATCAATTCACATACCTTTGAAATACATCCCAAAGAAACGTTTGATCAGGCATTCCACATTGTTGGTATGACATATTGTATAAAGTAAATTTACAAAATTAAAATCCCTGAATTATATTAATTTGGCAAAAAGTTCGTTTGCTAAGAAGCTACAACGGTTAATAGTGATTGGAATAGTAAAGTATGAGTCACAATTCACACAAGTGATGGTTAACATGTCGATATCTCAAAAACGAATATACTCCTACGTTGCTTTATTCAATATATATCGATGTTATCAATATTTTTCATCAAAACACCTTTATGTTTAAAACTTGATAAGTTCTGCTCAAGTTTATCATTATTACCATTACTTCGTCACTATTATTACTTCACTTATTTTTTTAGAATATGAGTAAATATATTTACGAAATAAGTTAAAATCTGCGGCTTAAGCTTGTAAGAAGGCTTTATTTTGTTCTTAACTATATTAACTACTGATATTCCTTAAGAAAATTATACCAGGCAAAAGTCCATTTTTCAAAATTCGAGGACACCTGAACGGTGCCAACCGTGATTAAAATTGCGGGCAACTAGAACTTCAAAAAATTAATAGCTTAGTTCAAATGAACTGGTTCACTGCTAGCCCAGCACAGTGCTCACTTTTACTCAAAGAAACGTACTACGTATTGATTTTGTAATGCTAAATGAATTAATGTTTTTATATATAGCATGCGATCAATTATATTTGTTATCTGATAAACCCATTTAGCTTAGAAAAATAATAAAATACTCATTTTAGTGGACAGTGACCAGTTTTATGAATTCCATTTCCATCCAAAAACATATATGCAAACATACATGCATACATATGTATGTAGCAATATAGGATATCAAAATGGTAAACATAAATCTAATATACTAATAAGTTTGATCGACAAATGAATATTTCAGCGGCACTTTCACATGTGCTTTCTATGTTTTATGGCCCTCACGACGATTTTTTACATTTTTCACGAACGCCCAAATTGGGACCATACAGCATCATTTCATCCAGACACTGGAACCAATGCAGTGTACGTATGTATAGTCATATTACATTTATACAGTAAATTCTCCATAAAGCGGATATATACGATTTTAGTAAAACTATATGCCAAACGTAGAGGTCCGATGTGTGTATTTCGTGTTCTTCTTGTTAAAATAAAGTTAAGATGAAATCTAATCTAATTTCTATTAAACTTTTAATAGGCGCCATAAGAAAAACACCTTTCATATAGTTGCAGTCGCCTGTGGACAACGAGCACAAGAGACTCTAGTTATGATAAAGTCAGCTATACTTTTTAATTATTATCAGGAATACTTAAAGTTCATAATATTTACGGAAGCTCCATTAACTGAGATAATAAAGGAGAAACTGACTGACTGGCGCGATACACTTTCTCAACAATTTGAATATGAACTGTTGCCATTGAAATTTCCTAATCAAAGTGAGAGAGAATGGAAAACTCTTTTTAAGCCTTGCGCCGCCCAACGCCTGTTCTTGCCGGTAAGCTAAAATAATTAAAGATCATTCATTTACTTATTATTAACAATTAAACTTATATTTTTTAGTCTTTATTAAAGGATGTCGATTCGTTGTTATACGTTGATACAGATATATTATTTTTATCTCCAATTACCGATATTTGGAAATATTTTGGAAAATTTAATGAGACTCAAATCGCCGCTCTAGCGCCCGAGCATGAAAATGAAAATATTGGATGGTACAATCGATTTGCACGACATCCATTCTATGGACGACTAGGTGTAAACTCTGGAGTTATGCTTATGAATCTGACACGGATGCGGCAATTCAATTGGGAACAACATGTATTTCCTATTTATAAAGAATTCAAGTTACGAATTACTTGGGGTGATCAAGATATCATAAATATACTTTTTTATTATCACCCTGACAAACTATTTATAATTCCATGTGAATATAACTATCGTCCCGATCACTGTATGTATATGAGTATTTGCAATTCCTCTCATTCAGGCATAAAGTTAATTCATGGTAATCGGGGATATTTCCATTCTGATAAGCAACCCTTATTTAAAACAGTCTATGCTGCTATTGAAAGCTATCAGTTTAGCTCTAATGTATACAGCGATTTTCTGTTACCGCTTCGCACAGCATTAAATGCACAACCTGTTAACGAATCTAGTTGTGGAAAAATCTCAGGTGATATTCTCTTAGTGGCAAATAGTCTTTTTGGTAGTACATATTAAATATGGAATTTGTGCAAATTCGCCTCATCAATTAAAAACCATAAGCTACAACTTCTATGACAACAATCTCATAAAAACTTGTATATTATTATCCACTAATCACAGATAGGCGATACCTTTTAATAGTGTTAGACAGATTTTAGAATATTAAGGGGATTTTTATAATTATTTTTATATTTTTGTTTGAAAGTAAAATTGAATTTGTTTGGCTAAGTTCCAGTTGGGAAGATAATTAACACAATTCAGTCAGTTATATTAATGTGAACAGAATACCTTAAAATCTCTAAATATGGCACCTATCTAGAAAAAAGTAGTTAAAGCTAGAGTAATATTAAATAAGTCACAAACGGTAAAATGACTCAATGATTATTTTGTAAATACATCAATTTTATAAATAATTCCACAAAATTTTTACAATTTAATTTTAGAAAAAATAATTAATTATGAAGTATTCCTTATTTTTGAGGGCCATTTTGATAAATATTGTGCTTATGTGTAAAATAACTTCAGTAACTATCTAATGATGTTAAGACCTAAGTACTTTAATATTGAATATATATTCAATTGCACCAGTATGAGCTGTAAAAATAGTACACTGATTTTAATCAAGACTGTTAAAAATACAAGACATAAATGATTGAAGTTAATTTTTTTAAATTAGAGCAGAATTAGAAATATGAGGTTTGATGAATCCATTTTAAAGTCAACAAAAACGTAATATTTTTGTTAATGTAGTTTTCATATTCGAGAATCTCTACCACCATATGTAAGCCTTTAATCTTTGACTCACCATGGCTTAATAATTAGCATAAAGAATAAACTGTAAAGCAACCAGAAAGTAGAATCGGCTGTGTAATTTACCGGATTTATATATAAAATGAATAAAATAATAAACTTGTACGAAACAATGTTTTTATGTAATAAATTCAAATTATTTTAAACACCTCTTCTTATTTAAAGGGGAAAGGAAAGCGGGACCTTTTGTCTACGTATTGAATTTTGTGTGTAATATTGATAAATAGTGTGCGAGTGTTAATGTGGACAAGTAAAGCGAGTTCGAGAAAGCAAAAGTAAAATAATAAACCAAAGCTGTTCGTATGTATTATAATATTTATTAGTTATCTCATCGCTTTAAGAAATAATATTTAGACTTGGTTCATAGCCATTTGGTACGTAATTTTCTAGGTAGCTCTTTGGTGGATACCATGTTTTTTCGCAAAACATGCGTTAAATTATATAACATGATTTTATACGATTTCAGTTAAATATAATTAGTAGAGTCCTGTATATATGCATGGCTTTTCAGTAATATGGATAGGTGGGAAAGCAAAATTTCAAGGTAGCGCACCCAAATTGACACTTATGCAAAAGTAAATATTAACGGTATGCCCTTATTTCCTGGCGGTAATCGTAAAGATATACACACTATATATACGCAGACTCAGAACTAAATTTACCGCCAATAACTAAACTAAACTTGCTTCAGATTAGAATTAACTGTACTGGTGAGCAAGCATTGATGAACAGTGCATACAATTTTCCCAATTAGAGTTAAACAGCGAAAAACTTTTATCAGATGAATATGTTTCTAATATTTAATAATTAAGATAAATGGCATAAAGGCAGGTTATCACGACAAAATTAAAACAAATAGATTCAAAAGACAAACTCCGCTTTCAAGGACCTTTGCAGAGACGCATCTTTCTAAAGTCTCTAAGCTCACTATGCTTTAAGTTAAGATAATTGATATACAGAGTGAAATATTACCACTTTTCACAACAGGACAACAATTCTCACGCTTTCCTTTGTAGGGTCCTTGTGCACCTTTCAGCTGCCTCTTGTTTCCTTCCTATGTTTTCGTCTATCCAGTAGTTTGTCGGGAAATACTTAAATAAAGTGCAGTACAGCTACATTGCTTTTCTTGGGCCTATTTCAGCCGCGAGGCACCTTATCCTGCCGTCAACTGCAAAAGGTCCCATAACTGGACTTGTGTCATTTGGCCTTCAGAGCCAGTGCCAGTCCATAGCCTCTACAGCACTCCCTAGCAGCATGTAAAGTGGATAATAGGCTGCTAATAGCTTACCATATAAATTAAATGCTTAATTCGTATCGATTCACCTTCCTAATCGCCTTAAAACAAATAATGATTTTGACACGGAACATACATTTTATGACAAAATTATATAGTCTGCAAGTACATAATAAACTAAATTCACACAACACTGATATTATATATATATATATATTAATTTATCAATAATACGTACATATGAAAATGGTGCTTGATTAGGTTAAACAAAGATAAATAAAAAGTAGTCTTCTAAGTCGTTGTTGGATAAATTTCTTGTGGGTCATGTTCTGAAGTAATCGGGGCAGTAGTCACATTTGATTGACTACTGCTTGTCCCTGCGTTTTCTAAATTAGTACTGTTTCTGTTACTCCGAATTGAAGTTGTAGACTTATTGGGGCTGGGATTTCTAGCTGAGCCAGGTGTGTTATTAGTTCCTGTAGATGCTGCTTCGTCATCATCGGAACATTCGACACTAGATATTGAAAAGTTTTCCTGTCAAGAGAATATATACAAGACGTTCAGTTAAAATTTTCGGAATTGAACAAGTGAGTTGTTCTTACCGCTTCCCTTTGTGATTTACAGCCTAGTAATTTGAGTTTGCGTTCTTCTCGCATACGTGTGAGTCTCATTAATAGGGTATAATGCTGTTCAACTCGATATAAACAAGTTTTACATATGGTTTTTGGTAATGGATCAGTTGGAGATATCTAAACAAAAATATTGAATGAATTGGGCAACATCAATGTAAATATTTATGTATATGCACTTACAGTAATTGGCAAGTAGCCATTGATTTTTTCGACAAGACATAAACGCTGGCCGTGGTCTCCATATATGTGAATAACTGTTCTATGCATTTCTGAGCAAAGGCGGCAAAGAAATCCGGAAATACAAGCCTTTTCAATACTTCCCATGACCTTAATTGTACCAATATCTTTGTTGATGTGGGAATCAAGATTTATAAATTAAGTATTGAATATGTTTGTCGGTTCATGTAAACATTACATTAATTTCAATATACTAACTGTTACTACTTAAAACATATAAAACTGCCTAAAAAGTCAAAATATTGCATTTGCTATTGTTCTCACACACAGATGTTTTTACTCACAATAACAAGGTTGTATATTCGATAGATCAACTTCAAACATCGATAGTACTTTCAGTAGTAAACTAGTATTCGTCTAATGAGAAACATTCGGACTAGAAATATTCCGTGTATTAAGGGTATGCCTTGCTGTAGATATAAATAAAAAGATTAGCTCATTTAAAGTTATATGGCACTCAATTCAAATTAAAAAGTCTATTGAAGTCTAACATCAAAGTGCATATCAACTATATACCATTTTAAAAAATACAGTTCTTCATCAAGGAATTTAGTTTTAAGCATTTTATTATTATAACGTAGTCAAGTTCATGACTGAACTAACTAAAAAACCAACTTGAATATGGGAATGCGCCTTAATTGCGAAGCTGATACTACTCTTAAATACAACCGATTCAGTCATTGCATCTGGGGCCGACCAGGTTGGAAATGTACATATGAATGTCCGAACTGGATGTATTCATAGAAAAATAGTGTGAAAAAATATTTTAATAGAATATGGATGCAAAAAAGTTAAGGAGAGAAAATATTCAAAATTAATTTGCATTCAGTTTCCCATTAAAGGCCATGGAATAATGTTAATGTCTACAAATTTCTGCACGGTATTGTGATCTACGAATATCTTACTTGGTCATCCAGATCACAGAATGAAGTTGGATCAGCGTTGGTCTCTTGACCTAGACAACTTTGTTCTCTAGTGCATGGGCCAAATGATGCTTAGTTATTAGTTATTTGTTTTCGGTTTCCTTGCTTCGAGTGAAGTAGTTTTGTGTTGGCGAATTCTAAAAATCTTCAATTCGCCAAGATTTTTTTTAGAAAATTTGAATGCGACTGCCGCTAATATGCTTTTGACCGATTTCAGGTAGCTAAAGAAGCTAACAATGCCAAGAAATATTAGTTGCTGCTCAGGAAACGGTTTTTCTAAGCGCTTCAAAAATATCGATTTTTGCGATTTGTAAGTTATAACATTTTGTACCAATTTAAATTAATAGTTTTTTAGAGAAATTACTCGTAGGTAAAGCTGGGAATATTGATCAAGCGAATTTCCCTTAGACTTAATATAATACATACAACTTATATATATATAACATATATTTTTGGTTACTATTATTATTCATATATTTGTTTTATTTAATCATTGTTATTTATTTTGGAAACATTTTTAATACAAAACGAGACACATTGGGCAATTTCGTTATAAAGTTATACATCGTGCGACATATTTAAAATTACTAATTCAATATATAAACGTAATTTCGTAAGAAAAACATCCTATTTGTTACCCGGTATTACTTTGTTTTCTTCTTTTGTACTGCGACCTTCCGTGAACTCACTTTGAGCAAGAGTCGCATTTCGACTGAATTTTAAAATTCTTGTTCTGCTAAAAGGTTGAACATTATACCAAAGGTACGCTTTAAAAGGGATATAACCTGGATCGGATACACTAATTTGTGTAGTTGTTGCATTGCCAGCTGATTACAAAAAATATTACCCACAATCAGTATTTTAATGAATAACATTAGAGGCAGCAAAATGAGTTAACTATTTTGATATCCTGACAAAGAACGTTAGACATTTCCAATTCCAATATTACAAAGGGTGTTGCTTAAAAAGACATCCAAATCTATTTCATGAACAATATTGAACAACGCCACACCATTGTGTATTGTTTTCAACACAGATTTTTGTTTAACCCTTTAATTGTAAAAATTAAAATTAATTGGATCCCTAGGTTTGGATCACTTGGAAAATTAAGCAATAGCCCTCGTAATGGCCGAGCGAATTATATAATTTTTACGAGATTCGTAAATCATGTAGTAAAATTTGTTTGTATTATAATTAAATTATACGCTTTATTGACGACGACGTGTATTGCGCTGTTTATCAAAACGCATTTCCATTTCTTCAAGAACTTTTGGCGTATAACGTACAACGAGCTTTACGGAACCAACCGCTTGCTTCAATAATTCAACGGCTCTCTCATGATTTTCGCCTTCAACTGACTGAAACGAAAAATATAAAAATACTTTAGTTTTCTTATTTTGATTAACAAGCGCTTAAATGAACGAAAAAGTTATTTGATGTTTTCGAAATTTACTTAATTTTAATTTACTTAAATTTCATTACTAGAAAGTCCTTTTATAATTTTGTGTCCTTGAGTAATGTTTTTAGCTATTCTTAGTTTTTAAATAACAATGTTTTCGTAGATTTTTAAAAAATTATCTTACCACTCCGTTAACGGAAAGTAGCTGATCACCTCTTTTTAATCCTCCATGTCTATCTGCAACACCACCTGGGATGATGCGAGAGATATAAATGGGAGAATTCTGTTCCTTGCCTCCCATCACATTGAAGCCCAATCCTACAAATAGTCAAAATAAACATTTAAGGTATCATTTTATATTAAGAATATATTTATATTAAAATACAGTGCTTAACTTTTATGAAGTTCTGCCAATTTTAAGTGCCAAAATTTTTTCTCGTAGAATAACAAATAACAAAGCAACTAACGTTATCACTATTCAAGTGAGAGTTATAAGTTTAACATATTTACATAAGCAAATCAATATATACTTTTACATATGTTATACTGAGGAAGTTTCACACCTTAGGAAGTGCCACTAACCATACGTTATATATACGTGGTTATTGGTGATACACAACTTACATACCTTCCTCTGTTTTTGGCAATTCAACAACTCTAGGATGCGCATGGCCTTCACTGGCAGCAAAGGCAGCCACAGTTGCTTTAGCTGTTGCGGATGCCCTAACATCGTGTGAGCCTTGTATATCAACTGTTTCATAAACATGTTCATAGACTTCACGCACAGAGTTCAAGAAATCAGAATTAAGAACTTTTTGCAGTGCAGCCAATTTTGTTGTGGGAAAATCTCCGCTGGCCTGAAGTTTTTCTAATAACTCTATTGACCTCTTAACATCTGAAAATAATTGATTTATAATTAGAATTGATATACATACATCTGGGCAAAGAATAATCTCACCTCTCGCCAAGGTCAGAGGTTCACAAATTTCGGTCATTTTGCTGTTCTTGCACTAATTACGTATATTGGAATAAATACTTTTAAGCCTCAACTAAGTGCCCCCCGTATATGTATTTGATCAATTTCTAAATATTGAAATTTTCTGCTTGCTCTAAAAATTCATCGAGTTATCGATGTTGTTAATATCGAACTGATATTATTAGGGACTGTCCAAGAATAAAATTAAATTTTTAAATTATTGAAATAACAGAAATTTTTTCTGAATATTAATGATATACATGTATGTGTTTAAAAAGTATAAAATGCATTATTTTATACGTAATGAGCCAACTTTTTATTAAACATACGAGTTATTTATCTATTTTAATAGATATGTCTGATACTCAACCTTTAAAACTTTAGTTTTTTTGCTCCATAAATTTTGTATTTTGTCTTTCTGCGTGAATGGACTATATAAGCATATTAAACTTTTTTGAGAACAAAAAGATATTACAGAAGCAGCAAAGTATTAAGATGGCCAATACCACAATTTAAAATAAATAGTCATAGAGGTTGTCTTTTGGTCAATTGCTACAGTAATTATCATAAGTATTGCGTTCGAGCTGGTATTTGCCGGTATTTTTTATATCATTTTGAGCTCATTTTGAAAATAGATTGTAATCTGCAGTTTTATAATTAAATTATGGCTATTAGAAGACAAACCGTATTTTAAAGATTTTCTTATTGGAATTACACAATTTGATTTAGTTACAACCACTAGAATTTTAAAGTGGAATCTATCAATATTTATGTATCTGGGATCCTTCAATGATATGTAGGATATTATCCAATTTATTGACAAAACAGTTGGAGACTAAAACAGTTTGAAATCGTTTCGTCATGTTCGGCACATGTAATTATATCAACTTTTTAATATAAGTGTTTATTAATTTAAAGATTTAATTTAACTTCCCGAGAAACTTTTTAATTGGTAAACTGAAACAAAAAAACGTTAAATATATACAAACTTTAAATGTATTGCATTAACGGGGTTTTCATTTTAATTTGGTATATAGAACGTTTCAAACTCAGCAATTTATAATAATAGTGTTTATATTCCGAAGTTCCAAAAAAAACTATATAGAATCCGATATCTTGTTCGATATGACATAAATAAATGAAATATATCGATAGTGCAGTCGGCGTTTATTAGAGGGTTTAGCGGTTAAATTTGCTTCTGGTGAAATACATTACATTACATTTAAAGTATAAAAAGAAATAAGTTGAAAGATGGATATCGAATTGCCCTATATGGTAGAATATGCCAAAAGTGGTCGAGCGTCTTGTAAAGGATGCAAAACTCCTATTGCAAAGGATACCATACGGATTGCTGTGATGGTTCAAGTAAGCTGATGCATGTAAAGTTATTTGGTAATAAAATTTGGAATAACGTCTAAGACAATATATTAATATATATCAAAAGCATTCTATCCAACCTGCCTACAGCTGTAGCAATATTTGATCTACTATGCAACGAATCAGTACCGATTTACGTACATGTTTGTGCGTATGTATGATGGTGAAATGATATGCCGGCAGAAGTTTAGTTCAGTATATTTACACGGGAAAGTAATATTGATAAAGTTCCTCTAATTTAGTGTTGATCAATCTGTGATTATTTATTTATTTTAACAATAACTATATTTTTTGGCAAACAAATGTATGGGCCTTCCGTTAATAGACAATATCTCAGTCTAATACAGCCGTCGTCATACAATTGGCCAGGATTAAGTGTAAACCCATTAGCTTCCTGATTTTCTCAATGGAATAACATGTATAAATTGTAGTGTAATTTGTAGTTGAATGTAATGCTTCAACTGGGGCCCACTGAAATAGATTCCAATTGACAATGATGAAATCAAAGATGATTTCTTGATGTCAACTTCTTGAAGTTGGTTTAATATTATGTTTGTAAAAAAGAGGTATTTCTAGATTCTTAAAGAATGTGCGCTTATTATTTAAAGCGAAATCCATAACACATTAAAATTGTTCGATAAACAAGCTTTGCAATTAGTAGCTCTTTACAATAACAAGACATTCGAATTATTTTAATTATTCTAAGTAGTGAATTAGTTACAATTTATAATTGATAATTAAAAGTTAATCAAGATAATGAGTTTGTTTGGTTTGTTTGCAAATGGTTACTTAAGTAAAAATACTTTGATTTGTTTAAGTAGTTAAAGATATTCTATTGTGTTGAAGGTCAATAGAAAGTTTTTGCTGTGTGTTTTTTTATAGATCACTTTACTAAACTTCGTTTTTATTAATATATTTTTAGAGTCCTTTTCATGACGGAAAAACGCCGAATTGGTTTCACAAGGATTGTTTTTTTAAGAAACAAAAACCTGCCTCTGCAGGGGATATTAAGAACTTTGAGAATTTGAGATTCGCAGACCAAACTGAAATTTCAGAACAGATTGGTATGTTTATTGCGGCTTTAAAAAAAAAATCCGAGTTATAGGTAATTCCCGTTTCCAGCTAATGTAACAGTAACCGTATCTGGCAAATCAGGCAAACGTTCAAAGTCCGAACAGGACGCACTTAAAGATTTTGGTATTGAATACTCGAAATCAGGTCGAGCCGGATGTCGTGGTTGCGATCTAAAAATAAGCAAGGATGAAATTAGAGTGTTTAAGACCGTTTATGACACTGAAGTTGGAATGAAATACGGTGGGCAAAAAATATGGCATCACTTGGAATGCTTTGCTCAAATAAGATCCGAAGTTGGGTGGTTTGATAGTGGGGAAAATCTCCCCGGATATAAGTCGCTGAAAAAGGAGGATAAGGAGCAAGTCTTGAAGTTGCTACCGTGAGTAAAATGTTTTTCGTTTGTTTTTAATATATAAAATATAGCTAAAGTTATTTTAACATCTATGGCTGTAACACTAGTACTTAAAATGAATACTTATAGTCATATATTTAATTCTACAGGCTTATTACATAATTTCAACTATTCTAAGCTTGTAACTTGCATTTGATTAATTACAAAAAGCAAATTAACTTTTAACTTAATCTAAGAATAAATTGAATAATTTACAGGGTGATTAAATCCGAAGACACGCCTGACGCAAAGAAACCAAAGCTGGAACCAAATATTGAAGCCGAAGAAAAGGAAAAGATTAAAAAGCTAAAAAAACAAAACGATGTTCTTTTTAAATATCGTGATCATATAAAAAATGAAATGAAAAAAGCTGATATTGAAATATTACTAAAATATAATAAACAGGAACCTGTAGTTGGCGAATCGGAAAAGCTGTTAGATCAAGCAGCAGACCTGTTGGCATTTGGCGCTATAAAACCCTGCCCTGAGTGCAAGAGTACGCAATTCATTTTCAACAAATCCGGATATCTTTGTAATGGCAATATATCCGAATGGACCAAATGCACGCAGCTGTTAACTGAACCCAAACGTACAGCATGTAAAATCCCAGATGAATTGAAGTCCGAGTTTAATTTTTTGAGCTCCTACAAAAGAAAACCCGAAACCCGTATTATTCAGTATATTGCTCCAAGTGCAGCAACTATTGCTAAAGACATTGCCATAAAGAAAAATCCAGAAGAACTTGATGGGTAAGTAATCAAGCAAATTAGAAAATATTTTCAAATTTTATTATTAACAAGTCAATACGACTAAAACATACAATTTTTAAGAAACTATTATTTTTTTGAGATTTTTATTTATCTCTCCGAGCGTCTCTAAACTTAACAAACACAAAATACATTTCTTAATAAATATTTATTTTGTTTGAAGCATATTTAAAAGATTATTCCAAGTACACAATTGCTGGAACCAAATATGTGTATCAATAATTTTTGATTCATTTGTATTAAAAAAGGTGTTTTGAAAAATATTCGCTTTAATTGCAGTCCTAAAGTTAAACGAGAACGACCACCGTTGTACAACTTCAAATTCTCTGTTGTCGGTTTGAAGGAAGAGGAGGCGGAAATAAAAAAGCGAATTGGAAGGTTGGGCGGAAAATGTGATAGTAAAATCTCAGATGGAACAATTGCCATAATTTCAACAGAAGAAGAAGTGAAAAAGTTAAGTTCTCGAATAAAGAAAGCGAAAGAGCTCGGCATACACGTAGTTCCTATGAAGTACCTTGATATTGTTGAATCTGATAGTAGTGGTGCCCTCAACATGATATGTAGTATGACTCTTTGTGACTGGGGAACTGACCCATCGACCCGCTTGCCTCAGGAAGAAACAAAGAGCTCAAAGTCGAAGAGTATTTACACAAAATCGGTACCAAAGTCGGTTACTCTTAAAGTAAAGAATGGACTTGCTGTTGATCCTGACAGTGGTCTGGAAGATATTGCTCATGTTTACGTCAAAGGCGACGATAAATATAACGTTGTACTTGGCTTAACAGACATACAACGAAACAAGAATTCTTATTACAAACTACAAATGTTGGAGGCCGATAAAAAAAATAAGTAAGTTATTGAATCCTTGAATTTCAAAACTGGTATTTAATATATTTTTCTCAATTCTATAGATATTGGATCTTTCGGTCTTGGGGCCGTATCGGCACAACTATTGGCAACACAAAAGTAGAGGATTTTCAATCAGTAATCGATGCTATTCAATGTTTTCATACTGTATATTCGGATAAGACAGGTAATGAGTTTAGGAACAGGAATAATTTTGTTAAAATACCAGGTCGAATGTATCCGATCGATATTCAATATGATGAGGATAACGAATTAAATGATTCCAAGTGTGAAAATATTGCGTCTAAGCTGGATCCTTCAGTTCAAAAATTAATAAAGCTTATATTCGATGTCGACTCTATGAAGAAAACAATGATGGAATTTCACATAGATATGGAAAAAATGCCTTTGGGCAAACTAAGCCTGAAGCAAATTCAGTCAGCGTATAGTGTTGTAAATGAAATTTATGAATTGATTGAGAAAGGCGGCACCAATGCTAGATTTATTGATGCCACTAATCGGTTCTACACATTAATTCCTCACAGTTTTGGTGTCAATGCGCCACCTTTGATTGAAACTCTAGAACAGGTGGAGAATCTAAGGCAAATGTTGGATTCGTTGTCTGAGATTGAAGTTGCTTACAATTTAATAAAAAGCGAGGATAAATTGGAGGATATTAATCCACTGGATAAGCATTACGAGCAATTGAAAACGACCCTGGAACCGATTGATAAAAAGAGCGAAGAGTTTAAGATGCTAAAGAAGTACGTGCAGAATACGCATGCATCTACACATAGTTCATACGAACTAGAAATAATTGATGTGTTTAAGGTTGCCCGTCAAGGTGAAGCTCGACGGTATAAGCCATTCAAAAAGCTACATAATCGAAAATTGCTTTGGCACGGTTCCCGGCTGACGAACTTTGTTGGTATTTTATCGCATGGCTTGAAAATTGCTCCGCCCGAAGCCCCACCAACTGGCTATATGTTTGGCAAGGGTATTTATTTCGCAGATATGGTGTCCAAGTCGGCAAATTATTGTTGCACCAGTCAACAAAACTCTACTGGTCTTATGATGCTGTCTGAAGTGGCCTTGGGAGACATGATGGAATGCACGGCTGCCAAATATGTAACTCAATTGCCAAAAGGCAAGCATAGCTGTTTTGGCCACGGTCGCACGATGCCCGATCCAAAAGAGTCCCATATTCGAGAGGATGGAGTTGAAATACCTTTGGGAAAGCCTATCACTGATGAGAAGCTAAAGTCTTCGTTGTTGTATAACGAGTTTATTGTGTACGATATTGCACAGGTTAATGTACAATATTTATTCCGCATGGAATTCAAATATAAATATTAATCAAAGGTGTTTGCTTAAATCAGTAACATTTATTTTGCAAACTAATATTTTTTGCTACATAAATTAACTATTATTTAAACTAATACGTGTATTTTGTATACGACGTCCAACCCATATTTATGTTGTATTAAATGTGTTAAAATTTCCATGGCCATGTCTGTTTTTAATAAATAAAATATATTTTTGATCTGGCGACAGCAAAAGTCAATATAAACCTGTTCATTAAAATATATATACAGTACAAATAGATATTTATTTTTATTGATTGATGTTTCGATTTGGGTTTTTAATGGTCTTCTAGTCATGACCCTTAAACATAGTGATATCAAATTTGGAAGGTAATGCATACTCGACTATAAACTCCGGTTTTGAAGTCGGCTCACCCGATAACAATTTGAGGAATACAAAGCAAAATAAATACGATTTTTTTTTATTTGTTTACATAAATAAACATTTCATTTTTAAAAACAAAACAAATTTATAATAAATAAATAAATAAATAATACTCTTGCAGACACAAATCTAAAGCTTTTATTAAGCTGTTATCGATTTTCTTCTTCAAATTCATGAATGGAGCTCATTATAAAATCGTAAACATTATCAATGTGTTTTTGGAGTTTTTCTGAAAAAAAAAAAAATATATTATTAAAGTATATATTGAAATGAATTCTCATCACATACCCTTATCAGTTTCCACGTGCTTGCTGTTGATTCCCTCGTCTTCCATGGACATATTATCGCTGAACATATGCTTCAGCTTAGGTAGAACTAGCAACAAGCAAATGATGCCGATGAATTTAACTATCTTCTTAAATATTAAGAGTTTCAAAACTATTTTGCCAAGAGTTAATAGACTTATTTTAGATTTAAGTTTCGCTAAGATCGAATCGTGTGCTTGATATGGTATTGGATGAGCTGGTTTATAAAATACTGGCGGCGGCGAGTTGTAAAAAGGTACCGGCGGAGGACCGTATACTGGAACCGGCGGTGTTGGCGCTGGAGGCAAGTAGCTATTATCTGGTGGCGGGTTATATTGATAGCCCCCACCAACACCGTCTAATAAAGTAATAATAGAAACAGAAAACTCATAGATTAGCACAGATTTATAAGTATGAATTGTAAAATGTATAATACCAAAGCTTTGTCGCAACAGATTTTAAATATATTTGTGTTCATCATAATGTTTAAAGAGAGAGAAAAGTGATCAGAAGGACACTTAAGATCTTCAAAATATATTATGTATAATTTTGTATATGTCCACCATTAATGTAAATTAAACTTGATTTTTTAGAATGCACATTAAGTATGCAGAAATAACGTAGCTTTTCAAAACTGAGAATTGGAAAGTATTGATGAGTCGAAGCAGGCTTTATGTTTTTTCTGGTTGCTTAAATATTCGTAAAAGAGAATTTAAAATATTTTAATAAAGCATTTCATCATTTTTAAATACACTTTTACTCCTTTCTTTTTTTTTGCAGGTTTCTCACTTTGGTTGATTTGAGTTAGATCGACGTTTTGCGATTTATATGAATGTAGCTTTTTTATTTAAACATTAAGTGACTGTAGTTATGTAAGATTCACACACCGTAGTCTGTGTTGTGGGAGTTTTGCAAGGCATCCGTGTAGGTATCCTGTGCTAAAGATATATCCAATGCACCTGTGCACAACACAAGCCCGAATACTATGACGAAATTGCGTTTCATTTTCTGTTTACTGAGAGCTAAGAAATGCGTGGAGCTGTTACCAAAACTGAAATGAACGGTGCGTACGGCGACTAGTATGTTTTAAACCACGGATGTAAGAGTTTGGGGTCGATATTGCATGCATACAGTTGAGGGATTGGCATGTATAAATGAGTGTTTCGTTTTCGGCTCGCACTCACTTATGTATGCAAGAAAGCGCTGCATACCCGCTACGTGTTTGTCAGATTGCTTGCTACGTGCAGTAGCCGATTCGAACTCTTTTGGAATTGTCGCGAGTAACAAAACTTTCACTATCCAATTTGTAGAACAAATTAGTCTTAATTGAAAAACGTAAATATTTTAACTATGCATCAAATGAAAAGAAAAAGCTCCATTATATTATATTCATTATAATTCGTACTGTTTATACCCTGTACGCATATCCAAGGAGTGGAACAACTGCAGCTGCACTGCAAATGCTTGTAGCTCTCAAAAGAAGGCACAGACATATGTATGCATGGTGACCTTAATATACGACTTTAAAGAAATTCGCAGATCAGGACTCCAGACTCCATTGTACTAGCTCTACTGAGTATAATAATATTGTACGAATTTATTTCACAGGCAATACTGAGACTGAGCATCAACAGTAGACTTGATCTGGCCCTGTCTGCTTATCTTTTTATACCTTTCAACACGGCAATCTAAAGAATTATTGTCATAGAAACTGGATATTTCTTTAACAACTTACCATGTTGCATAAATTCGTTCGATCAATATCCGTTGCGTTTAAGTACATTTTCTTACATGGAAGGAATATGTGGTATTAATTATATATATTAGTTTTCGCCTCTCCATGTAAATTGGAATACCTGTTTACCTTCAAAGAAAGTAATTTAATTATACGGCAATGTGCCTCTGCCGAATGGAAATATATATATACCTTCCACAGCTTTGAAGCTACCCACTACATTTTGGAGGCTGGCCACTTTACGGTGCCAACCGTAACACTTTCGCAATATTTTCAAAGTGAAATAAGCAATGACGTTGGTCAGGGTATCCGTTGCGGAACATATAAAAAGTTGGCTTCAGTTTTGGGTCAGGTGATTTTTTGTAAACTTCATCAAAATGGAATCTGCGTCTACAAACCGGTCGGGTTCAAGCCCGGTATGTTTAACTGAAGAATATTTAACTTGTGTTATAACTGTACACATCTTATATCTTACAAACAAAATGTGTAACAGCATGCAGCCAGACATGAATATGTAATTTTTTATTAGTCGCAGCAGCCGAATTTATATAACTAAGTCTGGTGTTTGGTATATATTTTATCGATTATATAGAAACACTTCTGCATTGATCCAATTTTAATAACTTTTGGTACAGAATAAAGGTAATCATGAATGCAGTTCCGCTTAAATAAATTTTAAATTAGGAAAAAATAGATTTTAATTGTGCCGGTATTACTAAGATTTTACAGTTAGCTTTTAAATAAAACTCGTTGATATAATTTTTTATTTAGGTTACCATTATATTTTTATTCCCTGGTTAATATACATATTTATATATTGTAGTTTATTACATTTCCTACATTTAAATAAATGTAATAATAAAAGCAAACTTGACCTAACTCCTACATCTTAATCTTTGTTCATTTTAACATTTCCTTAGTGTTTGTTATCCAGTCGAACTGTATGAAGGAATGAATGACCTTATGAATTCCTCTTCAGAGACGTTATCTTAAAACAGAACTATTGCAATATTTATAAAGTCAGAACCAAATTGAAGGAATGGATATACATACATATGTGGTTGGTTACAAATGTGGAATAGTCATATTTAAAAATTTCTCAAATATCAAAAAATTCGTATAAGCAAACATACGGCAAAATCGATATAAGCCAGAGATTGGTACTTATTTGCTCAAACGAATCCAAAGTTTTTAGATTTAATGGCCATCAGCATTTTACTACGTAAAATTGATTTGCTGGAATAGAGAGGAATATACAGTCGGGATATACACGTGTTTGCAGTAGGAAGATGGGAGTCATCTGCAGGTCGTATGGTAACAGATGGTAGCGGCTGAAACCCTTCTTCTGAAGCTGGCAAAGCTGGTGATCCTGTCCAAAAATATACCTGAAATAATCGTAAATTAAGCAATAGTACTGTAAGTTAATTAATTTATGCATACCAAATCTTGGCGTTCTAACGTATTCATTTTCTCAACAATACTCCAAAACCATCTTTTAAATTTTAATAGCTTGTCAGGGCCTTCACTCGATTCGTCATTAAAAGTTGTATATGAAATTAGTGTTGAAACATTTATATCTCCCACACCATTCAATAGTAAACGTAAATCTTCGGCGGTCAAGCTATTCATGCAGTTGTCCGGTAAAACATCAAAAATACCATCTTTTAAAGCCTACAAATATATATGTTAATGATTTCAGGAAGATTATAAGTTCTATAAACTTAACCTCAAGAGCCTTTTCTTGGGATTTAATGAGCCTATATTCCGTATAACGTCTAATATATTCAAATATGTTACTCGACGTTACGGGTACATCGCGTCCGCCAGGTATTAATTCACGGTTACCACAACCTTCTTCTTTCATCAGATCAATGCTAAAGTATAAAAAACATTTAAATACATTTATGTTACTAATAGATTCCAGTTAACTGCATACTTACACAAAACTAAGCTCCATTCGGTTGATGGTTTCTTCTCCTTCTTTTGTTTGGGCATTTTGTATGGTCTGTCTAAATGATTCATACAATGCTGGATCAAAAAATGCAAGGTCATGAAATTTAATTTTTCGGCCAAGCATATATTTTAATACATGTCTTTGAAGGAACAGCGGAAGCAATTCGTTTTGCAAAAGGCAAAGCCCAATAAGCCTAAGGAATGAATAAAATAAATACATTACATATCCGCGTATCTTTTTATAGTAATTGTTATCTAACCTGCCAATATTTCTAAATGCATTAATACGTTCAAATGACGCGAGCCCCTGTCGTGGTGTATAAAACCCACGTTTACCCGGAGAGTAAAATAATGGCTCATTATCGTCTTCTGTTGGTTCAGCTGCAGTAGATGGCGATTTTTTCTGTTGGCTTTGCACGTTTATTTCGGATTTCTGTTTAAAATTTATTATGTCCACAGCCTCATTAACTTTTTGTCTAAGCGTTTCATCTGAAGACAAAACAGACAGAAGCTGAGGAGTGGGTATTTCCAGTAGCATGCCAGTTATTTTCGCAGCGTGCGCCGAGTTTATTGAGTGGATCTAGAGAACATATTTAAACTATGACCTTTGATTATAGATAATATATTTTTTTTACTAACCTTGGGATATAGACGCTCTCCAAGCTGTTGTAGGTGGACAGACAAATGGTCGTTCGAACTCTCAGCCGCATTATTATCTAAATTAAAAATAAATTTAACAATTGCCTAAATATAATAACAAGTTGCATTTTACCTGCATTAGAAGATGGAGTATATGGTCTAGCATCTGCATTCAGTGCTTTTCGCTCTCGAGACGTGCGCCATAATATTTTGCTGCCAGTTCCACGACGTTGCAATGTTGGCGGATCGCGACTTGAGCCGGATACGGTTCTGCTGCGCAGTATGCTCGAGAATGGTACTCCATATTTGCTATGTGCACCACCCACCTGCACAGAATCGAGATTTGGCATTTTTGCACTTGCTAACAACGCTTCCGAAATTGAAGTATAAAAGCTGCGAGCTACTCCTGATCCTTCACCTGGTTCATCCTTAAATGTCACCTTAACTCTGTTAAATGTTATTGGCGGTTGAGCTCGTCGATTTTGTGTTCCGAATTGAGCATTTAATTCCTTAAAAGTTTGGATAATTAAGCTTTCCCGATTCCGCTCAAGCTTACAGAGAACTAAGTCACGCTGCTGGCCATTACGCAGTTTTTCCATATGTCGTCTAAAGCGCATTTCCTTAACTGGAAAGCCTCTTAATTCCGGCAATACAGACCCGTGCTCCATGCCAACATCGTCCATAAAAACACGTCCGAAAAGATCCAGAGCCAGTTTCCAACGGCTCAGCAGGAAGTTCCATGATGGCAATTCTGAAGAGTTACTCTTGTAAAACAAAGAGCCACGAATAGGAAACACTATTGCCTGTGATGGTAACTTTTCCTGACAATTATCACATTTAAGATGGTGTGGTGTGGATGTAGCCGTTGAGTTTTTGCATTCGGGCAAGCTATTGTCGTCTGATTCAAGTTTAAGATTTGATGTTCCAGCTCGAACAATAACGCTACGAACTGCGGATACTGATAAAGAATTCTGTATTGGTGACACTTCGTCTCTAAGGCCAATGCGACTTTGGCTTGGTGCAATAATAACTTCTGGTCGAGTAGTTATTAAAATATCTGTTGAAGTACTAGGACCCGCCGAAACATCGATCATTTGTACATCCTCTGTATCAATGTGATCTTTAACGTATGGATTACCTATTGAACAAAATTGAAGTTTTAGATTAAGAAATATAATTTGGTTTGCTCCACGGGTTTAGCAACACGATTTTTTTAAATAATACTTGTAAATAAATATCTAGAAACACATATTTGACTTATTGTATCAATAGGAAAAATATGCACCAATAAGAACTCAGACTTTGTAACGCTGTATCATTTTCATTGATGGGCTACCATTTAAAGCAAATAAATGGAAACTTACCTTCAGATCCTTTATGTAACTTTGAATCATCCAAGCACTGTTTTTTCTTTAATTGAACGTAAATATTTGAATCCGCAGAGTCGTCGTCTTTATAAGATCTGCTATCCTCTTTTATTTCGACAGCTTCCACGTTATTTTCTGATTCTGGCATGCGCTGGGTGACATCATTCTCGGTTGCTGGCACATCAACTTTCATAAAATTTGAAAACCCTAACCTAGTAGGAGGTTGGTCAATAGATCCCTGATGGGAAATGTTACTTTTGTGTGTGTTGTTTTTTATAGTAGGAACGGCGTGCAATGGAAGATTGGCAAAA